GGATGAATTTTCGTATGATCTCCGTGTTTGTTGGACTTCTTTGCTTTACTGCAACAGGTACGATCTTTTATTTATTTTTTTATATAGAGAATTACAGTCCATAGTTCGTAATTATTGTTTTTGCTACATCAGCACGGTTTGCTGTGCTGCATTAATGAATAGCATCTTTTGGACAAGCAATCAAAATTGCTTGTGTGTTACTGAAATGAAAAACATCCTACGTCTGCACACTTCCAATGGTATTATATGGCGAAAATGCACGTTGTTGCAAGATCGCCGTTCCAAGCTACTCGCTATATATGTAATGCCTATAAACGATATTAAAATTAGGTAAAAGTTTTATGAGATGTTGGCTAATCGAATTGAAATTATTTTGCATTAAATAATAAAAGAAAATGCAAATATAAAATTCGATTGTTTATTACCTACTATTCATTATTAAATAAAAATTTCTGCTAACCTCGTTCGTTTTGTATGATTATTTACAAAATAAACATGACTAATAAAAGAATGTTATATATGTACCCACATATACCATCGGATAAAAGGACGCTGATGCATGAGGTATTATATATTTATCATCAAGGTTCACGTAATGTCATCCTGGAAATAAACATTTTTTTTCGCTCGCATTTACTGTTGACATAAATATTTACAAAATAAAAAGTTTCAAGTTGGCGCTCAATCGAAATCTTTAACTTGGTTATCGTTATGGATAATACCGATCTTTTTTTTGAATAAAGTTTGTCATGCTTGCAAACTAACTTCATGACCAAAGTGGCGTCGTAGTGGCATCGAAGGTCTGGTGGTTTGAAAATCGTTTTTGTGCTTGAAAACTATCATAATTTCAGACATTTTGTGTGGTGTTGCAATAACAAGTACCGGCTACAAGAAATAAATATAATATCGTCAGGCTAATAACTGAATTGCGTAAGTCATTTTTGGCGATTTTGAATTTTTTATAAAATAGGTATTTATGTAATTCTGCGCACCTGTCTGTTAACTCAGATTTTATTTCAAGAATTCCGAAACCCATAAAAATGGAGATTTTGTATGACATGCACATTTGTGCAATTGTTTCGTCATAATGAATTATCATTGTTATCGTAAGACTATTGTGACGTCACAAATGCAAAGTAACCTCTGCGAAGTGTTTTCGAGTTTTTGTGTCTCAGATTCTAGCTTAGCGCTTATAAATTTGAATTTATACTACAGTATAGGAAGGCTTGCACTTGATGCACAGTGATATTCACTGTCCGATTCCAATTCAACTTGGTTGGTTTTTATATTGGGTGCATTGCTGTTTTATTCGTTATATTTAATCTTAGTCTTGTTTCGGTGGGTGTGCAGAGCGTGTTATATTGACGAAATATATATTTTTAAAAATAAAAAATAATGTAATTGAAACAGATTAGCTATTCTGGGGATTAGTCATCGTAGATACTGAGAATTACATTCGTTTTTGGAATGTATGGTGTTCAGGACTGGTGGATATAGTCAAGTTGCAAAATTGCGTATGTCCCCAAGTCATAGACACATTCCTGCCTAAGTCACAGAGCCCCAATATGACGGCACATAACTGCGTCATACATATTAACTTAAATCCGGCTACGATCAAAAAATTGAAACATGGCAAATTATTGACTCTCAATGGCATAACAATATCATTAGGAAGTTTTTTACGTTTTTCTCAAAACTGCTAAAAATGACTTACGCAATTCGGTTATTAGCGTGACGATATATTAAAAAATATGATGAAATGATGTTATTTTGCATTCGTAATATTTTTTTAAGGTTCAGTAATATTTAATCGTAATTATTGTTAAATAGCTCAGTAGATTACACGCATCGCTTCCGTGTAACTCTACGAAAGGTACATTTGTAGGTAGGTATACAGTATAAACCACTAGCTAAGGATGGCTCGGTTGGAAAAAAATTAAGCAGTTTATGAACTTGTGTGGACTTCAAGGTGCCCCTCGTTGAAGATGTTAAAATGAGGTCCAAACGTTTAATTTTGCACATTTTGAAGAGTAGCAACCCATCGACAAAAAAACTTGATAGCTATTGTTTTTTTATTGGCAAATTTAAAAACAATTTGAGCCTGTCTTGATAAAATCTATATAATTTGATGACTGACGGAACCTGATACCAAAATGATAACGATAGTGACGCCATAGAAAATGTCAAATCATTGCGATAAAGCAATTTTATTTTTCTGCAGTATCGTTTCGTATGACTGAAAATAAATAAAAAAGTTATCCTTTCCGGTATCGAATGTAAAATATAATTTGTTAAATTTAGTGCCTGTGATAGTCATCAGGAAGGCATCACGAACGATCGAAATAGCGGCAAACAGTTTTGAAAGGCAAAAAATAGCATTCTGTTGTTCAATATAGTATACTATAGACGAACTTGGCAGAATATTAAACTCCCAAACCCACCGCCCTTTTCAACAGCCACTGCTTGCCTTAAATTCAGATTATAGGAAATAGTGAAGCTGAAATTAAAATTGCATGTCATTTGCCAATAAATTAAATATCTATTTTAAAAATATAAGCTCGTTATTTTAATACTTTAAAACCTTTACCCAATGACAAACTTCCTCGTGTGAAACCTATAATTTTAGGAGTATATATAATGCAAGCACATAATTTTAGAATATTAGAACAATCGAGATTTAAGTATTGCTTATAATAGATATAATTGCCATCGCCGCTGCCGGACCATTAAAAAAGATTAAGTATATTTTGTTGGGAAATGAGTGATGCAAGTTGGCTATAATTATTTTCAATGTTGGGGATGTATTGCAGTGCTTAGGTAGAGTTAGGAATAAAGAAATTCGGTTCAGATCGAAAAATGAACGGATTTGCGACAGTAATATTCAGTCGGTTTTTAAATTAAACGGGTGTAACCTTTATAGGTTGAACAGTTGAACAAAACTATCGAAGAATTTCGAATACATAGTTTTATATATTTATCCTACTTCAAGTTGTAATAATTTTCAGGATTTTGGAGTGTAATATTGTTTCTAATATTATTTGAGTTTTATTATAGCCAATCATGGATAGTTGGACGCACTAATCAAAAATACCTTCTAAATTTACACACTGTACCTCAGAAGAAAAATTTTGATGTGGGACTGAGCACCCAATTTTTTATTTTTCGCTTTAAAGTTGAAGCAATTTCTTAAGATCATAAGGCTTAGAGTCCACATACAAATTGATTCGTTGATTACAAATCTACATTTCAATATGTATTAAAAGTGTGCGGTATTAACCCTTGATTTTTTACTGAAAGTTAACTTTCGATCGAAAAGTAATACATAAACCCAAGTAATAAGAAATGTCTTCCACAAATTTGCCGATTTAATCTGTGTATACAGCTAAAAGTATGATTTACGAAGTACTATATTAGTTTAACTACGAAGCAAGTATTTTAACGAAACTTGGGCATTCTCTCGTTCTTAAAAGTATGCTTTTGCAATTTATATATTTGTCGAAAAATTCCAATAGTTTAATTATAGAAATTCTCTCGTTTTAGCTAACGCGTGTTTGTCAACAAATGAACACAAACACAAATTTTGCCGCAAGGCGGTTTTCAAGTATCCGATTTTTAACACACCTGAGCGTGCAATAAGTGTAATGTCGCCAATCGAAAAATATCTGACGGATGTACATGCATACTCGCCCGTACATTCTTATACCAATGGAGTTTTCATAGAATTTTTTGGCACATAATGAATATTTATATATAATAGTGAAAAGAGTTATATATTTGTTGATAAATGCGCAAAAAGAATTTTTTTCATACCATATAAATTGTGATATATATTGTTGGAATAAATCACTTCTTTGCCTCTTTAATTAGATAATAAGAAGAGTTGTTCAACAGAAAAATTAATGTCAATTTTCAGATTTTTTTCACTGGCTGAACAATATTAAAACTTTTTCCTAGTGATATAAGTGATATTATATTTATTTGTCGAACAAACTGTATAATAATTTTTTGAATGAGATTTAATAACCGTTACTAAAATTCATAGCCGTCAATCACAATACATCAAATAATCCAATAACCCGCAAAATGTCTCTTATTTATCCAATATATATGAAATAATCATTTTGGCGACGGACTGGAAATGTTGCGTCCAGCGTTGCGCTGGAGCGTTGCGTCCAGCTAGGAATTTGATGTCTCCGTGTTTAAAATGTGGCAATCAAAGCCGAACCGGATTTCCTTTCATCCAGTAATATTAGGTCCTAACGCATATGTGACAGGCTGTCTAATCTCCAGCCGGCGCTAAAATATCTCCTAAAAATTAAATACCATAGAACCATATACGTAACAACACAAAAATGAAGATATTTGAAACAAAAGACCTTGAGGCCATATAAAATTTATCGTATACTGAGATACTATCGCTAATTAGTTGTACATACGCGTTCCATACACAGCCATTCACTACCTGGTTTTCGTTCTATGTTGTGCTATGACTTTTCGAATCATTGCGGGGGTGACAGACACTACAAAGCAGTTTTGCCAATTATAATCGTACCTATTACTTGTTCATTTTGCACCAAAAAATAGAATTATGTGTTTTTTTAGAATTTCTAAATATAAGAAGCGATGAGTACGTCATGGGATTTCTTTTCTTTATTTTGTTTACTTGTTACCTTTAGGAAAAAATTTGAACATATCAATTTCAAGTTTTAACTTGAATGCGGATTAAAAATAAACTTTTAGTTTTGCTAATAAGCAATACTTGCGTTGTGTAAAGCGTTGAATGATTGATTAAAAATAAATTTTTTAACGAATGAAATATTTGTAAGTTTTTCATACCTGTCGTGGTAGTGAGCACTCCCCTAAAAATGACACGATATCAGGTAAAAACTCGTAGCCAATGACGAACGCCGTAGTAGCCGTACATATATTTATTGTCCCGAAATAATTTAGATTTCGCTAGGTACCTGAAGGCACGCGGCTAAAGATTTCGGGTTAAATCAATGGCTAGTGCGAGTTATTATCCTCTTGTGTGGAGCGTTGTCCCGCAGGTTGACTTTCGTTCGAAGGTTATAAGAGTTCGTATACAACAGCACTCGTCGTTAGTTACCTATAAATGCCGATCACAAAACTGAATTTTTATCAATTTAGTTCACTCTACCAAATTTTGAAAAATTCTTAGCATTGTTCCACCCAATCTTTCACGTATGAAGTATTCTTCAATTCTACGACAAGCACCTAGAAGTTTATCAACGAAGGTTGTTCAATGATCTGTTCAATAAATACACAGTTGCGCAGAAAAATGTCTATTGGAGAAGTGAACAAAATATATGTGCTCTGTCGGTACCGGTTCCATTCCCGTAGCCGAGCACCGAGTTTGCTAAGAAGTTCGACGGACAAGCGCGACATTCTTTATGACATCCAGTTTCGTAAATTTCTCATTCTAAATTTTTCTATTTTGGCAGATGGACAATTTGACAATGTACAACAGCCGATCATACCTCTAGGTTTTGGTGATCAGAATACCCAAAACGGTTTCGGATTACCGGTAGGCAACGGATTTTTATCTGGCCCTCAAATTGGCGGAACAGGACAATTTGTTGGACAACCCCAACAACCACAACAGCCACTGCAACCTCAGCCACCCCTACAACCACGGCAACCCCAACAACCGCAGCAGCCTCAACAACAACTGCCAGCTCCTACTGCAGAGTGTTGTGCGGTGGTACCCGCGGCGCAGTAAGTTGGCTTATTAACTTTCAGTTCACTCGATCATGTACGAAATCTGTTTTTTTTAAACGAGAGCATAATATAGAGGCACATAATGAATATTTATATATAATAGTGAAAAGAGTTATTTTTGTTGATTAATGCGCGAAAAGAATTTTTTTTCCTACCCTATAAATTGTAATATTATATTGTTGAAATAAATCACTTCTTTGCCTCTTTAATTAGAATTTTAGCAAAATTAATATCATTTTTCAGATTTTTCTCACTGGCTGAACAATTTTAAAACATTTCCCCGGTGATATAAGTGATATATTTGTCGCACAAACTGTATATTACATTTTTGAATGAGATTTAATAACCGTTACTAAAATTCATAGCCGTCATAAAATAGGCTAATTTAAATATTGATGAATTTATCTGAAACTTGCTGAAAACGAGGTACATTATTACAGTATCACTGTGAAACGTATTGTGTTAAATGGCATACAACGAACTGACGAACAGTAATGTACAACACCTAGTCTTGGATCTTAGACTGCTCTCTATGCATAAAAAATGTGATCGGAATGTTGTGCGAAACTGATTACTCACATACTTAAATAGGCGATGAACATGATATTATTAATCGAATCGATGTGTTATATATAAATCTTTCTCCTACATCCATTGCAGTTGTGCGTGTGCCCCCAACAGCACACTCACACTAAATATGTAACTGTCACTTTAAACAAATATATTTCAAAAGTAATTCTATTCTACTTTGAAGCACAGACTATTACTATTACATTATCTACAAAAGTAGAGAATACGATTTTGAGAATTTGTGAGACTGTTCAGTCATTTACTGATTCAGGTTTATATATGCCCAGGTCAGTTATGTAAATAACTAACCAGATATAGATCTTCCAGCGCATATGTGGTATTCAAATTTATGAATTAACAAGTTTAGTGTATTTGACATATTTATCATAACATTAATGCAATTTTACTCTAGAATCGATTGTGGATTTCCAGGCATAACTGGGCCACAATGTACTGGGAAGGGATGTTGCTTTCGACCAGGCCCGCTAAGCCAATTCTGGTGTTATGAAGCACTTCGACCACCTGTCATTGGCCAAAGTAAATACATATTTTGTTAATTTTTTTTTTCTGTATTGTATTATTACCATTTCTTTGAACGATATTGCTTAGCTTACAAGTGCCCTCTCAAAGAGAAAGGAATTATAACGGACTGATATATTTAAATTTTACGGCGAGACACCTCACTGGAGTTGTGAAAATCTTGGGTATATTTCGATATTTCTGCACCGGTAAAGGAAAACTGATAGCCCCATAGTTTCGTGAAACATGGAACCACTCAGCGACGGCGACAAATCCAGCAGTCCTTTGATGCATAATCTTGAGGTAATAAGCGACGTGATGTCAATCATAAACCCGATGCTCAGAGCAATGCGGCAATGGTTGAATATTAGGCGCGGCGGTGTGGCTCATCGTGATAAGCGTAAGGAATACGCTCGCCACCACACCTCTAATTACTCTGCGTGGGTTCGCAGGTTCGAATCTCTTGCGGGATGGTTATGTGCGAGAGGATTGCTGGACTCCTCGTCGCCGTAAGGTGGTTCACGTAACCGCTAGTCGGTTACGGCTTCCTCCGCCGTCAAGTCCATGCTTCCGAAAAACAAGTAACTAACTAATCCCATACTCGACATGGAATGGTAACCGGACGAGAGGCCGTAGTTCGCCATATGGATAAGCCGTCTTATCGACGTACCTCTCCCCCGGGATAAAAATGTAGATCCTATCCTAATATGTAGTGATGTACCTGGATTTGTGCTTATTTAGCTCTCAGGATCATACATAAAAATGTTACGCAATTTGAGTAGATTTTACGTTTATTACCTACTTTTTATTTGCATTTTTCAGATTGTCCAAAGCTTGTACCACGTAAGTATTGAGTTCCTCTATACTGAATGTTTAAGTTTACAATGTTAAAGGGATTACTAGACGTAATCTTGATCAAAATTTTTTCTCTTAATCCAGAAAACGTTTTTTGAGTATGTTGAAAAGATATTTTGTGCTTCAGTATTGTTCCTACAGTGAATCATTTTATTGTTTTTGTTATAGTTCAGAAGGGTTTTAGTCCAATTTTGTGACTGCCTTATAAAATTTTGTGACAATTCGATACATTCAATCGCCAACTATACCAATCCAAAACCGATATTAAATTATTCTATCATTGAAATTATTAAAATATAATTGTTTGGTTTCTGGGCCATTTGGGTAAACATGGTTTACAAACAAAACTTTACAAACATTGGTTTCACGCTAGAAACGCCACATTTATATGGTACTCTACTAATTAAGAGCTTTTTGAGACATTCGAGTGTTTGAAAACTGAAATAATACTTCTGCGATTTTATTCACATTTCAAATTTAAATTTCATAAAAAGAAGTTTCAGAATATAGAGTATGTGCAATGTTTCATATTTCATTTCAGCACCTCCACCAGTGCAACCTCAAATACCAGGTATATTGATCATATTTTGTCTAGTTTGCAAGACAAATGAATATTCCTACGATCACCTATTCTAGATTAGTTGAGTGGTCACGGTATTTCATATCTCTTATGGCATCACACAAGTTCAAATTAGAACATAGTTTTCTGTTTATTCGATGACCTTGTGTTTACTTATCATTGATAAGAGATATTGAAACATGACTTACATCCACTATATAAAATCAAAAAGCTTTATAACTCATTTGCTAGATTTCATAAAATGTAAATTTACTTTTGTACTTTGCATTCATAGAGTAATAAAGTATATGTAGGTTAGTTTAAAAGATTTAGAGAGTTTTTCCCAAAGATCTATGCATACAAGAAGAACGGAGTTACCATTAAGTAATTACAGTAATTAGTCACAATCTATTTTCAATTTATCTTTTACTAAAGCACTATAAAATTGGTGAACTTGTCTATATTCATATAGAATGAAAGCATTATAATCTGTAATATATTTATTTTTAAATCTCATTCTAGTTGTGACGCAACAGCAACCACAGGCACAGCCACCTCCTCCAGAATGTGTAGTTGACAATTCTAAAAGGTAAATGGTATACTCTTCGTTTTAATTTAATAACAATTTTTACATCTCTAACAAAATCTATGTGATAAGCAATGTTCATAGGATTTCTGTTGCAGGAGTTATGGAGTTATATTTGATTACGCTTCTTAAAAATATTTAGAATGACTTTTTCCCGGATTAAGTGCTGTAGAGCAGTTTAAAGTTGGGTCCCACTATTTATTACCACAGCTTATGGCGACCCATTTAACTTCAATAAATTAATAAAACATTGATGGAGGAAACGAAAATAAGACCTGGCCTGATAATAAGACCTAATTTGAATTTTAAAAATGAATTTAATTAAACCCTTAAAATACATTTAAAATGTGTGGGAGAGGAAAGGTTAAATGACCTGAGGTAAGCTGAAGATCACACCACTATTCAAGATTGTGTGATGTCACAATCATAAATATGATATTTGTCACTTGATTTTTGTATAGGAAATATAAATAAAAACAATGGATGTCGGTTTTTATATAATGTTTATTAAAAAATCCCGTGATTTTCTACAGTGTAATTTTATTTTTAATAAATGAACACAAAAGACCTCTTATAAAAAATGAAAAACTTAGTGTTATTCTTCAAAATAAAATAAATCTAAATCCTGTCTGAATTTTGGGGAAACACGGTAAGAAGTGCTGTACAGTGTACAAAACTGCTATGTGTAAAAAAGCCACATGATCATTCTTTGTGTAGCAAATTTTGGTTTCTTTGAGAAGGTCGAAAAAAAGAAATATTTACAGATTGGAATTTAAATTCAATTTTATTTGGGGAACTTGGATATTGTGTATTAAACCTTTCTTCTTGATTACTTTCTACTTTAGATTCGTATGTGGTACTCACCACAAGGATGCTCGAACGAGATAGTATTAAAGCGATAAGTAAAAATAACATGATCTCATGTTATACTTACTATTTCGTTGAAAGAGATCATCTTATTTTTACTTATCAATTTTATTTCTTTTGTTTTTTTGAAGATTTACGTATTCGAGTCGCCACCGATCCTAATAACCAGTATAATTAATCAAAGCTTTCTACATCTTTTCACGATCCACTAAGATTCCTTTTGCGACCCACCAGTGAGTCGCGACCCATTGTTCCGGAACCGCTGCTGTAGAGTGTAGACCAACAATGTGTGTGAGTGATCATTACAGCCCTGCACTCAAACTGTCAAAGAAAACAAATTTATTAGCTAACACTAGTGGACGATTTTAAAATTGAACCTCAAATTTATCCTAAGCCTTATCCCATCCCTATCTGTTTCTAGAGTTACATGCGGGACAGGATTAACGCAACAACAATGTTTGGCTCAAAAGTGTTGTTTCGACAGTAATGCTGCAAATGATCCCAAACAGTGCTATTTCAGCAAACTGAATGGTATGCTATTTCAATCAATGATCCTATTATATTTACTTTTGTAACTTGCTGAAGTTTGATATATGGGGCTAGCTATTTAACAATTATAATCTGCTTCTCATTTTCTATCAAAATTGCTTTAATGTGTTATAAACAATTATATTGTGATATGGGCCAATTATGATACTCGTCATGTTTTTGTTTTTTTTATATTACCTTATGTATTGTGCACAGCACCAAAACTCTCAAAATGGTCAGAATGGACAGATTGTCCAAAAACAAACTGTAAAGGGGAAACTAAAAGAACTAGATATTGTAGTTATTTTGATGGACGTCGAGCTCCAAAAGAACTATGTAATGGCAAAGTAAAAGCCACAAAAGCCTGCACTTGTTTCAGTAAGATATTGTCATGCTGTCATGTATGTTGCAACCTATTCAATCCAAATTTTGATTCTCCATAAAAACTTGTAAAATCCAAAACATTCATTTTGTCATGATATTGTCAAGTTCATCATAATTTGAGAAGATGCATTTTTAAAGTAAGCTTTTCTCATTTTCTGTATTTTGTTGTTATTTTACGGGTGGTTGATTACTGTATACATTTGCATGCTATTAACCTTTTTCTAGGAGTTTTCATCACCTGAACTATAATGAACATATCAATAATGCAGTTTAATCTACTGGTATATACCGCAAAATTTGTGGCTTGGCAGCACCCTGAAAGATAAAATTTCCTAACTTAGAATTTTTAATTAGATATTATAGCCTTATGTGTCACTGTCTCATAACCAGCTTTGGTTCCCTGCATCTTCCCATTACCCAGAAAAAATTTTGATTCTGATCTTACTCAATTTTAATGCTATTTTATTACTGGAGAGAAAAAACTAACTTGATTATGACTAAGACTAAATCATTCACACATTGAACACATACAAGCACATTCATCTAATTATGATTGATTAATACTATTTCATGCCACATACCTTCATCAGTACCTGGATCTTTATATATTCTCTGTTAAATGATCTGTAAAATGAAGTTTGCATGGAATTAAATAACAGCAAAACAAGAAAAACATCAATTTATAGATTCAGATTCAGATATTTTATTTCGTCATGCAAGAATCAATATGAGGCAAAAGAAAAACACAGTAAACTGAAAAAACGAAAAACATTGATTCATTGCAATTGACGCGGGGTCGCGAATAGACTCAATGAGTCATCTAGTCAGCGACACTTTTATAGCACTTTTAATTTTGGAAAAGCAAAAGTTACAAATGTCAGATGTCTTGTTTTTTCTCTGACTTCAAGTTTAATATGAAAATACCTGAGCAATGTGCTAATGGTTGTGTACTGTACAGTTATCTGGACCTAAACTAGACAAATTTCTTAAACCCCTATTGATGTGATTGTACAGTATTTTTTATATAATTTCATTCATTCTTCAAAGATATTTTATAAAGAATATTATTATGGTACACAGCTCCTGCGCCTGTAGAAAAGTGTGAAGACGTTTCAAAAACCTGTGCAAATTTTACCGCTCTGTGTAGTACTACAACATTCAGCGAGAAAATCTGTAGAAAGACCTGTAACAAGTGTAAGGAGGCTCCACCAAGCAAACCAACGGCAGCTCCAACTGTATCAGAAAACTCTGGCTGTACTCCAAAGAACTCTTCCTGCTCCAACTGCAGCAGTTGTAACCAAACCCACACCAACAGGTGGGAAATTTGTTATGAGCAAAATATCTTTGTAATAGCTGTAACACAAAAAAGAAAAACTGGCCATCTGAATGAATAATTTCTTTGCTTTTGTGTAAGGAAAGTAGAATTCAATTTTTTTATTGATCTCCCGGAACAGTGGATACATCACATATTTTTTTTCATTTGCAAAGTCATTGTTTATAATTTTTTTAATAGCACCTCCATGTGAAGATGATTATCCTCTTGCATGCAAAACTGATGAAATCAAGGCTAATTGTAATGATCCAAAAGAAAGAGAAGATATGAAACTTTACTGTGCCAAGACTTGTGGATTTTGCCCCAAAGCAATTGTCCTGAGTGGTAATATATCTTAAAATGCTATATTTGAAAATATTTAGATGAAGAGGTAATAAGAATTGGATATTTACAATACAACAAAAATGTTAGATGAAGTTATATCTATCTCAATAAATTTTCTATTTTTTCTCTATATGCACATATAGAATTTTAGGTTTCATTATTTAAAATGTTTCTGTTACTTTACAGAAATATTTTTTAAAGATTTGGTTATTAGTTTATTTATACATTGTTGAGAATATTTATCTGTATTTGGTATTTGACCTATTTGTCACATCACATATATATACAAATTATATATGATTGAATAAAACATAGTACTTTTTAATAGCATTTGTTATGTGTTTGTTAGTAGAAACTCTTAACTGGGACTTCACTTTGTTATACTTATTGACTGGTTAAAAATCGAACACTTGAACTGGTGTTTTTGTTTGAGTGGAGAAAAATATTATACAACTGAGATCATTTATATGATTTATATATATCTTATAAAGAATGCAAAGATAAGTATCCAGAAAATTGTAAACAACTCAAGTCAACTTGTACAACTGGTGATCCAAAAGATGTCGAAAGCATGCGGAAAAATTGTCCCCTTACCTGCAATGCATGTAATGAGGTGTCTGCTGCAGCTGCGGCAATTACACCAGCAACTGTCTTGGAAATAACTCTTGCTACTGGTCTTCCCACACCTTATGGTAAGTGTCTCTAACTGATAATACATAATTTAATTCACTTAATCTGAAGCCTACTTGATAATTTAAGTTTACTCAATTATCCCAACATGCGTATAACACTCCAATTACCTGCAAATTCAATCATCTTATGCCATATTGCTTGAGTAGCCTGCAACTGTTCCTCCTGCTCATTAACTCTAATCTGGTCCAATCTTTTCATTATCATCAGAATTTAATATCATGTTGCGTATTTGCTTAGGGCGAAAGAGAGGTCGACACCACTTATTTGAACTGTTGTTGCATAACTTGTTTACATTCATTTCATTTTTCAGTTCCGGTTGATGGTGAATGCATAGACAGAGTAAAATTTTGTGAAAATGCAATTACTTCATGTAACAATGATGGTCCAGGTGGTGATGCCATGAGGGAAAATTGTGCAAAGACATGTAACACTTGTCCAAAAAAAACTTCTGACCCTGTTATTCAACCGGTCAATCCAACTCCAACAGATCCAACTGGTGTACAGTGTATGTATTCAATCTTATTGTATTTCTAATGAAAAATTGTTTACAATTAGAATGTAACTTGGAAAAAATTCCTGTTTTAATCACTAGTCTTTCACATTCATTTCATGCATTAAATTTTCGTTTGGGTTTCAAATATTGATATTGATATAGAAATATTGATTTCATATAAAATATTAAAACTCATATGAAGTAATGGGGTGAGTGCTAATATTCCTCGTAATGATGCATGCCTTGCTATTTACTATTTTAATAAATATCCCAGCAAGCTTTTAGCCTGATGTATTATATTGGTCACACGAGATTGACAGCGTACAAACGCAACTTCCATTTACTACTCAGATCAACTTTAGAATGATAGCAAAACAAGAACTATTCATTCATTCACTTTTTCCTCCATTATGAATGTCTTCACTTTTGTTTGTTGAAAGACTTCTTTAGGGAGAATAAATTATTGGTTGCGCTCTCATAAAATTATTATTTTGTGCTATTTTCAGCTGATTGTATTGACAGAGTTTCATATTGTGAAAGAGCAAAAGCTTCTTGTAATGAAAAGGGTGAAATAGGAGATGGCATGAGAGAAAATTGTAAAAAAACATGTGGCATGTGTGGAAAACCTGCAACCATCTTTGTTCCAGCTGTGTCGCCTACACAAGCTATTCTACAGTTAATAGAAACAGCAACTCCAACTCCAAGTAAGATGTATAATCATTTGAATTCTATTAAACTGAGTTTTTCTGTTATAACCAAATCGATAAAAATTAATATTTCAATATACTACATTAATACCATTATCATCATGGTGCTTAGATGTATTTTACAGATTAATATAATACACCATAGTCTATAAAAAGTACTGTACTTGTCTTATAATATCACATATTAAACTCATGGACCTAACTAAGAGCAGATGAGTTTTTTACTTTTAATTACCAGGCTTTTGCATATGGTAAGTTTCAAATTATTTAAGATGTTCCAGGCATGTAGAATTGATAACAAATTATTCCTACTTGGCTGAGTGAAAACTGGAAGAAACTTGTTGACTTTCTGGCATTTTGTTGTCAAATTCAATCTTTGCATACTTGAATAAAAATTTATTCTACTATGTAAAAAAATTGATTTATGAAGTTTGGATAAATTTTTTGTATGTCATTGGGTTATGACACTATTATGACAGCATAAGTCTGATTTTTTCAATAACACGATAGGACCTGCAGTAGCTGGAAATTGTATTGATAAAATTGACAACTGTGCTTCGACGATAAACCTATGTTCAAGTACCGGATCAATTGCTGAAATAATGGCGAAAAGCTGTCAACTGACATGTGGAAAGTGTCCAAATCAGCAACGCCCACAACAACCTAGACCAACTCAACCCAGGCCAGGTACTTTGGCTCTGCCTCTGGCTTTAAGTCAATCTACTGATATTCCTGCTTCAAATTCTTCTGCTTCCCCAACTTTGCAAAGTAAGGCAATAACTGCTGCACTGCATGTAGCTAATTGCATTCAACATTTTCACAAATATATAATCTCATTATGTCTGCAGAGTTATATAAAGCTTGTTGAACCTCATCTCTAACAGAGTTGAAAATGTATGCCTTGTATTTGAAGTTGTAATGGAACGCTTTTTTATGCCATTGCAATTGAAGTACGCAACTGGGTGACCATGCTTTTTTTCAGTTAGAAATTGAGTATGAGTTGATGAATAGTAGTGTTCATCAAAGATAAATTTTCTACTTGGAAAACAAAAATTTTGGAAACAATATTTTAATCATAAATATGCTGGATCTTTCTATGTTTCGTTGATAATGTTCATCTGCATAAACTTATTTTGCATGACATACATTGTTTTTGGCGGCGACTGGCACGATACTTCATTCATCATGGTACCTGTTATTTTATATTGTACCAACTAACATACCAATGGTACTTTGACTAACTGAATGTATAATTCATTTATTCTTCAAAAGTGCATCATCGTTTCATGATAAGCTATTGTATCTAGCAGATGTATGTACAATAAAACATCAATGTTTAAGACTCATAACCAGGACAAATATTATAATTACTGTAAAATATTTATTAAAAATTTGGAGAAAAATTATAATACTGTATTCTCATCTCTAAGATATACAAAATTAATATTGGCCTGGTTAAAGTTTTTATTCAGCATCAATATACATTTTAGTTGATGAAGTCAATTTACCTGCTGCAATACAATATGTTCAAACTAACTCACTAACAATTAAATGTATTAATCTATCAATTATTAATTTATCATCAAAACTAACTCAAATCATTATGAATAATAAAAGCTCAAAACTAAAACCATTGTAATAATCAACAAAATAACAATAACAATATTATCTTTCTTTTATTTTTGTTCATAACAGTTTAAAAACTAATTTGCAACTCTGAATGATTCTGAATCATGCCTAAATTTGAAAATCTTTGTTTGGTTGTACAAAATTAAATCATCATTCAGAAATAAGTGCTGTAGGTTAAGAGTTTAATATGCCTTCTCAAATGAAAATTGGAAAGAAAAAATGAAAAATAAACTTGTAGCTTTATTAAACAATTTATTCATCATTTTAGTGCATCTGTAATCAGGATAGAATTTACCGAAGAATTCTGAAATATTAATCTAATCAAACATCAATCTGTATGTTTGACTTTATTTTTAAAATTAATTATATAACAAGATTCAAAAATAGATGTTCAAAGTGGAATAAAATCAAATTTACAAAATTATTGTCTGGAAATATTATAATATAGGTAGTAATTATATAGCTATTATTATCATGCCTTTGTAGTTAGAGAGCTTAATTTGAGACAATTACTGTGGTTGATTTTGAAACTATTTATTAAGGATTCAATGGCCAATATTCTCATATACCGAAATTCAAATGAAAATTTTACAAATTGAAAGGATGATATTATGGCCAGTCTAAAATTTAAATTTGATTCTGATTCATTTATTGAGTTGCAACATGTTAAGTTTAAAAATGAAAAAAAAAATTAATACTCGCCCAAGTGTAAACTATAAACTATTTGTAGACATACAGCAAACTTGTCAAAATGATTTGAGTAACAGTGATTGTGAAGTGAAGAAATATTTGTGCTCTGATCGTGACTCATACTGGCAACAATTGTGTCGTCGAACATGTAATACATGTGGCCAGGTATTTGAATTTGTGGACACAAATACAAATAAGCCTTTCATTCCAAGAGCAACTCCAGCTCCATCTCCACCAAGACAAATTCGTCCTGCCCCAAGTAAGCTGCATAATTTCTAGGTATATATTTGGCTTTTCTGCTTATCTTTTATGCACCAAGTACAAATCCTGATCATATTGGACCTTCTTGGAGAGGAGGCTTTGAATTCTGCATGGAAAAATATTTGTGAAAGTAATCAAAGATACTCTTTGGTTCAAGTAATCTCTGATTACAGTTGTTGTTATCTTCTCCCCGCCCACTGGATCATTAAAATGGCAATTCATACTTTTATTAAACCTGGACTGGTATCCAGGCAAAAACGTAACAACATTTCAGTGATAAAAATTGATAACAATACCGGCTTTAATTCCAGCTCACAATACATGAAATGCTGTAACGGCCTTTATGACATACAAAATAATTGATTAGATCATTTTCTCGCAACTTTTGTAAAGTGCATGAGTTGTGATCCGAGGGGGACAGAGAGAGTAAACGATGACTAGATATGACTTTGCAGCTAATTATTCCCTGCAAACAAAGCTGTTTGAAAAATAAAATTTCATTGACTTAAATTAACGAACACAGAAATCTAAAATAACAGTGAGAGGGACTTTTATGCGGTTGGGAGACTATCAAAAAATATAACTCTTTGAGTGGAATTTCCCTTTTTAAAAAAGGATCAGATTTGCTGTAACATTATAAACTTTTATCGGTTAATTCATATACATACGACTCCATGTTCCATCTCATGAATTTTTATAACGCCAAGTACCAGAAGTTGCCTAAGTGCTGATATAAGTGCTGTGTGTGTAAAGGTCAAAACTACAAAATACCCGTTCTCTTGAGATAAATGTGCAAAACATTCATTATCTTTAATCATAGTTTCATTATTATATTTCTAAGCTTTTGTAATTATAATTTGCATACCGTTCATTGGTTATGGATTTTTTTTCTATACAATGTTCATTATTTTTTAGCTAGATGTAACTTCTGTCCACAATAATATAGTTAGAAATTAAGCATATATTCCAGAATGTAGCTGAAACTTTTTTAACAGAACTTAGATTTGTGTAACTGATCGAGATTTTCCACTCATATATTATTTTATCTATTCTTTGTTATTGCATGATGAGATCATCATCACTTCTTGGTTATAGGTTCAGAATCTTTTTCTTTCAAACTTATTCTTTTTTTCGCCAAATGAGGCTCTGAATATGTAGACTGTTTTACTTCATCAGCATTACTTGATTTATTAAAGTGAATCAAGTAATGCTAGAAAATATTGAACTAGTGAACTTGAACCAAGTAAGATACGAAATAGTAGTGATCATCAGAACAAATATTTTTCATTTTTGCTTATTTTATTGTTTGCCTTATCATTTTTTGCCTTATCTGTTTAAAATTGACATGCAAATTTATATTCAGTAATTTGGCTCTTTTGTTGCTGAATTTTCTTGATTTATGTGCTCTATACTGCCAGATTTCTATGTGATTAATCCTGATATTTTTACTCATTTCTGAAGGTCAAAGTAAAGCATGTAAAATATTACTCATAGAAAACAGATCAAACATAACCGTATGTACAGCTCAATGGTAGTTGATAGTTGATGATAGTGCCACATACAGCAGTAATAGGGTTAATAATTTAGCCATAGTTTATCAACATCTTAGTGTTTTCAACATTTGTATACCAAGCCAAAGTAATTTTACAATTTGATATTCTTAGATTGTAAAGATGGTATTCGTGATTGTCCAAAACACCCAGAACTTTGTGACTTGCCTCAAAGTGGTTGGCCAGCTACTTGTCGCAAGACTTGTAATACCTGTGGTAAAAATATAGTTGTTCCCACCCGAGCACCAAGGCCAGCTACACCTGCACCAAGGCCAGCTACACCTGCACCAAGGCCAGCTACACCTGCACGAAGGCCAGCTACACCTCGCATCATTACACCAGCACCAAGGCCAAGTCAAACTGCTCCAAGTACAAAAAATTTTTGTAATGGTAGAAGTAAAAAAAGATTACTAGAAAACGAAAGAGCAAGCAGAATTTGCAACTTATTAAAATTTCTTTTATTTTGATGCATTAAGCATTTAGAACCACTAAACAGTAGTACTAAAATTAAAGTTTAGAATTAAATTGGAATTTTGCAGCAGAAATATTCTGAAAATTCATTTATGTATTTCAGATATTCCGTCTTGCAGAAATAAATTATTGGAATGTGATCAACTCAGTTATCTTTGTAATGAAGCTGGTAGCTCATGGAAAGTTGATTGTCCTATAACCTGCAATACTTGTCCCAAGGTGTCTTCAACAAAGCCTCCTGCTGAAGGTCTAATGTTTTACGTGATGATTGTATTTGTAATATTTAGTTTCAGTAGTTATTGATATCTACGATAAAATACCATTTCTACGCGATATTCACTATGAAAATGTGTTGTCTGTGAATAAGGCAAATGAAAATTTTATTGTATAATATACAATAGGAGCAATCGATATATGATTTAGTGCTTGATTGCTGTGCTTGATATATATATTTCATGTTAATTCGAGTTACAGTGCATTCATATTGTATATACCACGCTCATTCAATTGGATGACCAGCATTCATATCACGCTCATTCAATTGGATGACCAGCATTAATTTCCCTATAGTGGACTGGTAATCAGACTGCAATATGAGGCTGTTTTGACCAAGCTTCATAGCCATGGTCTCGCTCCCAATAGTATAGAATCCTAACCTTATCTTATTTGCAAACATTAATGTGGCAGATTTTTACCACACCATTTTTCACTTGATAACAATGATTAAAGTCTATTTCACTCAAATATCAATGTTTTGTTAAAAGTTGGAACTATTCAAATTCCAGGTAACAAGATGGACAGAAAAGTTGAAGTCTGGATAATTTGCACTCTAGATTGCTGATTATTTTGTGTTCATTTTATGTTTCGTTCATGCATGTTAGATAAATAAAATGATTTTTGTTTTTTAAATAATGATGTTGATATTAAATGAATATTTGATTTGTATATTTCAGAGTGCGAAGATTTGTTATCGACATGTTCCACTCAGAAAAAGCTGTGTTTTGAAGGAACCGCAGATGTTGTCAAAGCCATGAGAAGTATATGCCAAATTACATGTAATTCGTGTAATAAAAATGAAGCAGCAACAACGATTGCAACACCCCAACAACCAGTGGAAATAACTGTTATTATTCCCGGTTCTTGGACAAGTACAGGTAAGCAAATATTTATTCACTTATTCCAAAGAAACAAGAAGTCAACCAAAGATCTTAGTTTATCGTCAAGCATCTATGAAATATCATCATCTTGCTAAGGCAGGATCAGTAATGAGTTTTTCAGATTTTGGTTACTGGTTGCATATACAGTCATTTGAATTTCAAATTGATGTACAAACAATTAAAACATACAATCTTGCATATGATAATCAAATATACTATTTATAGCAGGGGTGTGCAACATTTTTTGTTGTCTGGCTATATAACCAAATTCAGAAATCTAGCTAAGCCACCAAAATTTTAGTCTTACAGTAATAAAGGCACGGCGCAAATCGGCAAAAGATTTAACGCAGCGACGAGTGCAAGGATAAACTGTAGATTTTTACTCATGTGGGGGCCTTTTAAGCATAAATTATTGGATTAGGACAAGGACCACACTGAATGACTGGGTGGGTCGGGTTTTGGCCTGGGGGTTAAATGGTGTATTGTGCTGTTTGAGTTTTTTTTTCTTATTTCATCTCACTATTGTAAATTTATTAACATGATTATATATGGCTCTTTGTTTTTTCTAGTATTGCCACCATGTGAAGACACAGCTCCATCATGTAAGGCAATAGGCCGACTTCCAGGTTTTTGTGAAAAAGAGGAATGGCAATTTCGTTGCCCAAGTACTTGCAATACCTGTGAAAAGCAAGGATTATCTGTTACGTTTCCTACTGTTTCACCAACACAACCTGCCCCTGTTCCTTCCTCTTTTACGGCAGGTAATATATTTTGTTCTGGCTAGAGTGAGGGTTTTATAATAATTTTTGTTTCATTTTTGATATTTCAGTGCTGAAAATTTATTTCCACCAAAGATTTATTAATTTTCAATTTTGACTTTCTTTGGTCATAAAAAATTGCAATGCCTTAAATAATATATACCGGTAGATATAAAATTAACAATGCATTCCACTGAAATACTACTTGATACCAACATTCAACTCAATTCATTTTCCAGTGGCAGGTTGCAGAGATTTGCAAGACAATTGTCCAAATTACAAGAATTTTTGTAATCTTAAAAGCAGTTCATGGAGGCAAACTTGTCCAGTTACTTGTAATGCCTGTAATGAAATTGCTTCTCCAGTTACAGTACCGACACAACCTTTGATGCAAGTTCAACCAAGTAAGAATTGTTTTTATTTAGTATTTATGGATATTTGGCAATTTGTTAAAGATTGTAATCTTTACACTATCAATGATATTTAAAAATTCAGTAACACACATGAATAGTACTCAATGAATTATCGAGATGTCATTTTATAAAGGACAAATGATAAAACAGCATGCAAATGTAGTTTTATTGAACAACAATTTTCAAAGCATCCAAAATAGGTATTACATTAGGCGAATTACATTGAAAATGTACATCACTATATATAATATTTCAGTCCTCAGAATGCAGGAAGAATGGCGAAATAAAAATATACTTATATATATATATGACCTAAACAATGAAAAAGGTAAAGAGACCAAAAAGTAACATAGCCCATGAGAAAATAAATAACTGGAGATTTAAAACTGGTTTCTTTAGCTACTAGGGCTCTCCCCAACCTAACCCTATTTTTTGAATTCATGTGCTTAACAATTTTATAACTTATTTACTATACCAAAGTAATTTTCAGTATGTTTTATCTGATATGGTTTTCACTAGCTTGCGTGGACACAAGAGAAAACTGTGCGGAGTTCAAAATGCTATGTGATGCATCAGATGATATGTGGAGAAGAGAATGTCCTAAAACTTGCAATACATGTGGGGGCGGAACTGTACAACGACAACGAGTGGTGCAACCTGCACAGCCACAGAGAGCCGTACCAGTACGACAGCCTGTATCCACATCAGGTAATGCTTTCTCTCTATATTTTACTCATTTGTTGGAAATAAAAGGCTGAACAATTACTATATTCGTTTACAATTACAAGTCCTGAAAAGATCATTACTTATATTGTCATTTGATAAAATCTTCAATTATTACCGGTAATATTTTAGGATCAACTTCCGAATGTAAAGATACTCGATCAGATTGCAAAGCAGCGAGTCAACTTTGTAGTAAAGAAGACAGTGGATGGCAGGAGGTTTGTCCAGTAACTTGCAATGTGTGCAACAAGGTTAAACCAGCTACACCACAAAGGCCATTTACACCAGGTAAAAAGGCCAAATTTGCTTGCATCTAGAATGTTGTTACATGAAATGCGATGTTGACTGAAGAGTAATCATCAGCACATTCAGGAGTCATTATAGAACAATAGAACAATATGCCACAACTTCTGTACCATATTATCATACGCCATCTCCACCATTTCCAATGAAGTGACAAATGCTATAATGAAATAACACAAGGCTTGTGCTCATCATTTTACTTAGAGTGTAATGAACTGTATAGAAGTATTTCAGTTCTCGAATAGCCATAGCCAAAGCCATGGTTAGAGAAAAGTGATAGATTTGTCTTGTTTAAAAAGTGTGACATTTTGTTCTTATTTCCAGTTTACAGATCTATGATACTTTTTCTGTGATAATTTTTTTAAACCGTTTTTATAAGATTCAAATTTCACATTGCAATATGTTGTGCAGGAGGATTTGGTAGAGATATTTGAATATTTCAATGTAATTATATCCTAGTGTATTCGACATTTATTCTCATATCTTATGATATCAACTTATATCAATTTAATGTGTGAAATTGATTAATATTTAATATAATTTCTAATTTATTGAAATTTCGCATCTTGCAATGCTATTTGAAAAAAAATTTGTTATTTTTTTAAAAAAATAATCTGTTCAGTATTTGCTTATTCTGTATTCAGACGATTTGCATCATTTCAATTTACTCAAACCTAATTATTAAATTTATTTCAGTTGCTTCACAATGCGAAGATACTAGACAAGATTGTAAAGCAGGGCAAAGTCTTTGCGAAATACAGAACAGTGGTTGGGATAAACTTTGCCCTGTAACATGCAACAAATGTGTCCCCAGCGGGGGTTCAATAGTACAACCTGCAGAGCCAGTACGACCTGTACAACCAGTACGCCCTGCACAACCAGTACGCCCTGCACAACCAGTACGCCCTGCACCACCAGTCAATCCAACACCAAGGCCTGTCGTTCTACCAGGTAACATATAGGTTTTTGAATACTTTGAAAACAGCACATTATTCAGAAGAATTCTCACAATTCAAAAAATTGCTAAAACTCGTAAACAAGATCACAGGAAGCCTCTATAATTCAGGAGGTGAACAACCAGAAATAAAAATCTTATGATACGTTTAGTTCAAATTATTTTAGCTTCACCTATTTCAATTATTCAATCAAAATTTTAGTAGCATCACAATGTAGAAATACAAGAGATGATTGTAATGACTTAAGTCAGCTTTGTGGTATACCAAATGGCGTGGATGAAATCTGTCCAGTAACTTGCAATACCTGTGGGAAAATAGCCACTACAGTGACTACTACAACTACACAGGCACCACAAACTCCACCAGCAGTACCACCTCAACAAGCAGGAGGTAAATATTGAGCTATTTCAGCATAGGTACTCTTTTAGTAGTTTGGTGTACTTTCATGTGGGACATTGTAATGTATCGTAGGGATATTTATAATGTAATTATATAATAATGTAATGAGCTTTACAATATTATTTCTTCATTCAAATGTGGGTATAAATGTCATCAATATACTTCATGATATTTGCATTCGAAGCTTATGCGAACCCCACTTTACTATTTCAATGGTTAGAACACTGAGCTGAGCAACAAAATTAGGTAATTGTCAACCTGGAAAATACCAGTTATTGAATGTGAGTCATAAACTATAAAGTGCAAAAAGATTGATATGCTTCCCACTGTCATAAATAGGTTTATAAAACTTCTAATCGAATTTGTTTACAACAATGGAAAATCATAAAAAAATCTTGCAAAAATTACCAGTGCCATTTAATTGAAATCAAGAAATATCAGGTTTACATTCATATCAATATTTTTTGACCTTGAAGAGCTAACAATTTATTAAATATTATATACCATTTTGTATCGAATATGGTATTTATAACACTAATCTTACTGTCAATTATGTATTGGTGATAATAAATTATCGCATGTTGTTATTTACAGCTCAGATATGTAGAGACAATATTGCGGACTGTAGTAAATTCAAAGTCCTGTGTACTCAACCAGGAAATACTTGGAGAACTGACTGTCCTGTAACATGTAATACCTGCCCCCAAGGATCAATTCGGCCTCAATTACCTAACATACCCAGGCCTCTACCACCCACTCAACCCCCTGTCATTCGAACACTTGCTCCTTTAACTACTCAACCTACCTCTCGTGCCCCAGTAGTAGCTCGTCGACAAGTTAACGTACCAGGTATGCCCTTATGATGTTAGACATGATATATATAGTCATGCATCTGGCAATATTTATAATGACGTAAAAATAATTGCTCCAATACCAGATATGTTTCAATAACAAGACAAATGTGTTACCAAGTTTTGCAGACATTATTTTAACTTTTACTGATATAAAATTACCATTTTCAAACTTACCATAAGTTTTAAACTAAATTCTATGGTTACGTATATCACAAGTACTTGTTTGTAACTACTAATATAGTATATTTAGTGGTGTTTGGCTCAATGATTGTTTCATTGTGTTATGTGGTGAAGAATTTCTGTAGCATTTTATTTTGGATGATTTCACTTACTTGCAGAATTGTTTGAATATTCCCATAACCAACCAGGTAAAATAAGCAAATGAAGAATACACACACGCACATTAGAGATGTACCAATACCACTTTTGTCGCCGATACCGATCTGATACCAGCTAAAACAACGATACCGATACGCCGATACTACAAAAAGGCCGATATGACCGATATTCCGATACCGATACTATGTAATTATTACTTAATTAGGTGTGCTGTGTAGGGCAGACTGGTTAAAACAATGGTCTTTGAGTGTTGTTCATAGTACACATTATTTCAAATCGAAAAAAAAAGATATATCACATAATATGGAATTAATGTTTGGTATCCATATAATTTAACTGATTAAGATATATTGTACAGTAACGATAGTAATCTCGGTGTTCAATTAGAAAACTCAGAAGCTGGGATGACCAATTTGAATTTAATGTTAATAACGCGACCTCCGAATATCGTTATTCGTGTTAAAAGAATATCGAATATCACCCACACGTTCTAGCGTCTTCGTTCGAATATTTTTGTTCGGAGCTAATCATAATCGTCAACGCAATAAGTCAAAGCCAACATGAAAGATAATCAATCAGCACCGACCAAAAGAAGGCCTACCTATAACCGTCGAGAATGTTTTTTTAATTTACTATTTTATATTATTATACAACTGCTATCATATATTTTGAGACAGTCTAGGGCTGCTAGGTGGTCATGTCAATATATCTATAAAGAAATTGTGTAGTTAAACAAAATTGAAATTAATACCTGCGTAGAGGGATGATTGTGTCGGAATTTAGTTTATCGATGTCGACAGACTAAATGACACTCGTGGTTGACGACAAACATTCAGAATTTATACCCGTGCCAAAAGTCCATGTGCCGTTAATAAGGACCCCAATTCAGTGGCGTATCTAGGGTGTGGCAGCCATGGCTCGTGCCATGGGCGCCGTTTGAGCAGGGGCGCAAAAACAGCGAGAAGTATTAATAATAAAACGTTTTATTGAAATAATTTCAAATTGAGAATAACTGAAACTCGTATTTCTACTCAAATAATAACGTAGAAGTATCCTAATTCATTAATATTCAATATAAATTGTCAAACAACTATCAATGGGGGCGCATTCTTGGACTTTGCCATGGGCGCCATTTTAAGTAGATGCACCACTGCCCCAATTCCACTGTATGATTTAAAACTGGTCGCCTATAGTTGCTTTTTGTTATGTGCTGTGTTGATATATTTCTTGTCAATGTCAATAAAAAATTTGACAGCGAAAATACCCAAATTAGTTGAGCTAGTTTGGCTGATAAATAGCTAAAAACAAGTAAATCCCATTCTCTCGCGGGGGTGGGGACATGTATGGCTCATAGCTCACGATCTCTCCAGACAAAAAATAAATTAAAAGGAGTATTCCAACTTATCTTTGAAAACATTCTGGACCATATCAAAAAGGTAAATATATCGTAAATATCGGCCTTATTCTAACCGATACCGATACATGGCCGATACCGAAAAAATGACCGATATTGCCGATACCGATACATTGGTACATCTCTAACGCACATATCTTACATACATGTATTAGGTAGCTGAAATCCTAGTAATATGGTGAACGACATGCACTTGCCCTTCAACTAGGAGTGTATTAACCCACGATACAAAACTAGAGTCCAGCAATCATCTCCTGCATGATCATATCTCACAGGATTTAAACCTGCGACTTAGCTTAATCGGTGGTGTGCTAACGAGTGTGTTACTAACACGGTTGACATGACAAGATAATTCTTCTGTGTCTACTATGCAAGACAGACAACAAATCATATAGTTTATTTATTTTTTGCTAAGGTTGTGTTAATGAATATGAAAAATGTGATGAATTGGTTGACACCTGTACAATTGGAACTGAAGAAAATAAAGCCATAATGCGTAAAGTTTGTCCTGTGACATGCAATACATGTGGAGGTGGAGTAGTATTTTAAAAATGTATTTGTAAAATATATTTTTGTACGAATTGTTAAATTTCACCATTAAACAACTTCAAAAATGACACTCAAAGTAGAAACTAAGCTAATATAGTGAATTTGAGATTCATGGTGGCACTCAAAATGACACTCAAAGTAAAAACTAAGCTAATATAGTGAATTTGAGATTTTTGCTTTGTCTGTAACCTAGCTTTATATAGAGAAAGCCTTGCATCCTTGCCTAAAAAAATTGTATAATCAAACCATTATGGCAATGCAGACCTAGAACCTGTTTAAAACTTAGCCATATTCAGTTTCAGTCTCAGAATGCGAAGATACAATGCCAGAATGCAGAGAGCAAAGTTCTTTGTGTGAGGAAGGGGAGGCAAAGCAAGTGGAAGCGATGCGTCAGGTTTGTCCTGTAACATGCGGAACGTGTGGTAAAGATTCTGATTCAACAGCTTTATCTGAAGGTGGTAGTGCTGTCTCTACTCAAACAGGAGGATCGACACAGCAAAGTTAGTCTTGTCTACCTTTTTTGAATGATACAACAATGACTTGCTTTTGACCAACGTTATTCATGATATAAAATTTTATCAATTTTTTTGGTACACATATTTGTAAATAGAGTATTAGAAGGAGAGTTATGTTAAAAAAAACTTGAATTATTCGAGTGAATGGTCCTGGGTATTTTGAAAATATTATATGAAGCTGAAATTATTATTTTCTCACCAATTTATCTGTTTTAGATCCTTCTGGTGTCTGGTCAGACTGGACAACTTGCTCAGTAACATGCGGAACAGGACAGCAAGCAAGAGCTTTGATTTGTCCAAAACAAGGTGAGTAAATTTTATCTGATATGGTGGTTTGATTATAAACAAATTTATGTTGATTATTGTTTTTCAATTGTTAGTGGTTAATTGTTTCGATTGGATGGCAACTAACAGTAAAAAGAGTATTCTATGACAAAGTGTTTGAAATAGTCTAGAAGTAAATAATCAAACGCTTAGCCAAAGATGCTTGCAATATGAGATAGCATTGCCTCAAATAAATCTGTAAGTAACTTATGCTTGAAAATTCAGGGGAATCAGACTGTCAATCAAGACAAGAAATAATTCAGTGTTTCGCTAAACCTTGTGCGCAACAGCCCGCTGTTGTTACTGCTGCAGAAGCAAACAAACGAGGAAAGATTTGTGAAACAAACTCCTCAGGAGATGATGTGTAAGTGGAAAAGGCAGTAATTCTTTTAAATATGAATTTTTGATTTCATTCAAAAATGAACATGTTTTATATCTTCCAATCCTATACATAATAGCATGACCAAAAACTGCTGTTTTTTCAACTTTAAGTCCTTTACACTCATCCCATGTACATTTTGTTCTTTAGTTGTGAAAGCTTGGCAAAAAATATGGGTGAAGGTGTTATGTGCGAAAATGAAACATTGGCAAACAACTGTAAAAAGACTTGCAAGAAGACATGCTAAATATCATATTGATTGGAAATCTTATCTTTTTTAATGAGAACTTGTTCTGTAACAACTTGAATAAGAAACAATAAAATAATTGTTAAGCTGTCATGAGTTTCGAAAATGAGAAAGTAGCTGCATACAATTTTTTTATCGATGCTGAATATGATCCAGTTTTAAATTTTAATACAAGTTTGACACGTCATATTGTAATAAGAATAAAATAACTTGGAAGTACCAATATTTTTTCGAAATATATTCAGCCTGAATCTTAGATGAATTCTACTTACTTCTCAAGGTTTCAGCTCATTTTATGTGTATAATATTAGTTGAGTAAGAACTAGAAGAACAACATTGTTGAATCTATTAAAATTAGATAAAGCCTTATAAAATTGTTATATGGTTTTTAAATTACCAATTGAATGTAAAAAACATTATAATCTCCATGTTATGATTCATTTGATTTGTGATTCAAAACCATTCCAGAGTACAAAAGCTTAAACATGAATTGCTGAATATTTTACATTTTTCATTTACCTCCCCATATTTGTGTAAAATTTTCACTTTCATTATATGTCAGTCTGAGCATCGTTACTAAAATATAATAGAGAGCAACGGTGGTTTGAAATATGTTATATTTGATCAGGAGTGTGGAAGGTTAGCAGTGCTCATTGGATTGGGAGAGACAGAATTTTTGTAGATGTGGTAGCATTTGTCTATTTTCTGATCTTTTGTATTCAGGTGTAAGGAAGTGGGTTCGCTAATACGAACTGTAAGATTTTATGCTACATGTGTTTAATTTGCTACATGCTCCTAGCAAAAGAGGAAGCTAGGTTATCCTAAGAAGTTTTCATACTATAACAATAAGAACTGGTCATGATCATACTGCACAGAAAGTTTCAACCACAACTTATTTCAAAACCATGCTAAAATAGCTGCAACAAACAAGTTTGTCTAATAGGATTTTGGTTATGTACAAAATAGTTTGAGAATTTGAGTTCAAATTCATCACAAGCACCGGATACACCTATGTGGGTTTTGTGCATGTGTGTAATTTACTTGAAGTCTCCGCGTTACTTTCTTGCAATAAACAACAATCCCTATAGTCATTGACGCAAATCTGCTGAGTAAGTGTATATTGTTAGTTGAAAAAGAGGCAAAAGATGAAAGTAAAATTAATGTGTATCACAAACAAGCAATGATAAAAATGAACAATAGCATTGCACAATTCAAAAATTTAGTATCAAAAACAAGATCACAGTTTTCATTTTCAAGTCAAAAATGCGATGATAACAAATCAAATTTCCTGATATAACTAGAATTCCATAGGATCAGGATGTGAGTATACATAAGCATACATATTTCAAACACCTCATAGTTATATATATACAATTTTATTTGTATCTTAAGGTTCATTGATTACTTCGGTTTCTTCCTTTTTGATTGAACTAGTTTCATCTTCAGTTTTTTGATTTGCCTCACCTAAATAAAAATTGGTAATCATTTGATAACAATAAATAAAAGATTAATTACAATTGAAGAACAATTGTCTGTTAATGCGACTACTTCTTCAAGCAAACACATAGTCGCCTACATTTTTTTTGTTTCAAACTGAAAACAAATATATTGGTTGCACTCATCTCATTTTCTGTGTAGTTTCAGATTAGGCCCCATTTAATATTTTCGGACAATCCAAACTATTTGTTAAGTTTAAAACATCATGGATTTGTTGTCTTAGTAATAAGCTATACAGAAATTACATAAAAAGAAAGTGGTGATCAAATTTATTGAATAAAAGCACAATTACGCCAGTGCAATAAAAAAGTTAAAACATTATCTTACTTTGTTCATCATGAGTTGAAACGTTTCCACCGGGTAAAAGTTGTTTCAAGTTTGAATCACTGATAGCTGATGAAGCAGCTTCTAAAGCAGATGAAGTACTTTCAGGTGCTCCTAGAATTTTTTACAGAATTTCATCTCACAAAAATCTATATACTAAAATAAGGTATAATTGAGATGATAGGGTTTTCATATTTTTGAAGAAATTGAATGAATACCTGCAGCAATAGACAATCCAGCAGATGACGTATATTCAATGTGTGCTCCATTATTTGCTAGATTGGTTGCTGTGTAATTGTTCTTGTTTTCTAAACATTCCAAATTATCTTAAGTATAGTCTTAAACCTAAATGTAACATCTCACTGGGCATTTGAATCAAAATCCATACATAAAATAGATTAGTACTTGAGAAAGGAGGTTCAACAATATATCATTTTTTAGTGCTTCAGAAGTATGTGTACCTATATGGAGGTAACTAATTTTGTTCTCCTATTTTGCAAGTTGTGTAAAGGGGCTGAAACCTATACTATGGGCAAGGGAATATTCATTTAGCTAACACAGACAGTCCCAAACTCTTATTAGAACTAAAATACGGAAAACATGAATAGAATTATGGCCTAACCTGGTACACAAACTAGTACCCATTTCTTTAATCAGACATACACTGTGTATTATTTATGTATGAACTGTGGTTTGTTAACATCATTTGTGTATAAAATTATTTCATTAGACACATTCGCTTACACATATTGAAATATTTACCAATGTTGAAGGTAATCGGTTGTAGATATACTGTAGTAGGTGTGTTGCTTGTAGATTCAGTAGCACCTAATGATAAATAAAAATTTAGAGGTTCAAATCGTACTTGCATGTGTTGTTAATAATGGTATAACTCTCTCCGTGTATTTGAAACTTTCAACTGGTTCAATTCCACAATCCACCCTGATTTGTAAAAAATGAGTGACCACAATATGACTAAATAATTTTACCACCTTTTGTGCTTCCAGAATAAAAACAAAAATTCCAAATGTGCATATTATTAAAAATACGATTATTACTGTTTTAAGTTACAGTCCAATAATTTTTTTCTATTCAGTATGAAATTATTCTTCAAATTTGTATATTTGATACAGTTGAATTACAAAAGCTAAATGACTTATTTCCAATCTATCACAGTTGTCACCGTTTCTTATACAATACATTCGAGCACTACATGTTCCACATGAAATATACAAATTGGTAATTACAAGGTAATTATACGATAATATTCAAATAACTAGGCAATTCCTCTGATATGATTAGTTTTAATAACAATACAATTACTGGTGAGTTAGTGCAAATATTTAAAATTTATACTATTGGAAAATTATTCAAATTGATATACCTGTGATTTACAACAATGAGACTCTGTAAAAATATATTATTCTACGATTTCATTTACAATAAAATATAAACATTATAGATAATTTCGCAATACATAACATTGGCATATTTTAAAGTTAAACGGAATTGTCAATACATAAGCATCTCTATTTTATAACAGATATTTTATATTTATTGTAGTGAAAACATGTCACTAAATTCAGATTTGTCTAACTCAGTAATGACAAAGTTTATGTCTTTTGTGTCAATTTCGATGTTAGAACTAAAACTTTTAAAAAAGTTTAGTTTTCAAATTTCTCTCTTTAGAATACATTCAATGCTCTTGATAAATTTACAATCAAAAGTTAAATCAATGTCAATGTCAAAAATTGTTAAGGTATCAAATGGAAAAATATTGATATAGAATATTCACCTCCTGAAGCTACTTCCACACCGCTAGATGTTTTGACAGCCTGTGATAGCTCTTGCAATCGAATGTTAGATTGAGCAGAAGAAGCTGAAACACTTCCCAACCCTGTTTTAAAAAATGATTAAATAACATAATCATTGATAAGTCATACAATGAGATAAATAATAATATGATTGATGTACTTAATCAAATTTTATTACATTTGGAAGCATAGAATTTTTTTAATATATTGCCCAATTGGTCAAATTTTAATAATTACGCCATTGAAAATTATTAAAAAATTGTTAAAACAGTTAAAGATATCCACATTCCCAGTTCTATCAGTAATCAGTCAGTAGTTTATTTTCCATCATGCTGTATACTCACAAGAAACACAAATTACAATAAATTATAAAAAATCATGGTAATTAAAACTGTCTATGGAACAAAAATCAAACATTGCTTTCAAAAAATCTTACGAATTTGAAGTTCCTTAGGTTGAAACTCGGCATATAGTCGAAAATTTTAATATCAAATCATATATCAATTGCAGAATAAAATGCGTTAACTTTGGTCCAATAAATACTCATTTTTATCCACAACAAAAACTGATTTGTCTGAAACCTTGTATTTTTTATGAACCTCTTACCACATAGTAAAACTTTTTGACAGGTCATCATTTTAAATACCAATTTAGAAAAAACATGCACAGTGAAATGGTTTGTTAACAACTCATTTTGCTCTTTAATTAAAGTTCGAGTGTTAAACCAAAGAAGTCGCATTGATTTTATATTGTCCGCATATAAGAACTCACTTTTCAATTGTTGAGGTAACTGTGAATTATCAGAACTGTTTTCCTTGCGCCAATCATACTGAAAACATTGGTCTTCTTCTTCAATCACATCATTTTTATAGATATCACATTTCAAATGAATACGTCGAGATTCGTTACGAGTACCAATTATAAAAAAATTGAACATTTTCCACTTTTTAAGTCTGAGAAAATTTGAATCAATTTTGAAGGAAAATTGGCAACTGGTAGTGATGTCATCACAACAACTAAATGAAAAACTATCTGGACGTTGGCAAACAAGTATTGTCTTTAGTTTGTCTGATTCTTGAACTGAGATTGGACTAAAATTTATCTTCATTTTTGATTCCCGTCTTTCCATTCTTTTCATTAATTTATCTTCCATCATTTCATCAGAAAGACAAAATGCAAGAGAAAAATTATTTTGAGCATTTGCAAATATGTAACTTTCAATAACAAAACACTCCAATCCAAGAGATTCTCCTGGTCTACCTATGATAACAGGACTAAAATCGCGACATTCAAACTGAAAAACCAAGTCATTATTGAATGGTAAACGTGTGATAACATCCCACTCAGATTCACCATCTGCAAGATGGAGTACATCTACAAAGCTATTTTTGGACTTCTTTGTACCATCATTTTTACACCAAGATCCAATGCGCACAGTAACAGGTTTTCGTAAGTTTTTTGCATCCACAATCAACATAGCAGTTATGCACATATAACCCTTTGGCCACTTGGAACTATCAATCTCCAAAACTACTGAAACCAGTGTGACTTCATCAAATGATCCTTCATGAAAGATGAGCAAGCAAGATCCAATATTTATTCGTCCACCTTTTGGCCCAATCTCTTTTTGCAATGACTTCGAAGCCAGCACACTAGAATCTTCATCGATACCTACTGAGTAAAAAACATATTGAAATTTCCATATCATACTAATAAAATGCATTTAAAAAGAAGAAAGTACCAAAACATTCAAAAACAAATAACCTAATATAACAACAAAAAAAGTTAAGGATCACAAATCCTAAAAAGCTTTTGTAACTGTACTTAATGTTGCATATGCATTATCATGGCTATTTGAACACTGAGAAAGCTGTTAGAAATATTCAAAAAATAACCAACATTTTATAATAGCAAAGATACTGCTTCCATGAACATTCTCATCCAGAAATACGGTAAGTATTATCCACAGCTTCAACCAAGGCGTGTTTCAACAATTCCAGTAGGGATCATAGTTGAGAACATATATTGGTATTTTGACAAGTCACAAGCCAGGTGCCAAAAAGAATATTAATATATACAACAGAATGAATAGGATTCCATTTCCGTTGTAGTATGTATGCGAATACAACAACTACATCATTGAGCTTTCAGTTTTGATCACAACAAAGTCCAATTATATAATTGTCCATAGAATAAAACTTAATATGCTTTACGTATTCTCAGTAATAGGAACTGAATATATTCTTACAGGAAGACTGTAGTGTTGATTGCCGGTATTTTGTAATCAAATTTGTTGGATTATCTTCGTCGGCAAATATTATAGTTGGTTCCTATAGTGATGAAAGCACAACATATAAGATTATATTGGATGAATAAAATGAATTATTAAATAAACTCACTCGAAAATGAAAAAAAATCAGTAATCAGTATTTTATTTTTCCACCATACTGAAAATACACTTTGTATGAATAGGAAAAAGTAACGCAAAAATGGCATTTCAGCGTGAAGGGGGGTGCAAAAAACCAATATTGGTTAACGAGCGGCGACACCTTTGATAAGGTCCAACAGTGATTAATACAGAGGAAAGAAAAAAAGTCAAACATGGTATCATTGAAAAGTGTACAACAAGAAAAAGGATAATTCCTATAATATTATAGTCAAATAATCTTGAGGATAACGAAGATAACATATTATGTGGAAATCTTATCATCTTGCCTCATTGAATGTCAAAATCAGATATATGAAGAAATAATCAGATCAAAATTTCAGATTGGAAGACATTATTGAAAAAACCAACTAGTTGTTATATGAAACACCCTAATGGCAACGAGTAGTTCAGGGGTGGGCAATTTATTCGACATGCGAGCGAGGCTTTGGGAACGGAATCATTTGCCATCGGATAAAAAGTTTCAATACTCCGAATTATCTGATAACATTCGGTGTTTCTTTATTCATTATCGTTTGTTAATAATCCGTTATTTACTTGAACTCTTTTTGACCTATCATGACATACTGCTACAAAAATATTCATTATGACATAACAAATGAGTGAGCTCTCAAGAAATTTTGTCGAGAAGGGCACAGTATTCATTTGGCTACATTCTTACGTAATATAGTTTGCCTGTGACACCCTTTTTCATAATTTCCTGCTTCATTTATGAAGTTGTACAGCTCAAGTGGGTTACTTACTGTTACTGCTATAAATTGGTTTTAAGGGAAATATAAGTGACATCAGATGTGTAAAACGTTTATTAAATTTTAATTGCTGCAGTATTTTAGTAATGCCTCTTGTTTTTCAGTAAATAGTTCGGACACTTTTTTTGTTTGCCTTTGGTCTACAGATTTTATGATGTCAGGACCATCAGCAAAGAAAGGGTGACTGTTTGGCGATGTCAGAATATTCCAAAAATACTGGACTGAAAAATTTGGTGCAATTTAGAAAAACAATGAAGCTTTATGAATTTTCTGTTTCAAAACAATTGTGTGTAGAACATCGTCTGTAAAAAGGCATTTTGAAAGTGTTCATGATAACATAAACAATAAATCTGCGAGGAAAAAAGAGAATTGATCAGTAGTAATATCAGCAAAACAAAAAAACAAGCTTATAATTTTATGAATTTCATATCAGGCAAATCCAGTACCAACTTAGTTGATGCCAGTTTTGAAGTTTCAAAGGTAATTGCTCAACATGGAAAACCACTTATTGATGGAGCTTATATTAAAGAATCTTAGTTACAGTGTGCGCCGTTACTTTTCAACAATTTTTTAGAAAAAGAGAAGATTATTCAGCAAATTGAAGATTTATCTCTAAGTAGGAAAACAGTTAAGGATAGGATACTCAAGTTGGAAAGTGATACTACTCAACAGTCCAAGCATGATTGGTGAGCATGCAGGTTTTGTGGGTTTGTTTAAAAATAAAGTTGGTCATCCAGTTATAGGTTTTCATTGTATCATCCATGAAGAAGCATTAGGTGCAGAAGCCGGCCTGAAAGAACTCCAGGAAGTGATGCAAACAGTTACTAAAATTGTGAACTACATTTCTGCTCGAGCATTACATAAAAGACAATTAGAGATTTTACTGGAAGAGGTATAATCTGTGCATAAGGGATTAAAAATGTACAACAATGTTCGATGGCTTAGCCGGGGTTTGGTTTTAACACGATTTGTTGAATGCTTTTCCGAAATTAAATTTTTCCTAAATGACCACCACATTTCTTACCAAGATTTGTATGATTACAAGTGGGTTTCAAAACTGATGTTCTTTGCAGATTTTTGTGAACATCTGAATGAACTGAATATTAAATTACCGGGAAGGGGTAAAGCACTGATGTTAGGTTTGGATACATAAAGACTTTTGAAAAAAAGCTAGAAGTTTTTGAAAAAGATATTGCAGATAAAAATTTTAAATACTTTTCAAACCTCAAGAGGTATATTAAGGATCTCCAAAATGATGACAGAACAGAACTTCCATTCTGTCAAGTGTTATTTATAAACATTATAAAGTCAGTTGGTGAGCAGTTCCTCACAAGATTTTCAAAATTCAGAGAACTGACCGCAAAGTTCATCTGGTTTCCGGACAATATAAAAATGGAAAAACTAAATCTACAAAAAATTTATGGATAGACCTGGAGGAATTTGAAATGCAGTTGATTGACTTTCAGAGTAGCTCAATTTGGAAGCAAAAATTCATTGACCTTAGAGTTGAGATGGAAAATATTGAAAAAATGCGATTAGAGAGGGGAATACAAGAGAGAAATGCAGAATACGAACTATTGCGTGCTAAAATTTTCCATGTCTGAAAAACTTTGCAACTGCATTACTCTCTATGTTTTCATCTACATATGCTTGTGTATCCCTGTTCTCAATTATGAACTTTATTAAGTCTCGTAATAGGATTAAAAGTTACAAAATATAAACCCAATGTAAAATCCCTATCAGCGGCAATGCAGCAGCAGAAGTCTCACTGATATAGAATGAGAAAAGTAATTAAATCTATTTGAAGGACTGATATTTTCCTGTTTGGTGAAAATGTCTGTTCATGTTTAAAATGTTAATATTGTGTATTTTTTGCTTTGAAAGTAGCAAAGCATTGCTTTTAAGGTAAATAAATTCATTTTCGTTTATTTTGTGTCTTTATTGTTTTGAGAACTATTTTTCATTTCTTCAAGCCACTTCATGAATATATACTTGTAAGAATGGCAGTAGTATGTTCTCAAAAATTTTGGTCGGCACGCGGAAGAATTTTGTCATTTAATTTAGTCGATTTTGGCACGCGATCCGAAAAAGGTTGCCCACCCCTAGAGTAGTTCAATAATACAACGTATATGATAAAATTCAAGCAAGTGAACTTAGTGCAAATATTATCAGTAGTAAGATGGCAAATTTTTATAAGCTCAAGCACAATTAGACTAGTGTGACCAGTAGTAAATTTTTGTCTATATATGTCTATATATTTCAGGTTAAGCCCAGTCAAAGAATAAGCTACCGAGAATCGAATTTAACATAGCACAAGTATATTCTATACATTTTAAAAAATCAATAGTAGAGTCCTAAGTTGACTTGCCTCAGGATAAAGTTCATCAAGTTTATTTCGTAGAAATATTTGATCTACTTCTTTCAAATCATGGCCAGTCATATCAACACATTTAGATACAACAGGAAGAATCCTTCCAACAGCATAACATTGAGGATCATCATGGTGATCATAATAACCAAAATATTCAACACGTCTTTTGACAAGTAAATTTTCCAACTAAAAGTAATAATACATGATTATTTATAGTATTGTAATATAGTAGATGTGGTGCGAGCAGTTGATACAAAATCCTAATTGAACTCTCAAACCAAAATATCTACTATAATTTTATTGCACATTTGGAGAATCTCAATACAACCAAATATATATTTAGGCAATATTTCAAATTCACGCATTATCTCAAAGAAAAATTTGAAAAAAAAAAAATTGTTGTGAAGAGTGGACGAGAGTATAAAAATAAAGTCCACATATTTGTTTGATTTGAGTGGTTTGTTTGTTATAAATCATGGGAAACTTTTAGTATGTATTGTTCTCTTGTGCATGAAAAAGTAAATGTAAATCTAAGTAAAATCTGAGTGAAATAAAAACACCATGAACATTCATCTTATAATTAGAAATAGAAATGGATAGGAGGTGCCAATAACCATTTCAACAGAAAATTTCAGTAGATAAAAAAATAATAAATATGATAAATATCCAAACTTATGTCCCTAAAACATACTTTGTAATTGCCTATGGAATCTCTGAGAACAATTCCTTCATTTTCCTTTAACCTGCATCCACTGATACCTAGTTCTTTTACTTTGTGTTTAACAATAATTCCTCCCAATGTTTTCATTCCTTCTTCAGACATATCTTTGTTACGAGACACATCCAATAGGTTTAGCTGCAATAAAGTTTAAAGTTATAATTAACTGAATTTAATATAATTCTCATTTTTCCCTCCATATACAGTGATACCTAGGTAGTCAAACTTAATTTGTTACGGATTGATGTTCAAGTACTGATTTGTTCGAGTACCGAAACTTTTTGGCCATAAGAAACAATGGTAATTATTCTAATACGTTCTATTTGTCGAAACTAATAAGGAAAATCTGATCTATATATAACACAAAATTTCTCACTACAACAAAATAAGTTGTTTGAAATAACGAAGAAAACCTTATAAGGAGATACTAACAGGGGTTTTCAAGCTTTTTTCAGGATGACCCCAAGGAGAACTTTCAAGTGTCCAGTGCGACCCCGGGTCAATATATATTCATGAAACTTTAGACTGTTTAGAGCTTCTTTCACTGGACTTTTGAGTTTGGTCATGTGGTGGTATTAAGTAAAATAAGCTAAAACCAAACAGTGATGTCACAATAAGTATGTACATTTTCTATAGCATAAGCATAGAGCGATATTTATGGGCCTGTTTCACAGTAAGCCATGGTACAAACTGCTAAATTTAACATGGTTTGTCAAATCGTAGATGATTTGTACATCCATCCTCTACCAAACCTCAGCGACCCCACCGACCCCATGACCTGTTTGTGACCCTACCTACCAGTGGCGTAGCATCCACCACCGCAACCCCCGCAGTCGCGGGAGGGCCCACAGCGCAAAGGGGCCCAAGCGGTTAGAATTTAGAAATTTAAGCCGCAAAACCAAAACTGCATTGCAAAACCAGTAATGCACATCTTATAACGATGATGTTAGTTCTGCTCAAATCGTTTTGTTACGTAACAATGCCAGGGCGTCATCGATTTTTGGCGTCAGAATGATGTCGAAAGCAAAACCTCTCAGTGGCGCACAAAAACGCAGAAAAGGGGCAGAAGAGGAAGCACGTATGAAAAAAATTGAAGTAACCAAGCTAAATGGCAAATTTTAGGTTACCATTGCCTTTTAATAGCGACATGTTAAGCTTTTTGACCAAATAAAAAAAAGGTGTTTCAGCTTATGTCCGAGAGTTTTTAGGGTCATTTCCACAAAATATTTTTGCGGGGGGGGGGCCACGAGAGTCTTGCTACCCCACTGCTACCTACTTATCACTCCGACCCAATTCGGGGTCGCAACTCCTGGTTTGAGAACCCCTGTAATAGAAGGATTATATTACTCAAGCTTAATGGGTCAGTCAGACAAGAAATTTTATATACAAGGGGGCAGACGTCTCAGACAAGCAAAGCTTCTTGCAATATAAAAAAATAAGGCAAGTGAAAGTATACATCGTCAATGAGAAATACTTTGTTATAACTTTTGAACCAAGTTATGATTTTATTTTAAACTAATTATTTCAACTAACCTTTGCATTTCCAAGTCCATTTTTAAGTGCATCTAGCAGAACGGGGTTCAGTTTGCAACCAGATAAAATAAGAGAAAATAAGCGACATTTGTCTGTTACTTTTCCAATTGTTAATAAACCTTCAACTCCCATGTGATGGTTATCACTTATATCCAGCAATTTTAACTAAAAAAATAAAAGAGATTTGATTTGACCAAGGGTATATTACAATTTTAAATCAAATTACCTCTATTTGTACAAATATAGAGTAAATTGGGAAAAATCACATTATGCATTTCAAGCCAAAACGTAAAGATATATATTCAATACCAATTTTCAACCATATAATATACAAAATATTAAAGAGCTGAAATGCAATGCTAATTGAAACAAATCAAAGTTAACATTTTCTCACTGGTGCAGTTTCAAGTCCAAGGCTTAAAGCTTCAACTTCTTTAGACTTGAGTTCACATAATACCAGTTTCAAATTTTCAACCATTCTATCTTGAACTATTTTGCCAACAGTCAAAAGGCCATCTGGTTCCATGTTGCTTTCGCCAACAATCTCCAGCTCAATGATCTGAATGCAGAAGGTTATAGTAGTGTTTAGAGTTCAGACAAATAGTAATTATCAGATACCAATATCGAAAGCTGACAGTTGAGAAATTCATATTCAAATTCAATACCAATGCAATTGATCGATCCAGTAAGTTCTGTTTGTAATATTAAGTTAGGAATTTAGGAGAGAAATTTTAGACAACAAGACGACCTATTCCATTTAAAAAACAATGCGTCATGTTATGATATTGTTCGAAAATGCAGATGGAGGATGGCTAAAGTACGCACCTGTAGTGTGGATTGTTCCAATCTGCTCGAAAAGCCATATAGTACATCTGATGTGAGCTTGCAATTGACAATACTAAATTTCATCAAACATTCGCAGTAGAAAATTGAAGAAGCCAGTGCATACATATCAGACATTATTAATGTTGTATTCATCAGACTAATCTTTGCTAAGATCGATGGAACAATACTTTTTGCTCCCATCCCTGCTTCATGGATCGCTCTGAATAACTCTAGACGATCCACCATGCCAAGATCATTCAAATGTTTCAATTCTTCTGCCATACTTGTTGTCAAAATTTTCTGAAGCTGTTTGGCATCTCCTGTGACTGAAATGCAATAAATATTAGATCACTAATCATGTTAGAAAGAAAATTATGTAACATGAAAGTGTGTATGATTATTGGTTAAAAAATTAAACAATATCTTGATAATGAATAAGCGTATTACCAGAAACAACACAAAGGTCCTGATTGGATTAAACAAATAGAATATTTCCAGCTCAAATGAATCAGTAATTTAGCAGGACCTAGCAAGAAGCTTCATAGGTAACATCAATATTCTTCAAGTGGCAAACTTATACAGAATGTGTGAACCTGACCACTTGTGTGTAGTTTGATATTTTATCTATTTTTCTCGTGGTATGTAGTTTTGAACGGAAAATCTGGTCATATCATAAGTAACCTTGACATATATGGCAATTGGTAACAATAATTTGATTTTCAAAAAATGCAAGATTTACTACCTATACGCTGGCCAAATATGATCATCTGTGCCAATATAAAAGTCATAAAAAAATAATATATGCATTTAGGCTTTTAAATGGTAACTCTAACAATCACTGTGGCAACAGCATATAACTCCAAGATTACTTTATATGTCACAACAATCAATTGCTACATTCTTCCTCTATATTCTCAAATATAGTCTACGTACTTGGAATTCTTGGAACCTCAACTGATAGAATGTTCAAACCTCACTAACAATGATATAAATGAATAACAACATACAAATAAGTTAATGCAATGAAGCCATTTCTGAATTACCTTGTAGAAGATTTTCAGAAGCTTCTTCAAAAACATCCTCATTGAGCAATGTTCCGCAAGTTATTCTTCTAATAACTGAGAAGTAAGGTTGATGAATAAATTCAGATATAAAATATTTGAAGTTGTGTTCGGTCATCTCAGCTACAGACAGAGCTGTAAGAACTTCTTGAAGAACTTGGTGGGCAAAGATAGCAATTGCTTCTCCTTCTAAAATTTGCTGATAGAACGGTTCTTGTGTTTTTCCTGGTACGACAATTGCAAGATCCGTGATTTCTTCTGTTGTCAAATGAACTTTCTTCAGATCTTCGTTTTTGAACAAAACCTTTCTCTGCTCAGTACCTTGAAAAGAAAGTTTCTTCATTTTATTAATAGCGGCAATGACATATTCTGTGCTGAATCTTTCTAGAGCTCGAGCATGTTTGGAATGTAAAAGTGAATGGAAAAGATTAACCATAACTCCTGACATTGTGTTAGGTACAAATGAATGATCAACACCTTTTTGAACCAATCCAACCAATGTGAAAGCGAGGAACACTGGTGTTTCACAAAGCGACATCAGATCAAGGCTTTGAGTGTGTAATATATTCAATACTCGCTCTGCTTTATTATTTTCAAGGAATCCAAACACAAGGTTATGAATTGAATCATTTGTGAGACCACCAAGAGAAATTATTCTATCTGCACAAAGTTCGCCTTTATAATTCCTGATTTTATACTCGCGAGAAGATGACAGAATTTGCGCCTTAGGTAGAATTTTTCCCAGAAATATATTGTACAGAATCGTGCCTGGAGAAGAACACTCATATGGGCCTATTATTTGTGATTCATCATCCACTTCATATGTCAATGTATCAAGAGAATCAAGAATCAAAATGACATTTTCGGAATTTCTCAACATCCATTCATATCCATATTTGATAGCTTCATCAGTGGGTTTGTGATTCATATATCGAAAAAGAAATTCGGGTACAGAAATCTTTTTTTCATTGCTGAAACTTCGGCAGCTTATCCAATGAATCAACACAACTTTTTGTTGAATTTGAGGAACAATTCCACGGCAAGCATCTCGAGCAAATCTTTTCAAAATTGTTGTCTTCCCTGATCCGGCAGGACCAACGATCATAACATGAAGAAATTCTTGAGATTTTGTTTTATTCGCCGAACGCAAAACAAGATTTTCAGGAGGCAAAGAGTTGAAAATTTCATCTTTTGTTATTTGAATCCGACCGTCCATTTTATGACGAATATTTCTTCTGGTGGTAAAACCAGGTAAAGGTTGATACTCTCTTTCATCAACATACTCTCCTCTGTAGAATGCATCAACGCCAATCTCAAATAATCTAGGCAATTCTTCTATTTCTGGCTCTTGCAAGTAGTCTTTGAATTGAAGAGAAACCCCACCTTTCTGAATATCAAAAATATTTTTATTCAGAGCTTCTCTGAATTCCTGGAACAAAATATCTATCTTTTTTCCAGTTACTCCAGACATAATCGAAGAGAAAGGAAGTATCAAGCTACATAAAGTGGAAATGCACTAAAATATTAGAAAGAACAATTTATTAAATACCACTAGTGAGCAAGAGCATAGTCACAGTAGTTGATCTATAGTCTTTTAGACATATTACCTATATAGCCAAGATACAGATATGGTGGATATATTGTTGTATTTACTCTGAACTAAGCTCTGTACAAGCAACTACTGCAAGGTATACAATGCTCATCTACACATTTGCGATGAACTAGGCTATGTACCAGAAATCACTAAATATAGGAATATAACAAAAGCATAATCCATTTGCTATTTACAAGGCTCTGAACAAGCAGTTATTAATAAAATTGGTAGCATTCATCCACACATATGCTTTATACAAGCAACTATTGAAAAGCTTGATAATAGCTATATTTAATACACTCATGAACAAAAAGTCTTTCCAACACAGGTTTATCTATCTGGTGCTGGTTACACGCAAGGCAATATGATATACATATATATATATATATAGGCATTTAAAATAATAATAAACAAATATTTGAATTTAATTACACCCACCAAGTACTGAAAACACACTTTCGTTTATCATATACGCCTACGAAAAGAATTTTTGGCCAGGATATTCATGCTAAAAACTCATTTTAATTTCAGTTGATGTTTCAAATTGAAACTCCAAAAATGGTATGAAATGGCAATTGTTAACGATATAACTATATCTATGCCAAAATATTGACATAAATTAAAACGAGGAAAAATATTAACAACACTGCGATATTACCTTGTCACTTGTATGCGACAATGACTGCAATAACTAAGTAAATTTTCGCAACTTTCTAACAGCAAAAGATGGTACGATTTAATCCAAACAAGTTTGTCTAACATGCCAACTTGATATTCATACTTTACTATGCTTGCAAATCTTGAAACAAATAGTAACAGCACATACATTACTGCATTACGACAATTCTCAACGATATTTGTCACTTCTCTATTTTATAGATGTTGCGCCATCATTACACGAATTTGACAATTTTAGATATAGCATATCACGTCTTTGGTTCCGTATTCAACGATGTATTATAACTAATATAAGCAATTCGAAGTTGGTCATTCAGATATGCGCCCTTTGATTCTGGAATGTTATTATTATTATTATCAACTGTAACGTGAAACTTCACGCTGTTACATTCTTTCCCTTTTTAACAAAGGGGGAATTTTTCCGGTACGTAAGGATCAATTACAGAACTGCTGACCATAGATATTGCGAATATAATAATTATGCATTATGTGTTGTTCATACTTGAGAAGATCGAAATTGTGTACGATGGATTTCGAGGCGATCACGAGATGCTTGTCACCGGAAGCATAAATAAACGCGCTTAGCCTATGATAACTGTAGGAATGAGTCGGGGGAAATAAGCCACTACTGAAGCCCATGTTTTATGTCTTGACCACGTTAACAATAGGTAAGTTTTGAATATTTTCGTGGTTAGTACATCTCGGATGTGAGTTTCTCAATCATATCAGAAAATAATTCCTTTCAAGCCTGGGCCATGTGCAACATGACACGATCAAACACAATCCAGATTCTTTGCGTTTGGATTTGATAAGTGCGCCCCAAAAAATAACAGAATTGTGTTAAATATAACTAATATATGATATTTTACATATTGTATTTATTATAAATGTTTTATTGTATCTTATTAAATTCATTTTACCTTTCTGTATTGTTCACTTTCTGTTACGCAGTGTCTGCAGTCATTGCTACGTAACTGTCTACTTTATACACTACTTTCTGCAATTCTGCGAGCTGCGGTTTCTTTATCTGCTGAACCTAGTTTACTGAACACGAGAGATTTTTAGTATTTCAAAGGAAAATCTTGCAGAGATGAGGACAAACAGCTGACATTGCCTTTACTCATTAGGACTACATGGTCACAAACTTTAAAACGCATAAAGAACACATTAACGATCACAAAATTTAGTTTTATTTAAAGGCAGCAATTTTCTTTTCCGTTCGAGTGCGCCGTGAGTTTTTCCCTAATAATTTGGCACCGCACCAACAAAAAGTTCGGCAAACTATGTATCGGTTAATTGCTCTAAGCGTTGAGAGCACTCGACCACAAATTACCCACCCTGCACCCAGAGGCGCAGCGAGGTTTTTCAAACCAGGTGGTTTCAGAATAGGGAATATTTTTTTCAACGACTTCTGAAACAGTCTCCGTGCGAACTTTTTCAACGGATAAAGATTTTTCTGTTGCGCAAAATATATAATCCATGACAGATACTATATTGTTTCAAATGTGTTCAACTTGCTGTTGCGTTGACTTACGGCCACATGAAAGTGTCACTACTTCACAAAATACCACAACGATCTGCAGACATAATAATAATGCGTGGTAAACTGTCCATTATATTTGATTTTGATTGGTGCGTTATAGCCGTTGAAAGACAAAAAAAATCTTTGATGGTATTCCATAGACTCTATGGCATAGAGTACAATAAAGAATTGATTGAACATACTTTACATCACCATAGCGCGGAAAAATATGACCGGGCGAGTGAGGCTTCGTCGGTAATTTTAGAATGGATAAGAAGATACATCTCGCACACAACTTACTGGTTTAATTCAGTAACTATTATATAATTACCAACTTAGCATAAATTTTGGCGACCCACAAGTTTACAATGTCCAAAATATCGTGTTTTTCTGTCGCAGGGCTCCTGAAACAAAATTGATGGTTGTCTCGGTGGGTTTTGTAAGATACCTAGAGGCGTTGCTATGAACATGTGAATTCTCAAGACTTACAGAAACACAGTTTGTATTAATAAATACACAAGATTAAATATGGAACATAAATGGAGCATAAATCAGCAAACTACATCAACTGATATAAACTCCAATGACTATCGCGCATGCCCTGCGCGCAGTCCAACATTCACGGCGCAAAGCATTAATATGCAAGTATTATGGCATCATTATTATTATATGACATAATCACGATACAGTGGTTTTCTTTTTATTCTCAATATTTCATAACACTGTTTTTCAGCCTCTTTACTCCGTTATTTTCAATCCGAAATTAGAGTTGAGGATTCACTCCACTTGTTTTTACTACCGGTAATTATCTTTGGCGTCTCGTTGCCCATGACTGTATAAAAGCAGTAGCCTACATTACATATTTTTACAAAAGACCAACAATACGGGCAAACAAAAAATTAATCACAGACGTCCTCGCTGCATAAGCATGATATATACTTATGCAAGAGGATACTTGTGAAATAGGAGAAATTGCGGAAATAATGTTTACCGACATAATACGATGTATACGGCCTAAATCAGGGGTCGGCAAACTTTTGTCGTTTGCAGGCTAAAATTGAAGGTTGCAAGTCATTGGCAGGCCGCACATATTTTTAAAAAGTTAAAAACCGAGGAGAGAGATTTTATTGGATGTTTGAACATTGAAATGTGATGGTCAGTAAGACCTTTACGGGTCACCGAGGCTCCCGACCATTTTATTTACGCTGTGATCAAACTGTCAGCATGGATTATCACACTATGAAATTATAAAATAAAGACAGAAAAATGAATGAATGAGTCGGCTGATAAATTTTTTTTTTTCTACTATTCAACACTTTACATGAGATTTATTGTATAGTTCAGAGGGCATGTGTAAAAATTGTATATATATTATACTACACTTTAATCAAGTAAAAAACTGATCCCATCCACAGGTAACCAAAATACAAACAGTCAACTTTACGGAAAAAAAATTGGCAAAATTAAAATAAAAATTGCTTTGGTATGGACAGGAGGGAACGATACGACCATGCGGTATGCGTTCATCGAAGTCAACCACTACCCTATTTGCTGATGTGATCATGGTTCACGTTGAAATGGCTATTAGAAAGTTGGTCTGGAAAATAATACTTTAACAAATTCGATATATGGTAATCACGGAAAAAATTCACATTGGGGGAGGGTATATTTTGTTGAAAACTCATTTAAACAATAAAATTTCGTGGGCTTTAGATGGTGGTAAACAATAATATATACAAACATTCGATATATGAAAAGAGCAAAAATAAAGATATATATATACATATATATATATATATGCTGTATATTATTGGATGGTGCACTCAGCATCAACTTTTTTACGTTCTGTTGCCAGTTTGTGTAATTATAATCAATTTATAGGCTAATTAAACGAGTGAGTGATTGTGAATTATATACTTGTTAGATTATCAGTGGCGTAGCATCCACCCCCGCGGTCGCGGGGGGCCCACAGCCAAAAGGGGCCCCAAGCGGTTAAAATTTATAAATTTAAGCCGCAAAACCAAAAGCTGCATTGCAAAAGCAGTAATGCACATCTCATAATGTCGATGTTAGTTTTGCTCAAATCGTTTTGTTACGTAGCAATGCCGGAGTCGTCGATTTTCGGCGTCGTGTGGTTTGATCGCACCGGCCACCGGCGCAATTACGAAGGCTGTCAGATTGATGTCGAAAGCAAAATCTCTTAGTGGCGCACAAAAACGAAGAATAAAGAGCAGAAGAGATAGAACGTATGAAAAAAATTAAAATAACCAAGATAAGCGAAATATTTAAACCAAAATTGAAACAATTAGACTTGGGAATACCGAACGTAACTGAGAAGGAATTAAGCCTAGCACCGGTGGTATCGGTAGAAAACCAGATGCGTGTTCAAGCTCCAAAAGTGATGGCGCCGGCGCGAATGAATTTTCTTACACGACAATTATCACAGGTAAGCTACTGATTTTTGAAGCAAATTGAAAAAATTGATATGACGAAGATTGTGGATGAGTTTGCTAACACGAAGACGCAAATTTTAGGTTACCATAGCCTTTTTATAGCGACATGTTATGCTTTTTGACGAAATAAAAAAAAAACTTTGTTTTAGCTTATGTCCGAGAGTTTTTAGGGTCATTTCCACGAAATATTTTTGCGGGGGGGGGGGGGGGGGGGCACGAGTGTCTTGCTACGCCACTGTAGATTATAATATAATTTGATGTCTCAAAACAAATTCTGTTACGTAAAGAATATAATCGTCAATACAGTTGTTTTGTTAATATAATTCAGTGAAGCGTCGCGGGCCGGATTATATTGTTGCACGGGCCGTAGTTTGCCGACCCCTGGCCTAAATAATCGTGCCACATTCGCGAAAACAATCGGCGATTTTAACAAAATAAGCCGGGTAAAAATTGCACACGTTATTACGAAATTTTTAAGAGGAGAGACAGTGGTTCGACTGAAGAGCATAGCCGTCCCAAAATGTTGACGGGGATGTTTTTTTAATAAGACGATTACCCGCGCTTTTTCATCATACGCTCATTCGTCAAAATGCAAAGTGCGTTCTACTGTATGTATGCTTTCATTCACTTGTTTTTGGTTGACAAATCAATAAATCTATCCGGTCACCGGTCACCAGTCATATTTTCGGGTGTGGGAATGTTAAGCCCGTTACGTGTTATAGCTACATGGACTTGGTGAGAAGAGAACCCGAAATAAAGTAGGGGTCGAAGATTGTGGTAAATAGTAATACGCTTTTTGTCAACATGGTAATCAACCCTACACTACCCCGTACCCTCACCTGCCTCTCCACCATGTCCACAGCGACTTCAAGCTCAGGATTGGCTACCAGGTGAATTAATTTATTGCACGGAAATACAAAGTTACCTAGATTAACAATAATATGAATTTTTATTAAACGTTTTAATTAGAAAACAGCAGTTTTTAATTAAACGAAAAAACAGCTACAGTGATAAGCTATAAGACCCCATTCCTGTCAAGAATTGGTGTTTTGTGCAGCATTGAGCAAACGTCTTTAACAAGAGAATAATAGGTAAGACCAAAGCAAATTTTTTTTATATTGTGATAATCATGTTTTGAAACAAACGAAAATGAAGTAGCATTTTTAAAGTTACCAATGCCCAACTATGTGATATAAGCACGAATATCAAGTCCTGACTTAGTTAAGATGACGATAATCATCTCATCTCATACAGTGACTGATGTAATGCATATGTAGTTTAGAGATTCTATAGTTTATGCCCAGTATGCCAAAGCACATAGAATATGCATTTTGTTACGTAAAACTGTATTATCCTAGATTACTTTGCCTCAGTCTGTATCTGATTATAGTAAAGGACATCATAACTAAATTTTTGAATAATATCATGCATGTAGAGCAAACTCTAATATATTATAACGAGAATACCGGAATAAATTGAGGGCACTTCACATAAATCTTAAATTTCAAGGCCTCAATCAAACTAATTATACTTGTTCTTCATCAAATAAATTCAATAGACTTTTCTTATTCACTTTACCCATCGCATTTTTTGGAATTTCCAAAACTAACTTCATCAAGGTAGGTGTGTTATAATGAGGCATTCTATTTGAGCACCAAAGTTTTAGATCCTCGACGGTGAAGCTTATATTATTGTCTTTTAGTACGATGATAGCTGCAACCCTTTGACCCCATGTTTCGTCGTCAACCCCTAGGACAGCAACCTCAAGTATGTTATCATGATCTAGTAGATGGCGCTCAATATCGAGAGCACCTATTTTAAAGCCACCACTCTTGATGATATCAACAGATGTTCGTCCTACAATGCAAAATGATTCATCTTCAAACTTGGCTGTATCACCAGTTTTGAACCAGCCATCTTTTCTAAATTGCTCTTTTGTTGTGTCAGGTCGTTTCCAATATTCTTTAAATATTGGTCCCCGAATTAACAATTCACCTTGGTGACCTTTCATGCCAGGATATTTTAATACACCATTGCAATCAGCTTCTACAACAATGTTCTCTTCATCCTCTGCTAAAATCATGGCCTCAACCCCAGGAAATGGACGTCCGACTGCACCAGGTATTCTTTGGCCACGATAGCTGTTCGTAAGCGCCATTCCAACCTCAGTCATACCATACCTAACACAAAAAAGTCATAACTAAAAATAATAGGAAGAAAGTAAATAAGTAAGTAATCACTTAGACTAGAACATAAGTGCAAAATTATTAACAATTCTGAAAAATATTTCAACATACATCTCAGGATTTGCACATTGTACTCAAATATGGCAGTCACATTCTATTTCAATTAATCTGTCAGCTCCTCACTCAGATACATAAATGTGTTACTAAAAAATAATTCACCAAAATAACAACAGAAATTTTTTATAATATAACTTTTTTTGGTAAAATCAACTCTTCAAACAAGTAGTTCGACATTACCTACCCAATTCATTACACCCTGGGTGCTGGGTGAGTTCGTGAGTGATTGGACAAATATGGGATATTCAAACCAAATTTTATTGAAAATAAATTGTCGCTTTTCAAAATTTGATGCAGAACCCTTATTCTCAAGAATAACTAGAAAAAGAACACACAGAATAGCATATGAGCTAATATTCCTTAAAGAAAAAAATTTCCAGTTTCAATTTCAAAGCTGTTGAAATGACAACATGTTAGCAATTTGATCTCACCTTTCCAGAAGTTCATGAGAAGTCAGAGTTTTCCATTTCTCAAATATCGTTGCAGGTAGAGATGCAGATCCGGAAACCATCAACCGGATCTTTTTACATTTTTCAAAAATTTCATCAGATTTACTTTTCATGTTATTTTCATAATATTGCAATAATTTTATATAAATCGTAGGAACAGCCATGAATACACTTATGGGTGGAAAATCTTCAAATTTTCCAAGAAAATGATCCCAAACCTAATAAAATACATAAAACATATATCATAAATACAAAGGAATTCCATTCATAGACAGATTGGCCAATTATCAACTGTTAAATCTCATTTCTGTATCCAATTTCAGAGGTCAAGTCAATGCAAAACAAAAACAAATTTGATAGATAAAATAGGATTCAGTAGTTGACCATACTAGTTTAATAAATGCACCAGCATGCTGTTCCTTGGCCGAACTTTTTTTTCTACTGTATAACAAAATATCAAGGTTAAAAGATGCATATTTTAACATTACAGCATGCAATGTAAAATTCCTATAATGATGAACATCTTTTGCACTTTTGCTCGGATAGCCTTGAGCAGCTAGCTCATGTCTGAAACATACAGGAAGGAAGTCAGTAGTCTGCTCTGCAAAATCAACAATTGTGCTGCAATTATTTTAAATGTTGAAGATTTAATGTCATGATCAAGCATAGAACTTGCAAAACTGACCTTATGTGGTTGGAACTTATTCTCCATAACTACGGTTGCACCGATACTGAGAGGACACATCATTGCATTAATTATTCCATGAACATGATGTAACGGTAAAACATGCAGTATTCTGTCATTATACTCCCATTCCCAGACAGCTAACATCATTTCAATCTTAATGAAATATTTTTTAGAAAAAGCTATGAGGATATTTTAAAGGCTGGTATCTAATGTAGAATTCTAAATCGCTCATTTAGCCTATGCTTATTAACTCATGATGTGGCCAGAATCATGATAACATAATTAGGTGTAAAAAAGAATATTTTCGAATTTAGGTTATTATTATAGTGAAAATAATTAAACCAATCTGAATCTTCTGACATCACCCAGGATTCCGGACTTCATCTTTTCACTTATGAAACTATAGACACATGGGCTTTAGAAATTAGTAAGGTAAAGAATTACTGGTAGGCCTATGTCATTATGTGCAACCCCAAATCATAATTTCCATTATATTGCAAAAATCTAAGCATACAACAGACAGTAGGCTAACTGTTTTATGGATATATGAGAGAAAGAGATTCATTGCTTCAATAACCAGAATAAAAGCATTGTAACAATAAAAATATACATATAAATGTGATTGTTGCCTGAAATAAAGACTACCGTAGTTATGTAGGCAACAGAGAGCTCTGTGTTTTCACTTTTCGAAGACAAGAAATGACACAGCGCTTCTATGCGTTTAAATAAAGGACAGTGTCTAACCTGTTTTTGCAGATGATCATGAGTCCAAACTACGCCTTTTGGCCGTCCTGTTGTCCCACTGGTATAGATGATTAAGGCATTATCATGTGATGACATTTGCACATCTATGTCATCAAGTATTCCTGCTTCGGAATATTGATCAATAAAATCTTTGGGAAGTATAAGTAGTTCTGTCCCATGTTTTTTTGATAAATCTTCCAATCCATTTGCATGATCTGAGGATGCAATTAAGATTTTGGGCTCAGAATCTTGTAAAACATAATCTATCTCACTAATGGGGTGCGATTTGCACAAGGGAACACAAGTTCCCCCTTTCATCCATGTTGACCATTTACATGCCACATAAGAGGCATCATTGTCAGTTAAGAACGCAACTCTTTCTCCATGCAATGACGGAAGATTTCTAGAAAGATTCATGGATAAACATGCAAGCTTGCTATAGGAATGTTCGCCATTGGAATCCACTATAGCCGTTTTCTCAGGATTATTGAAAGAATTTTGAAGAAATTTTGGCAATCTTCGTATATTTGTTGCTGATGAAGTGCTTCTCTTTGCTCTGGAATGTTTCCAACAATTCATAGAGACCATGCATCTCAAAGGTTTTATATTTTGTAGCACATTCATATGTAAATATTTTTTTTTCTGATCAAACTGAAGATAGTAAAATATTACTGATATTGTCAAATTGTCTATTACTGTGTTTCATTTATAATGAAGAAATCAAAGTCGTATCGTTGCCCCCCAGTCATATACCGAAAACTATTTTTTTGATATTTGTTTATGTGTGCATAAATTGTTTTCTTGGTTTGACAAAATGTAATAAACTCTCTCTCTCTCTAATAATTTGAATCAGACTGGATCATTTGCAAACGCGAAAAATCTCAATGCGACGGGCGCCTGACTAGAGTGCGGTCATGCGTAACGGCATTGTTTATATATTGACTTTTTCTACCATTTTCTCCCAAGATTCCAATTTTTTCAACTTCACGACCTGGCTTCTCGACAGAAATGTAATTACGCCGGGTGAACCTCCGAAAGCACGAAAGAGAGGTGGAAAATTTTTCAACTACGATATCGGAAGGTAATGTCTGAGTATCGGTGCTAGTTTTCTTGACTTCGATTAATCTATGATAGGAATTCCTTCTGATAGCTTTTACTTCGGCATCGTTGAAAATTTGAAACTTATTTAAAATTTTAAATTATATTATGCCTTGTGTTGTCTAAATGCTGCCGGATCCAAATTCATACGTAGATAAAATTTCCTTCTGTACCGTATTTGATCACATGACACTCGAAGGCCGCGATAGTCAAACGTCCATTTCCAGACTTAGGTGTGCATCGCTTCTTTGTTTTGCCTGCTACACTGTTTTGCTGATATGTCAAATCGGAGAAAAGTTGTTGTGCACTTGTAAAGCCATCGCAGTTGGTATCAGAGTATTAATGAAACAAATAATACAGTTTCCTCAAAAAACGCGGTTGAAGCCTGACGTTGTCGAGTCGTACCATTTCCTTTCTGTAAGATATGTCCACGAGAAAAAGGGTGAGTCACTGCTGCGCCTACCTTTTTTGCAACCCTTTATTTCTTTGAATTAACTGGACGAAAGTCCGTTTGCGGCTATCTCGGTCTGCAAACTGATGAGCATTAAATAAAGATCAGTCGGAGAGCAGTTAAAAAAGAAAATCTCAAGCATGATGTCATATATTCTTAATGATTAACTCGATATGCAAACTGGATGCCGTTTCACTGTTTGAGGAGTTTAAGCATTTTTAAATTCGGTGACGATGGATCGCTATGTCATTTTAAATTAGTCAGAACGGCTGTAATAGATTCACGGTTTCCAATAAAAAATATTTACCTGATTTTAGCATAGATACTGAAATATGCCAAAACATTGTGAATTGCAGCAGAAATTTGGATGGTGATGTGCGCTTATACTAAGAGATCTAAAACATGGCTCAATGTAGAAATGTACAAACAAATTCTGAATGTACATCTATAAATGGTATCTCATTCATCCTTTAGCTTCAATATGCCATGTCAGCCTGAAAAATGTCAAAATGCGGATGCTTAGACGAAACTTAGCAAATTGAAATACGCTATTTCAACATCCAGCAATGACATTTTTATCAATTGCTGACATAAGTATTTGTATTTATAGGTATCGTTTACAGAGGTTGGTGAGTGGAGTGGGGAAGATGTAGAAAATATTAATGATGTTGAATATTTAGATAATCCTGAGACACCATTGTTACCTCACAATAATACTATGGCTCCGAAAGACAGGTTAGTACAATTTTGTTTGACGTTTTTAATTATTTGTACCTTGTTTTGTCATATTGCAAGACTTTTTCTGTTGAATATTCATTTTTGTTTTAATCCATTTTTTAAAGCTTCCTATGCACTTGACTTAACATAGTATCGGACTTTGTAGCATCTCTCTGTTTATAGTTACTATTTTACCATTTAGTTTGGTCTTTTCTCAGTTTCTTGGTGAGCGTAACAATAACTCATTTTTAATTGTTAACACTGGACCAGTTTCTCAAAAAAATGTATACAATTTTTTTAGGTACTCTGTGTCGTACTTTATATTTTATCTTCTTGGACTCGGAAGCTTACTACCATGGAATTTCTTTATCACTGCTAATGATGTATGTATCCACTTGTTTTTGCTGTCACTCACCTACTAGATAACTGAATTAGCAATGATTTATTTCCGTAAACATTGATGTACAAAAGTCCAGAATAAATTATTCAAATTGTTAATTCATTCAAAGGTAAATTCATTCATTGCCACTGATGTTGGGCTGCTAACAATAAATACCCTTCAATTTTTAATTGATTACATTTTGGGAATAGTAGAATAAATTGAATATTTTTCATTGTCAGAGTAATTTTGCACAAATTGGTTAGCATGTATTTTAAACAGGTTTGTATATCTTTATTCATTGAATTGGTGTGAGGATAATCTCACAATAATGTGTATGGTATTGAAATAAAGTGACTGCAACATAGTATACATTGAACATAAATTTGTCAAAGACATCTTAAAAATAATGCTATCTGCTAATGATTTTTTTCAATGCTTTTCATTTATGTAGTATTGGATGTACAAGCTTCGTGATGTGAATAATACTGTGCCAGAGTCTGCAGTGACACCTTTGCCAAATGAATGGAATATTACTGTACCCTATGATTCTAATTCTACCTCAACTACACCGGGTTTTGACCCTGGAACAATCACCAGTCTTCAGTCCTTATTCATGAATTCTCTCGCAATTTGTGCGATGTTGCCCAATGTGATTTTCCAATTCCTAAATACTCTGCTACAAAAACGGTAAGTAATTATGTTTATTACGCTTATTATCAGGTGAAATTATGAAGAAAATCATCAAATGAAGTAACCTAAGAATTTTAATCTTAAGAGGATTGCAACAGTAATAAGTAGGAATGCTTTCTACTCAATTTAGCTTTTATTTAATGTCAATTTAGCTCACTAAGTCCGGGTAAAGAATAAATACAAAATTGTGATTATGAAAGCATTCATTAACATTGACAAATAATCTTGGCATACTTGGCATTCAAAAATAATATCCGCTTTTTCTCATGTTAGAAAGTCAGTATTCTTCTTATTAAAATCAGCTACTTTGTGGGCATTGATTCATTCTCTAAATGCTGTCTTTTCTTTTTAGAATACCTCAAAATGTGCGAGTTCTTTTTACACTCGGTGCCATGATTTTGTTGTTCGTCTTCACCGAAGTACTAGTACGAGTAAGTGGTGATATTTGCTGATTTATTTAGTGTTCCGCATCACTGTTCAATTGTTTTTAATTTAAGAGAACTTATACACTAAATTTGTTGAAATACTCCCAATTTTTATTCTAGTTACAAGTAAGTGAATGCTCATGTGCAGAAAGCAATTTGAGTGTTGCCCTCTATTAAACACAGTAACATAATGTGTGTATTGATTAGATATGGTGCTGTAATCAACCCATTATCTACTTACATCAATTGGTACCAACTGACCAGTTTTTATAGATTTTTTTGAAAGATCAATGAATTGAATATCGTGTTTTACATACCTTGTTTTAGTTGGTCTTAATACACTTTAGAAATTGAATATTCGAAATCATTCGGTTTGTTATATATTAATTAATTGGTACAAATTTAACTAAAATATAATATTTGCTATCATATTTTGCTGTTAATTTTGACAATTATTATTTAGTTGCATACACTGATAAATGATTTTATTTTTCAAAACATTGAACAGAGCGAATAAAAATGTAAAATGTAGTTCAATTTTGATTTAAAATTACCGGTACTCTAATTTTCCAAGATTCATATTCAAGAAATTTAGAATATGCAATTACTTGGCATATTTTCAAACAAATATGCAGAAACAAAATGATTATCTAATAGTAAATATCAACCACACTACCACAGTATTGATAACAATGACAGAGAGCATTCTGGAACTATGTCATGAAATTTATTATAATATTGTGATTGAATTTTTATTTACTTCACGAAATTGAGTTTCATTTTAAAATAGCAAGTTTACAAAAGACTATAGCCATTTATTTATTTGAATTTCCAGTTTAACTTGAATTTGCTGGGCATGTGAAATATTATTCTTTTCTTCCAAGACTGATACTTCTACGTGGCAAAATGAATTCTTCACCATCACTCTAATATCTGTGGTATTGATCAACAGCTTTTCTGCCGTTTTTCAATCAAGTGTGTTCGGAGTGGCCGCATGCTTCCCACAGAAGTATTCAGGATGTGTTATGGCTGGACAGGTATGATAAATATCTTCAGAAATCTCACTGGTGACATTGAAAAGGGGAATTTTGTTTTTTTTTATTTTTTTTGTCACTTGAATGCTGATCAAACTTTGCTTTCGTGGGCCATAATTAGTCTTGTTTAATTATGTCTAGAAATATATTTTTTTAATTAGAAATTGTTGTTCAGTGGAATACAAATTGAAATATTTATACCATAATTTCAGGGGATGGGTGGAGTCTTCGCTGCTCTTGCTATGATTGCTGCTCTAGCATGTAAGTAATGGTTTCTATGATCATTTTCTATTTGAATATTCATATTTATTTTTTTTATAATTGTTTTTATGCCTCCGAATCATTTCAAATTTAATAAGAGTTGCAAGTTCTCAATTTGGATTTTATTTTTTTAATTATATCCATTATCCAATCTGAATATACTTGTAAAGGTGAAACTTTCAAAAGGCACTAAGTCTATAATAGAAATGTAGTATCATCATACTTTCAATTTTCTTTATTTGCTTTTACAGTTAGTAGTGATCCAACTGACAGTGCATTCATATTCTTCCTCACTGCGATTGTGGTGCTAGCTTTGACAATGGTTTTCTACGTCGTACTCATAAATCAGGTAAGTAATTTTATATGTACAAAATACTTTTCTAAACAAAGACAAATATTTGTTTCCTTATAAGCATTTAAAGAATGTAATTCATCCTAATAAGAATACACCACATTCTATCATAGGAGCGTGTATGTAAATAATTCAAATCTATGGAATCATAATAATGCTATGAATTCTTTTGAATATTTTCAATCATAGCTCATTCCTAATAGATTTTACCATTATACTCAAACTTTTATATAACTAAGAGTTTTGAATGACTTTTATCTCATTTTTATATGAATATGGGTTTAATAATCCTGTAATGAATTTTCTATGGCCTATGCTAACCATTTTTGTACGTCATTCACACAAGTCCAGTAGTTTCTTTGTTGTGTAAACACCTCTAACTGTTGACTATTGTTGAGTCACTTATTATTACAACGCAATCTACCTTCTTTGTTCCCCCAATTTCTCTTTCAGGTGTAACCCAAAGTGTTATTGCCCGAGGGCCAGGTTGATTTGTATAATTTTACAAATTATTGATCTTTTGTTATCATATTAACCTCAATTTGTATTTTGTCACCAAATAAAAATGATCATGAATTTTATTTTACAGGAGTTTTATAAATTTTTCGCTCTGGGCTCATCGAACAAAGAGTATTTGAATGACAAAGGTGAGAATATTTGTAAAATAAAACTCATATTTGTCTGACAATTACAATACATTTTTTAATTTCAATGTTCAGCATTTCGAATATAAAATATTTTTACTGGCTTTCCTCAGTCATCTTTATAGTTATAGTGTTTGCTATAGTAAGTTTTACATTACTGTACTTACTATTTTGTGTCATAACTTAAAATAGGCTGTAAATTTTTATTCGCTTTTTTAAAAAATGTAGTATTTCACTATTCATTCCAATCCATATTTAACATTGAACATATTTGACTTTCAAAACCCGAATTACATCCTAACATGTACTTGGGAAACCTTCTATTCAACTCCATTCATCCTATTGGTTGAGATATGTGGGCGTGTTCATTCCGGACAGGTCAATAGCATAATCTGGTAAATAGGCTTCATGATAAAACGTGTAATTTGGCTTTTTATATCCAATCTGAATGTTGTAAACATAAATATTTGATATTGACTCTATGGAGCCTGTAACATAGAAATATCTCAAATACTCAAAGCAATATTTGTTATCAATGGATGGCCCATATCTAATACTGGTCGTTTATTTTCAAGATTATTTTCCAAATGTTTAAAAAAGCTTATGGCTTTGTTTGGGAAAAAACATTTACATCTGTTTTTACATTTTACCATATTGCCCCAAGGCAATTATAGCATCAATATGACTTTATAATCACTATATGCTCCTATATATATTGAACAAATGTTAATAACTAAAACTAAATAATAAAATATTCATGATTTTTCGCCTCATCCTAATATTTGCTCATTTTAACTACAGAAAAAGATATAGAAAATATGGTAGCAGGCTTAACTTTCTAATTATGGTTCTATTTATAGAGTGAATGGTAGTATACAATTCGCCTAATTTCTTATGTCTCCTAATAGGAATTTTCTAAATCATTCATGATGCTTATTCTACTTTCAAAAATGTGGTCAAGATGTAGCAATATTAATTATTAATAACTTATTAACACTAGTCTGTATTATGGGCAAATGCAAGTATCTATTTTAAGTATTACCATATATTTCGCTGCATTTATTATGTATTCAGATAAAAATTGATTAATGCATGTTGAGTTTTCTTCATCATAATAATATTAGTCACTTTTTATTTGCTTTCAAATCAAATAAATATGCACATTTTTCACATGCTTTATTTTAGATAGGATTAAGTTATATTATTATGACAACGGCAGTATGTTGGGACACTTCTAGTATGCCAAATATTTATAGAATGAAATAATTAGAAGATGCAGTGTGAGATTTATTGCTCTTTAATCTCAACATCATTATTGGAAAACCGGTTCTCCTATAATTAAAATGATATATTTTTATTGGGACTGTGTATATTTTCAATATAATCACAGTTGTTACATATTTATGCAATAGCCTATCTCGGTAAATCTCATTTTCGGCCTTATTGACTTCCCAGATCCATTGTCACATTTTTGGATTTAATGGCTTTTAGCAACTGTTTTTACTTATCACCAAGTGATAATTAGGAATTTTATCATGTTAGCTAATATGAACAGTATATATTATATATATGGATCATTTTCAATTTTGAAATGTACAGCAAGTTTTGATTATGTATGTATATATTGCTTATATCAAAATAGTAGTTTACTTTTATTTACCATACCATTAATTTTCGGTTAAATTTTCAATTATTCACTGACAGCTTTTCATTTTTTCACTTCACAACAGATGTAAAACTGAATACAAGTGGAAATAACTCCGAGGAAAAACATCCACTTGCTATAAATGGAGATGAAGGCGATGATTCATGGATGAAAAGAGAAATTGAAGATCGGAATGGAATCAATAAATATCCTTCAAGTGAAAGTAGCATATCGGCTGATATTAAAACTTCTGTAAGCTGAATTTTTTAGTATTTCTCGCAATACCAAGTTTAAAGATTTTTACGATTTATTCAATAATTCTGTAATGGCACAGAGTTGGCTAATTTCTAATTTCTCTCTTGTTTCGCTCCATTACAGCATGAGTAATCTCTCAAGTCTGGTTTTGTATTTTCTCTCTTTTTAAACGCCAGACATCCTGTATTTTAGCACAGATATTATCACAATGAATACTAGTGAACATATAGGCTTATGCCAAAATCCTTTTGTTACTTCGGCAGTTGTTATTCCAGCAGAAATACAAACATGAAACATACATGAAAAAAAATCATATTATAATCAAGTTTATTATATGCCATCATTATGACACAATAAGTTTTTTTTTAATACTTTCCTATTTTTGAAAGCAAACTCTGGGAATATCAATCAATTGTGTGGGAAAGTTTGTGTGCAAGTAATAACACTATTCAATATAGCTAAAGATGTATTTTAGGAATAAGTTCTTGTGTATTGTTATTACTGCCTTAGTTTTAAAAACAAGATTTACCTCGATTGCTTCAGAAAAGGTGTTTATAATTTTGTCAATGATTTCCTATATTTGCATAATGCTATTTGTAGCCTGTGAAATGATTTTTTCAATGAGCCTTGTCTAGCCCACAAGTCTGTGCTCATTCCTAAAAATATGTTTATTAGATTATCCCAGGTTGGGAATATTTGTTTTTTAGCAAATTTGTCTGAAAATTGTGATGCTGCTCGCTTTTCGCAGATTAATAAAAATCGCCTTTTATATGTACAGAATACGTTACTTGACAAAGACCCCTATGTATATTATTATCCATAAGCTTTTTAAATTTTAAGCTTTTGCAATTCATCCTAATAAGAACATGCCACATTCTATCATATGAGCCTGTATGTGAATAATTCGAATCTATAATCAAACATATGTTCATAACGGCTTCGATAAAAAGTGACCATTTGAAATTTTAATGTGTTCTACGTGTGCTACAGTTTTATATGAAATGGTAATTTTAATGCGTTTTACCTGCTACAATATTGGATGTTCTAGCTTACTGCCATTAATGCTGACCGGAATACTTACTCATTAGTTTACATCACTTTCTTTTAGTCATCCTCTCCCTCGCTGATGCTTGTTGTGAAAAAGATATGGCTACATATGTTTTGTGTTGTATATACATTCTTCATCACATTGTCCTGCTATCCTGCCGTAACAGCAAGAATAAAGTCAATGTCATCAGGAACATCATGGAATGGTTAGTTATAATTGTTATTCATGATTGAAATTTTTATTATAGCATTTGTCTAGTTTTATTTCCTCAACATTGTATTGGCTGACAATAACGAGAATAACAGTTACTGTCATTTTTATACAATACATATTTTTGTCTTTCTGAATCTGCTCTGAACAAGGCGATGTACCATCAGCCACTGTTAATCTAACAATATGCAAGGAGCAACTTTTATTTAGGAGGAACGGAGTCTTTCTGCTTTGGCGTTGTCTACACATGTAATTATCAAATTTAATTGAAATTAGGGCTGGGCGTTTCGAAACACTGATTTTGGATTCATCGCAGACATAAGTACATTTTCGATTTTTAGTTAGCAATGAAATGTCTTGTCAGCATTTCTGATTTTGTTTCAAACTGTTCTGAATTAAATAAGATGGAATATTTGATTTCTTGTGACTGGTTCTATCCCAGATACCGTAAGCGACAAAGAAGTTTTCTCTGCGAAACTCTCAATTTGATGTTGCAATCATTTCTGTGTTATTTTAATATTTTTTGCATTGTGTGTTGAACACTTTGACTTCGATTAGTTTGTTGGACAAACATAGTGCTGGTACGATTGTTTGATTGAGCTGATAGTGGTATGTTTTATTTGTTGATCTGGCGCCATGATTTCGAAACTGTACTTTGAATCATTGATAGTAATCACGTATTCATGTTTGGAATCATGATCTTGAATCGTATCTTTTTACTCGATTTGTATAGTATATTTATAAGCCCGCTTTGCACCATCCATAATTATCCCATGTTTTATAAGGAAGGCGATCCCCTGATATAACTTATCTGTTATATTCAGACAGTTATCAATTTTTATTTTTGTCGAAATACTATGTATGTTATTCAAGGATCATAATTGAAAGTAATTTTAATACAACTTTTTTTTTGTTAATTAAGACTGACTATATTTTGAATATGACAACATTTTTAATAGTTGATAATAGTCTATTCTAAAAAATTGCTGTCCTTACACTCTAACTTCCATGCACAGAGTGTAAAGTAATAGGTTCAAATTTCGAATAACTTGCTCTTTTAGCGCTCAATTATAATACGCAAACCCTTCATGTTGTTATCCATGTACGTATACTTGAATTATGAGTGTGGTTTTGATGTTTTAGACTTTGCTCTTTCCAAATTACTGTCATATTATTCTTTGTGTACTTATCGTAACTATATACTCCAATGTTATTTAGATTTATACTTCACTCCCGTTTGTTGTTTTCTACTTTTCAATCTTGCTGACTGGGTGGGACGAACGTCAGCATCTTATATCCACATTGTAAGTGTTTGTTTCTTACTAACATTTGCTTAGTTATTTCGCAACTTATGTTGTGCAATGTCTAACCATAAACTATTTGACTATGTTGCATATTAATTGAATTTATGAGGACTGAACAGAGGTTTGAAAGACCTCATTCAAACATGCGCTTGCCATGATATATCTATCAGTCAGAAATTACCTTTTTCAGCTCTTTTATACTACCTAACACTTCTATAATAATATCTATGCCATCTATATGTAAAGATGGTCGAAACTAAGCATTTTTTGCTGTCCTGTATACATTTTGAGTTGAGTAAAACTCACTGTATTGTGATTGGTCTTTTCTGTAGCAGTGAAGTTGAACTAGGCTGATTGTCTATTTATCCAAATTTCAATGACTTAAAATGATAATTTTTAAAATTGTCTAGATTTATTTCATCTATTATAGAATATGACAAGTTTTGAATGTAATCATACACTCAACTCTATTTTGGATATCCCATGTTAATAATCCGTTTTTGAAGGAAGCTTGGACGAAAAATTTTATAGTCCAGAAACCAAGCAGTACAAAATATTAGACAAGGTTGGCTAACTCCTGACCAGGTAATTGCTTATCAATATTGATTATTTTTTCAGCCGTCATCAGATAGCAAATGTGCACTGCTTTTAGGCGTTCTTGCTCGGACAATTTTTCCATTCTTGTTTGCGTTATGCAACTTTCAGCCACGTTATCATCTTCCAGTTTGGTTTGCCAATGATGCTTTCTTTATCGTGTTTATGATTTTATTTGCTTTGTCAAATGGTCATCTCAGCACTCTATGTATGCAGTATGGTCCAAAGTAAGTATACATAGAATTATGTCAATATTTTTTGATTTGAAAAATCTCAGATTACCATTATAAACAGATTGGGTTAATTAATATTTAATGCTGAAACTATGGAAGTCAAGAGAATTTATATTGCTATTTGCAGGCCTGTCAATTTATGAAATGGGATAAATAATATTCATTTCTTGTTTTTTTGGCTCTTGCCATCCATATACCGCTAGTTTGCTAATAAATAGGTCTACTTAAATAATTTGATTCAAAGTTGATTGCAGACTCAGTGCAGGATTTCACATTCCCAGACTGTATGGATATGGCATCCATACCTGTAGAACCAAATAGAATTTTTTTTTATATTCAGGAAGTTATAGAAAAACTTGGATTTAGGGATTCAAAGTGGATACAATTTTCTACCAGCTTTCGTTGTTATTTATGAATTTTGCTGCGTGAAGTTTTCTTGGGAAAATTGCATTTATGTATTCAATTCAAGGCGTCTGCTTGTATGCCTTTTTCGAATTAAGCTCAGAGTCCTGGGAAAGATAACATGAGCTGCTCTATAAAATAATGAGAATTTGGCCTATAAGCCCATACTCCAGCGGCTGGCCCTGTTCAAATTTATGACATATATATTAAAAATGTATATGACATAGATAGCATAAGTACAAGATAACATATGGCATCAATATATAGATAGCATAGACTGCCCCCATAACACTCTGGCCTATATATTATACTCTGGCCTTGTTCTAGTGTCTAATTATGTTCAACAATGTAGCGAATCCCAGACTTTATTAAACCAGACTAATTTATTAAACATATATTTATCACATTTGCAGACAAGTGTCACCTGAGAATGCTGCAACAGCTGGATCATTATTAGCTTTCATGATTTCGGTTGGACTTCTCGCCGGTGCTGGGTCATCATTTTTAGTTGTTGCTCTAATTTGATTCAGCGTGCATTTTTATTCAACTGCAATCTTCATTCATTTTTGAGATCAAAATAAATCGTTAGTACCATTCGATAGCTTGAAATTTTTCAGTGCAATAATTTGATATTTTCACTTTTTTGGTTCTTATTTGAGATTTTAGAACTCAATTCATCAGTATCGTACTGTTTCAAATTTTATGAAATTAGCCACCGCTGCTATGTAATCCCTTAATTAAGACTTATTTAATATTTTTTGTTCAGGGAAAACACCCTGTCTGTTAGTGAATAGATGTTTTTTTTTTATTTAATTTCTACAATATTCTTAGATTCCTTAATGTTCTCAGAGTTAATCAAGTCACTAAAAATCATATGTGCCAAATTGTACTCATGAAATTTGACATAATTTAATATTATTATGTTTTTCAACAGCGCCAGTTTCGAATCTAACAAATTTTGTGTTTTATTTTAATTATCGTATTTCCCGGCTAATAAGTCGCTTTTCTAGACCCAATTTTTTGGCCTGATATTGGGGGGGTCGTCTTATTAGGCGAGTATGATAGTTTTCATTTTTTTGGTGTCGCCTTATTATGTATTACGTATGCTCTTTTATTGTGGACGCAATCGCGAGTTGAACACAATTAGATTAAAATTTAAAGACAGTTTGAATCCTCGTATTATAGATTGAATATTACGCTACAAGAAAACATCATTGAAGGCAATTTTAACCAATGCGCAAACGTGGCGACCGCTCGAAAGGCATTGCATGGTAATTTGAGATTCCAATGTTGATGCGATTTTACTACCCCGACTTATTGGCAGGTTATATGCAAAACCCCATTTTTTCAGGCTTAAAACGGGCCTGGTCTTATATACCGGGTAGACTTATTTGCCGGGAAATACGGTATATTAACTACTAATCTATAATACATTTGTCCAAAATAATTGACCTGTATCACCTCATTATTTTTGTGTGAATGGAACTTATCTAACATTCTTGTAATGGTCAGATTCCTGTCTAATATTCATATAAATATTCAAAATTTGCTCACTTGGCTTTGCAACCAGCTGTAGTAGACTTCATTTAAATATTTTACCAAGATATCTTAATTTAAAAAAATTTAAATTTAAGCAATAATTGATACAAATTATCTGTTTTTTTTCTAACTTACATCGCTAGCATAACCAGAGTTTTAAATCCTTTATTGAAAAATATGAAAACAAAAAATATTTATTCGCTTGTTAATGAGAGCATTTATCCTTTACACATCCTTAGGTACTATTGTAGATGCATAGGAATATGAAGTAATAATAATCTGTACATATGTGGTTTAGTAAATAGCTATATGCTTGGCTGGCAGTGAGACACAGACTTTTCGATCACTAATACCAAATTTTTGGTCTAATTTATGAATAAGATATATATATTTATACATGAAATATCCTTGGGGTCTGTGAGCTATATAGAAATGAAGAATTGGATGTACAGTTGATTTTTCATCTTCCAGAGTGTTATCTATTGAACCATAGCAGTACAGTATCAATATGAAGCTACCTACATTATGTGTTAGGTTTTATGATAAATTTTATTTGTATTTGTTTGATATAGACTTTTTATTGTTTTATGGCTTTATGTATAAGTGATAACTTTTTATTATTTTCTTCTTACTTTACCATATGCTATTCTGAATTTTTTTTGTTATGTGGGATATTTTTAATTCGTTTGTCTCTGGTGTATTAAAATGTGTGGCAGACCTGACGCGTGTGTGTCTATTTCAGGCTTGAAATTCAATGGAAGCGATTTTATACTTGTGATATTGAATATGAAGGTTTTCTTATCGGTATGGCATTGTGCTAAGCGTTAGGAATACATTTGCATATCACACCATTGCATGGGTTCGCGGATATATTCCTATGGGGGATGATTAAGTGCGATAGGATTGCCAGTCTTCTTGCCACCGTGGGGTTGACCGCTGGTCAGTTAGATTTCCTCCACCGTCAAGTCCACGCATCTGAAAAAAATAAATGGCTAACTAATCCCATACCCGACATGGACTTGTAACCGGACGAGAGGGGTACATCATTCGATTTACCTTATTATGGCCTTTTCGCATCCCCGGGATAAATATGTAATTCTATCGTTTTGCTTTACTCAATTCTTAATTTTTGGCAACTAGAAATTCACTCGCATTCATTTAATTGTTTGATGCATTCACAATTAAACCATGCTATTGGAACTACTTTCGAGTGACGCTAACACCCACTTTATTGTCTGGTTTCTTGAAAATTGCGACCAATCTGTTTCAAGGTTAAAGAAATTATGTTGCAGTGATAAACGGCACTGAACACGAGGCAATGAAATATGAATGCAATGAAATACATGCTTTTTATGTCAGAGGGTGCTGTTTAACCTTTGAAAATTCATCATTTATTTTTTATCCGTTTCTGAATGTTGAAGGCGTGTTTCAGAAGTGAACCGTTTAAATATTGAAAATACGAAAGATAATAACGACTGTATTGCAGTAGTTTATCTAATTCTAAACAACAACGAACCTATGAATTATATTTATTCTTACTATTTAGGGATTTTTCATCGGATTTGTCCATTTTGAGAAAGATGATGATTTATTTGTCAGTAAGTCTTATTCGGGACTTGAAACGGGCATTATGACGTCACATTTTCTGGTGTCATGATGCTTTAATACTCAAATTCCTTAATTGTTTGTAAGATATTGATATTGTGACTCCATAAAAATCTTCGTTTATAGCTTGTATGGGGAGTGGTATCACGGAATAGCTAAGACCTTTCAGCATCCAAGTCCGGCTCTGCAGATTGATGGTCAATAAATAGCCAACAGATTCAGTCACAAATACTTGATTACTATCTCAACTAATTAGCAGGCGCTTCTCGTATTGGCAGTGAAGTATATTTAACAGCCATGTTTTATTATTTCTGGAGGGCAACTCGTGACGATAGCTTTTGATTGAAAAACTATTACCGATTAGAAATCTCAACTGACATGACGTTGGTATTAGGTTTAATAGAGCGTAAAATTGTTATAATAAATTTAATATTTATTAATCATAGCGTTTTGATGATCTTCTAATACCACTGAACCGAAATTTTACGCATACCTACATGCCCTTAGCAAGGAATCCCAAAGATTTTTTGACCTCAGCTTTTTATCACATCGCCTGCTCCGGACGAAACACGAATTTTTCGAACAACATGTAAGTTTATATATATATATACCACCAGTGTTCCCTCTAAGGTGTGCGCGTGTGCGCGCGCACACAGCTTTCAGAGGCTGCGCACACGCATAGATGATTTACTGCGCACAGACGTATTTCGATGTAATGTAACAATTTTCTCGGTTGGCAGGTTGAGAAAGTGTTGTTGTTGGCCCACCCATTACCCGGTTAGAACGCCAAAATTTCTTCATTGGTTTTTGCACAAATATTAGCCATTTCCAAAAAAGTGGGCACATACCAAAAGTTCTGCGCACACATACTACAAGAAATTAGAGGGAACATTGTATACCACTAATAGGTGAGTGTGAGATGTCTCAAATTTGTTTGCTTATTGAAAAATATACACTGTATTTGTATACAATCTTGAATTAATACTTTTTCGTGGACGGATCACGTTATGACTTGCGTTATTGAGTTCGAACATGCATATTGTAACACCTATTGTAGGAAACATTAGTTATTTGAACAACATCTTTAACAGCAGCAAAGAATGATTCTGGAAATCCCATAATTAATTGCTATATTTGGTGATCCCGACGTAGAACACGCCACTTTTTTTGGAGTCAACATCGTGCAAATGCATCAAGGCAATCAATAAAGGCATCTCAACAACCAACTGCAATCAACAATTTGGGAAATCAATCAACAACGCTGACAAAGTGACGGCGCAAAAGCAGCTCACAACAATCGACGAATCGTACAACAAGAAAGAGGGTTGAAGTCAAGAAACAAATATTTTGCAAAGTAACAAACAACAACGTTTCTGGGAGAGAAAGAACGATGGCAAGCCGGGACAGAATAATCAAAAACATTATGATGAAACGATGGACTAAATGTAAAACGATCAAGCAAAGATACGGACTCTGAAAACGTTAAAATTATGAATATGGACTGTGTTCAACACTGATGGAAATGAACTCTTTTAGAACATGATATATGTTCGAGGTGAAAAACCTGATCAAAAAACGAGCTGACGATAACAACGAATTAATGGACTGTTTTAACCGAATACGGTAAATTACGCGCTCTATTCCGCGCAATAGAGAAATTGCCGCGAATGCAGAATGGATATACAGCCCAGGAGAATGTTTTTGTGCAATTTGTTTCATGATTTGCAGGTTTTTTTTCTTTGGCTGACAAAGTCGCCAAAATGCAAACGAACTTCTGTACTTGATTGTCGATTTCACACGCTTCCAAAATATGTCAAAAACAACTTTTGTGAGATATTAATTTACTTTTTGTAAACTCACAAGCTATTATATATTTGTTCACTGCTTTGTAATCTATATAATCAATGCCGGATTGAGTTCAATATAGAAAACTGTTAAAACTCAATACTTTCCACGTCATATATATGTTGCAAATTCGACATCAGTCCAGTGTGACGACTAAGCCAAAGCTCGGAATTACCTTTCCTGAAAACGCTATCACAATTGGGCTTTTCGAGAAGACGTATATTTTTTAATGTATACCCTCTAAAATTTTTAATCTATGTTTTTTTAAAAAGTGATTTTTCGGCATTTGCACGTAGTCTCAATATCGTGACCACGTTTTCTGTACACTGTTTTACGTTATTCTCATTTATTTCGAAGCGATTCACCGATAACCCGGCGTTTTTTGGCTTACTATCAATCCTCCAAAGAACAAACCGAGATATATAGCTTGGATAAATTCGGCAGTGAATTAATTCCGTGGGGTGCTTCTTCAAGGTTAGAAATTTACCCCGAATGTTTGCAAGAGCTTTTATTAGGTGCTCAGAAAAAGTCGCGCGATAAAAATCATCCTGGCGGTTCCAGGAAACAACCGTTAATTAACGCTGCGCCATTTTTTTTCAATGTCGTGTTGAGACATGGTCGCAAGGATCAACGATGATATGATCAAACGGATACCTACTAGCTCAGCTGGAAAAAAGACATATGAACTTGTATGAGTAGTGCCACGAGCAGTCAGGTTGATGTTATAATTATATCTTTCATGTTTTGAATGAAATTCTCGAGTGAATAGCTATTATTATACGGTGGAGGTTTAAAGCTGTCGAATCAGCTTGACTACCAAGCAGGGGCGTGTCAAACTTGTATGCGTTTGTGTTCTACCAATGGGAAAATATCAACTTGACTATGACATATGTGGCATCTTATTACTTGGTGGCAGACATAGGATAGGATTTTAACCCGGGAGATAGCAAAGCCGACAAGTGGGCTTAACCATATGGCGAACCACGACCTGTCGTCCGATTGCCATTCCATGTCGGGTATGTAATTAGTTATTTATTTGTTTCCGGGAGCATGGAATTGAGGGTGGAGGAAGCCGTAACCGACCAGCGGTTACGTCAACCACCCTACGGCGGCGAGGATTTCGGCAATCCTCTCGCTTATAACCATTCACGCGTGGGATTCGAACCTGGGAACTCACGCAGAGTAATCAGAGGTGCGGTGGCGACCGTATTGCTAACGCTTAGCACGAAGAGCCACACCGCCGCGCCATTTCAAAACAACAACGGTCAATTAATATATTTCTGAATATAGCACAGATCGGCAACCTTTGGCATTGAAAGAGCCATTCGGCATCGTTTCCTTCAAGCTTACTCAGAGCCGCAACATCTGCTCTAATGTCTATCAAAAGTTTACAGTTACACGTAAAAAACCATAGTTTTTTTTATTATTATTTCGATAGAAAAAGTGAACTGCTCTGGCTGGGAAATGAAAGTTGTCGGTTCATGATCTGACATAAACATACACAAAGTCGTCCAAGGATTCATTCCACTCAGTTAATGTGATTTATGCCCCTGAACTTCTCTGCACAGTTTGGAAATTTGAAAAAACACCCACGCCACGTTTTAAAATATCACACTAGTAAAATTTAAAATTTGAATTTGCAGCGCAATCTGCATTCCTAACCCTAACTGGATAATTACTAATTTTCTTATTCTGAGCGAGGGCGGGGACTTTCTACAAAAGATCCATCAATTCTTAACTTAGCAAGAATTGGAATGGTTACAGCTGGTAGCAGCAAAGCTGGTTGTGAAAACTCTGGGAAGCTTATGATGCAATAATTTTGTTATTACTAAAAGAGACCAAATGAAATACGAACGATGCAATAATATATTCTATTTTCATATTAAAATAACTTAAAAACTGAAAAGAAAAAGTTCGTTTTTACAGACTTCAACCACATGCGACCAATTTTTTACCCCCTGCGACTCGTAGTTTGGAAACCGCTGTGATGTGTAATTAGTGAGAAGCATTTAAATTTATGCCTAATTCTTGGAGCATTTGGATTTATGTCAACTCTTCGAACAAAAAACGGCTGTAACCATTTTGATTCACGGAAGCCATAACTTTGAGAACAAGGAGCCGCACGAGTCTCCGCAGCCGCAGGGTTGCAGATCGTTGACATATAGGCTACATATATTTGTTTATCAGCACAGCGAAAAACTGGATGGCTTGCTATGCTAAGTTATGACATTTTCTGTGTATTTTCATTGATTCATTGATTTCGTCTTGGCATTCAGCGTGGTTATTCAACTTCGTTTATCGTTATATTGAATTCGTTGGCTATATTAGTGACTTCCTGGCAGAGAATAGCAACCTTCTTCTCATCTTGGGTCTGATATGCGCAAACGGAGATCTTGCAACAACATTGATGGAGGAACAATTGCGAATGAGCCAGAACTGGCAGAAGACAAGATGACAATGTAATAATTCAAGCTGAACAACATTTAAACATTGGTAAACGACTATGGAACGACAAAACGACGAATATAACACACGAACCCAACTTCTTAAAAAAATGATGTAGTGAAAAATCGAATACGAATTAATTAAAATAATGACATAACAAACGAACGAAATCTCAATGCAACGTATGCAATGCAAGGTGTAAACACGCGCTTTATCGAAATATATATTAACGCGTCAAAAAACGGAACGAACGTACATTCGAGTGTATGTTCTATTTTGTACTGTCATAATTTTGATTTATTTTATTGATTGCAGATTTTTTATCTTGTTGGGACATGTTTCTCTTCTTCGAATCTTAAGGTAAAATCCTATCTCTTATTCTGAGGCGTTTAATTACTATTCTGCTTTCGATTTTCATGAATTTATTGAAAATGAGTTGATTTGGATGTTTATTTGAGTTGCAGCAAATCGTTTTGGCCGAATGGTTGTGCGGCAAAGATAAATGTTTGATTTGAGACTGTTTTCATGAAGTTCATAATAATTGAAAAACTGACGGTTATAAGTAATTCATTTTGATTGATCGTACTTTCAGCGCCGTTTTCAACAAGGGGTAAAAGGCTAAAAAGCCATAACTCGTGACAAACGATACTTTACGAGCAACAAAAGTTATTTAGTGTGATAAAATATGTTGAATGGAAACACTTGTTTTAACCGTCAAAATCAAATTTGAGAACACTCATACGCCGATTCCTTTCTAAAAAATCTTCTCACCATTTTTACACTCTTCCTATTTCCCATTTCCCTTCTACGTCCCACTAATTTGTAATTGTAGTTTGTATATATGTGTGTGATGTTTTTGCATAACTTCCATCTATATTTTGTACCACATTTACTATGCTTTTCATGCATCTAGGTGATAATTACGCCCAAAACCCCATTTCCAATGTTAAGCGCCGAGATGCAATGTAGGGAATTGGTAATTTTAACAAAATATTCAGCAAAGAAAAAATGTTGACTCTGAAAAATCTTAACTGGTCTAAAACTTCTTCTAATGTGAAAAAATAACTGATATAACACGTCTCTGTACATTATAACACGTTCCTACTAATTAGGCCAATCAATCGATCAATCATCATTTTATTCGTCAGCACAAAATAAACGTATCATAAGAAAAAACATTTCAACTTAACTTAAGTTGTGTGACAGGAGTCGCGAGGGACCTCATGAGGTCTTCAGGCAGCGACACCTTTGCCAAAACATTTACTTATCAAAAAACAGAATTATCGTTTAGGTAACATGTCACCGTGAATTGGTTCACGAGATTTTATGATCGTACCGATATTCTATGCTATATAAACCGTGTCCATGTCTTGTATGTTATTATTCATTCATTGATTCCGTCTTAGCATTCAGCGTGGTTATTCAACTTCGTATAATGTGATATTGAATTCATTGGCTATATTGGTGTGTTATAATTTGCAGCGACGTGTTATATAAGTTTTTTTTTTTAAATTTTTTTAGTTTTATACCAGTTGGGATTTTTTATGGTTTTAATTTTTTCTTTGCTGTTAAACATTTTTTTTTAAAGTTACTAATATTCCCTACATGCACTTTATGCTTATGGCTACTGCACATTAATACAGAACTTGATTTAAACGTTGAATGATGAACTCATGAATGATCTATGCTACTGACGTTTATACGATTCGGTATTTTCTATAAGTCATCGCGCCCTTTTACCTTTTTGTTTGGCTAAATCACAGACCATAAAAGTCAACAAGGCGAAAGCAAACAAACTGCAAAACTTATAGGGCAGTCTATGATAGTTACCATAATGTGGTAAATAAGAGTCCTACTGTTGTCTGTTTATCGCATTACTATTCAGAAAAATATTTAATAAAGTATATATATAGGTTTTCCTTGAAAGCAGAAACAATAAAAATAGGAAATTGGATTTTTTTTGAATGAGCAATGAGAATAAATAACTAACTAAATAAATGGCTGGTGGGTTGCGAAGCTATTCAAGGTGGGTCACGGAGTATTCCCAAATTTTACATAAAGTTTTTGATCAGATCGGAAAATTAGGGATTATCATTACGTAACATTTTAATAAGAATTAGAATTATTCATTGTGCTTCGTTAATAATTTTAGTACGCCCTACATATTGGACACTGTTGATAGGCTACTAGGCATATCAGTAATTTGTTGAATTCGTGAAGACAGTAGCGAAGACGCCGGTTTTTTTTATTGGTAATCTTATGTCCAATGAGTTGCATTTTAAATATGGCTAAACAGGGTTGAAATGCTTTATCTTAGCATCTTACTTTGTTTGGTTCTTGTGAGCCACAAAATTGATTTTGTTTTAAAGAAAAGGTAAAAAAAGGAAAGCTCAAACAGTTGTAGTTAAAAAATTCGACTCTGATTACATCAAATGTGGTTTCATTAAGGCAGGAAATGACTTTGAGTTAAAAGCACGATGTGTTAAGTGCTAATGCCATGTTGCGTGTCAGCTTGTCTCCTTTCAAGCCTCGACTTGATCTGATAATATCCAATATAAAAATTCGAATTTCGCATTGATAGTAAATTGCGTGTGAATACATTGTTCCACATCTCATTGTGGGTCGCCCAAAAAAATGACAATAAAAGTGGATTGCGAAATGAAAAAGGTTAGGAAGCACTGTGTTAGAAAACGAGGGACAATCATATTAAATTGATTGAGTTTCAGTAATTTGGGCAAAATTAGCATTATTAGTTGTAAATCGGGTTTAACTCAGATTCTTTGAACTGGGACAAAATGAGTTGGTCATAACGATTCTTAGTTGTTGTGCGTCATTCGCGTCGCAGGCCATAGCCCGGGGACAAAACATGGTGTTTTAAACGGACAATCAAGGTTAGATCTTCTGCCGTGCTTGATAGTACATTAACTCAGTGACCCAATTTATTATATATAAGATTTAAACCGCTCCTATCTGCCTTCACAACACAACGTGCAATAATACTATTATAAAAGCTATACCACCTCTATACGATAAGAAACAGTTTGTAACAGAATGAATATGGTGCTAGCGAATTTGAAAAAAATAGCAAATTCATTGTGCTCACGTTTCCAAAGGTATGTAATGCCACGCAGTCCAACATACTGACCAAATTTACGCATAGCGACATTATATGACTGTAGGGTTTTGAACATTTTATAGAGCCTAGGCTTCTCTTGTTTTCAGTACTAAACAACAGTATAAAAAATCGTAATGGAGCGTCGTGTATGCGACATGCCAGTTTACACATATGTGTCTCACCCATCTGTGAAGGGACTGTACGCTATTCCATCAGTAACAACGCAAAAAGGTTTTGACGCTGCAATATCCTACCAAGCTCGGCCTGGAGATATTTTTCTTTGTACTTATCCGAAATGTGGGACAACGTGGGTTCAGAATGCACTTTTGGGAATGAAATATGGGCGGTCCTTGGTAGAAAATGAGAAGTTGGACATCATGTTTCCCCATCTGGAATTAGATGGTATAGATGCCGTTGAAAATGTGAAAGACCTCCCACGAATGATAAAAACTCATCTTTTATTTGATATGACACCTTGGAATCAACAATCAAAATATATATGTGTAGGTATGTGTGGGCACAAGTCGTAGTTCTGAATTTTAGCTGTTGTTATACTTAAAATCATTTTATTGTGTGAGTAATAAACTCAATGCTTTTTTAAAGACTACAAAAATGTAAATGATGATTTGTTCCTTTTATCAGTAAACTTTGTAGAAAAATATTATTTATTGTTGTTTGATGTCCCGAAGACATAACGCTGTAACGTTATAGTACTCGGAATAAAATTCAGTTATATTAACTACAATGTGCTATGCTGTATATAAATTCTTTGAAATGTTGGTTTGGTATATAAGTTCATTGTAATCATTTAGCTACAAGAGTGTTTACAGTGCCAAATTGTTAAATTTAAATTTATTTTCCAGTATATCCTAAAACACAGTAGCTCCTTGCTTACAAGTGACTGTTCGTATGGTATATATAATGAGAGAGAGAGCTTTGGTTCGGTACGCTGGTGTCAAAATGTCTCTTACCTTACTATTAGGCATATGCGATTTAAAAAAAAAATCAATGTGCCCCAATGCTGGGGGGTATCGGCATAGAAAACCGATACGATGGATATATATATCATTCATCAGACTCCTCGAACATCGTGCGAGACTATGAATTCAGTACAAGGAACAAGAAAGAAATTTTAGATATAGCTTTTAACGTTTCAAATTTCTTTCATCGCATTTCCTATTCTTGCGTTTAGCTCGAAACCCCAAAGATTGCTTTGCTTCATACTTCTATCACACTATTGGATTTACACACTTATACCAATACGAGGATGGGAAATTCGATGATTTCTTCGAACTACTGATCAGTGGGAAAGTTGACTTCGGAGATTTTTTTGATTTTGCAACAAAGTGGTGGGCTATGAGCAAAGAGAAGTCAAATGTTTTGTACGTCTTATACGAAGATCTGAAGTACGATTCTCATGGGTACGTTGTAAAAATTAGTTCGTTCCTGTACAGCATGCGATCTGTCCTTCTAAACACAAATGTATAATGGCGTTACGTTATATTCCAATTAAGGTACTCCCGTAGTATGTGAACCAAGATGGCCGACGCCGGAACGTAGTATGTGTACCAGGTTTAGGGTTAGGCTATAATTTAAGGTACAAATACTACGGAAGTCACTTGGCTAGTCCCCGAACTCGTAATAGAACTAAAATAAGGAAACTCAAAATAAATTAAAATTGGAAATTAGGGCCTAACCTAGTACAGCACATACTATGTTCCTGTGTCCGCCATCTTAGTTCACATACCACGTGAGCGCCCCAATTAATACATGTGACTTCTAAGTCTGGAGAAGTAAACAAACACAAACACGCACCAAACATTAGAACAAACCAGCGTGGGGGGTGAATGGATCTCTGAAAAATGTTGAGTCACATACGTCGGAGGCTGAAATCAGCTTATCATGTTATGGTCGGTCCGTTCAGAATTTCGGCTTACAATTACGAGGACAAAATGAAATATCATTCTATAGATATATTTTTATAAAGCATGTAATGTCATGGTAAATTTAGGTATGTCCACATTTAAATCGACATTATTTATATTTCCTCGCAATTGCATTGTTTAACCGAATAAAATGCGTGATTCACAATGGATTGGGACACGGCCGGAATAAAAATCCTATTCAATCTTAGGAACATTTCCAACCAGCTATATATATATATATATATGCTCTCTATTCTTGACTTGGTGAACTCGCCTTCAGTATTATTACCTTTGGAAGATGCCAATGAACGATTTTTTATTCGTAGGGAATTTTTAAAAATTGCGCAGTTTCTGGGAGACGAATGGGCCGATAAAGTCACGAAAAATGGAAATGAACTTTTGGATGAGATTGTCAACTTCACTAGTTTCAAGAATATGTCACGGAGAGATTACGTAAGCTTGTCATAAGAATCTATTCCATACTATATACGGTATATTCTTACTGCAACATCGAAGAAAATCGGTCTTGCACCCTACTACTAGATAAAGCAACATTAATTTGAAATTAATTAAGTAAATATACGAGACACCTATTAAATGATAATATTAACAGTTGCAACCAACCAACCCTGCATATCAAGAGCGCATATCGACTTTTTTATATTATTATATATATATTAACAATCACATGTTCGTCAACTTTGTATGAAACTCATCAGCATGCTTTCATTTTCAAGCATACCAAAAGACCTGCTGAATTGCCTTTCTTGCGTAAAGGTGTTATCGGCGATTGGAAAAATTTATTCACAAAATCACAGAGTCAGAGAGTGGATGAAAAGATGGAACAAAGTGGTAAAAAATATCCAGGATTCAATAAATTATGGGATAAATATGCTGAAGATCTAAAATGAGCAGCTTGTTATTATATCAAACAGCTAAAAGCTTATATGAATCTTTTAAGTCCTATACTCTGAATTTTTAAAGAAATAAAAGTCATTGAAATAAAACATCTCATCCTCATTCTGTTTGCTTTTGATTCAGTTTCATTGCGTACCGTATAGTATTACGCAACCGACTATTGTAAATACTACTTTAATGTTAGCGGTAATATATCAAGAGTATTTCTTGCATCTTGTAACACCATAAGCTCAAAGCTACATTATTAAACTTACATTCCACACTTGAAATTTCTATCAAAGGTATTTCTAAATGAAGCTTTATTTTTCATGCAGTTCCATGCGTCACAAACGTTTTCATTGTATCATGTCTTTCTCCCATATCTGAAAAATAAGAAATTTTTTTATATAATATAGTACCTTGATATAAGGCTTTATTCAACTTAAATTTAAAGCACACTTAGAATGAATCTAAGGTAAAATATAACACAAGTAAATGTTTTACCAAGAAAACAAATACGCATCGAATTGCTGATGCTAACAGTAAGCGGCTCAATAGTTAAATGAATAAAGTTGTAAGAATTACCACACTATATCTACAACACAGCAATGATTGGCGTCAGATTTAAACCCCAACAACAATCATCGCTTGACTGCAGCTGTATAAACAAATAGATACATTGAGTTGCATTTCCAAGTTATCACAGATAGTGAGAATGCAAATATATCAACTGCTATTTCTTGAGATATCTCAGTTTGATACTACTGCTTTAGCTGCGAGTCTGTCTGGTCTGTTCTAATATTAGCTCAAATAACGGCGTTTATCAGTAAGCTGCAGCTTTTCATTTTCGCTATTCCTATTCTAATCACGCTTATACAGTTTATATGAGGACTGAAAACGATTAACCTTCTCTATAGAGTAGACCAGTGGTTCCCAACCGCCGGTCCGCGAAACTTTTTTGCCGGTCCGCGGGAAATTTCATCTTGTTGTTTTCCTACCGTCTCAATCGCATTGCCGAAGGCGAAGTTACATTGGTTTATAGCGCAATTTCTCTCCCGCCGTCATATTGGTGTTTGATAAGTGCGGTATTAATGGCCCGGCGACGTCTTGGCGCCGAGTAATCACCGTTTCCGCTTTTTCAGTTACGATTCATCGCGAAGGCGCTCCGTCAAATCTCGCAAGATTCAGAAACCTGAAAATCAGCATGCTTGCTTTTTCCGTTCTGCATGCTTTTCTTGATTAATATTACCATCCAAATTGAAGGTTATGAATATTTCTTTGTTTGAACCAGAAAACTGTCAAGAACATTATAATATTCCAGAGCTTCACCATGACATCCAGCGAGATATGAACTTGTTGCGACCCTGCAGGTGGTCATCGACGAAAATTAATACCAATGAATACTAATGAATCAGCCCATCCCAACAAGACTAAAACCAAACCAAAAACAAATAGAAGATTTAATAGAAAGCAGAAACGAAGCAACAAAGAGTAAATCGCGACATCTGTCTAATATCTCGCTAACCGAGCCACGAACTAAAGTGTTAGCAGAAGGCCTAGGCTTCAGTCCCACTCCCGAAAGACTTGATAACTTCCAATTACAAGCTGATATTGATAAAACAATTTGCAACTACCGCCTAAGAGAATACTTTTTTGATTTTCCATCTACAGAAAGCACAAGCGAATTGGCTCGAACCATACCCAAAGTCGTTACAAATTCCAAGCAAATGGACACCACCCTCCGAACGAAATTCAGATCTGGACAACTTTCCCAACACCCTGAAACGAGAAACTAACACAAAGGAGCATCAAAAAGACGCACATTTTCAAATCTAAAACAAGACGAAGTACAGGCTTTGAAAGAGCTCGAACAAAGAGCAGCACGAGATATTTTGATCGTACCTGCTGATGAAGATGGGGGTACATGCATTCTCTCTCATCCCAGTCGCCCAATCATATCAGTAAATGGAACCGCAACTGAAAAACTTTCGGCATATATCGATCACAAGTTATATACCGACCTAATGTGTTAAGAAGTAATACCGTTGTATGTCAGAGACAGCATGGACTTTCTTGATAATTTAAAAAAAACGGCACTGTTCCCCAGGATCCTTTCTAGTAAACATGGATGTGACCTCCTTATACACAAATATTCCACATATAGATGGTATCTCAGCAGTAGAAAAGTATCTTATGAAGCACAGCATTGACAAACGCGAAATCCCATGGATTAAAGAAGCAGTAAACATGGTACTGAACAACAACGACAAACATTACCTCCAAATCAACGGAACAGCAATGGGAACCAAAATGGCACCTAAATACGATAACACTTTCATGGCAAATTTAGAATCAGACATGTTAGAAACAGCCGAGTTCAAACCACTCTACTACTCTAGATTTATTGACGACTGCTTCTTGATATGGACACACGGCGAAACCGAGCTCAGAGATTTTATAACCCATGCAAACTCGATACATCCCATCATTAAATTTACATCCGATTATTCACCGGAAAACATTGCGTTTTGGACATAAAAGTTCATATATATATATATATAAGAGACAACGAATTGGAAACTGAAATTTTTAGTTTTTACTATAGAAACGGACTCTCACCAATACCTTCTACCATCCTCAGAGTGTTTGCTAAAATTGCTGGTACAATGTAATTTCTAGGGCCTGGGTTGTTAATATAGGCCTAGAGGTGATCATTTGAATTCTTCAAAAACACTCAATCTGAAAGTATAAGTGTTATTGATATTGATTAATTTCTTATGTTCTTATAATTGTTGATAATTTCATGAAAATTCTTAAAAATATAATTGTCTCCACATGGCTAAATACCATTTATAGTAATAGTTAGGGCTTGATCGCGTAAATTGGCTTTTCAGAAGGGTGTATCCAACTGGTAGCTCTTAGATTAAGCGATAGCCAGGAAGTAGCTGTCGGTTTTATAAGGGTTGGTGACCCATGGGCTACAGGTAGTAGGAAATTCCATTTACCATTAAAGACAAATACAGCATGTGTATACTGTTTTCAATAGTTATCATTATTTTATATTATTACGTTGACAAACACGGGCTATACTTGAGATTCCCTACAAACTGTAGCGAAACAATGTGAACTTTTATTCAGATTCTAAAAATTGTATAACAATAATAATTTTGTATTTTGGGTACCGGTATTAACAGTCGAAATTTTAAAATTAGTAGCAGACTCCCAATGACACTACATTGTCGGGAAGTGATATTGCAGTCACCGATCCGGTACCAACGAAAGAACAAAATTATAGAAATCAGCGAGGACATAGATCACTTAAAAAACAACAACGGTCAAACGAGAATATTGGTCAGAGACCGAAGACTTATCGATCGAAAGTTAGGGGATCCCCAAAACAGCGCTCTTACTCCATAGTGACACCTTGTGTTCCATCACTAATTAATTAATAACTCGCTAATTATACGACATAATTCGCCCAAAATCAATAGGCTTCTGACCCGGGATAAGATGAATGCACATGCAAAATATGGAGCAGATTCAATCTCGCTTTCGTGAGATATCGCGTGCATCTAACAGACAAACAGACATACAGACAGAAAAATACCTGTCAACATACTTACCGATTAAAATCGATAAGTAATAACATGGCCTTACGGTACCCCGAAGTATGTGAACCAAGATTGTGGAAACCGGAACGTAGTACCGTGTGTACCATGTTAGAGTTATGCCATTATTGTATTCCAATTTTCCTTATTTTAGTTCTAGTCCGAGTTCGGGGACTAGCCAAGTGACTCCCGTAGTATTTGCACCTGAGATTATGGCCTAACCCGGTACACATACTACATTCCCGTGTCCGCCATCTTGGTTCACATACTTTGGGAGTACCGAGGCTACATATATTTGTTTTCAGGGACAGCGAAAGATCGAGTGGCTTGACAATCATACGCTAAGTTATGGCATTACTTGTGACTGAAAAATGTGCACATTGTGCTTATGGCTATTGCATATTAATGCACAACTTGATTTAAACGTTGAAATACACAAGAAGCTATGCTAATAAAATTCATACGTTGCTGTGTTTTTTCTAATGTCACCATCACGTCTTTGTATCATTTTGTTTGACTAAATTACTGACCATAAAGTCAGTAATTCAGTCAAGAAGTTAATTAAGTCAACAAGGCGAAAGTAAACAAACTGACTGCAAACCTCTTGGCGTTCAGTCCATGATAGTCACCATATAAATAAGTGACCTACTATTATCTATTTATGGGATTACTGATTAGAAATATTTAGTAAAATATATTGGTTTAATTGAAGGAAGATATAGCGATATTATATGACTGTAGGTTTTTGAATATTTCATAGAGGCTTATTCAGTTTGCATTACTAGACAAACTAGTAAAAATACGAAATGGAGCGTCGTGTTCGCAGTATGCCAGTTTACACATATGTGTCCCACCCCTCTGTGGACGGACTGTACGCTATTCCATCAGTAACAACGCAAGAAGGTTTCGACGCCGCAATATCCTACCAAGCTAGGCCTGGAGATATTTTTCTTTGTACATACCCAAAATGTGGAACAACATGGGTTCAGAATGCACTCCTGGGAATGAAATATGGACGACCCTTAGCAAAAAATGAAAAGCTGAACATCATGTTTCCCCACCTTGAATTTAATGGTATAGATGCCGTTGAAAATGTGGAAGACCTCCCACGAATGATAAAAACACATCTTTTGTTTGATATGACACCATGGAATCAACAATCAAAATATATATGTGTAGGTAAGTAAAGGCACAAGTAGTAGTTCTGATTTCAGCTGATGTTATACTTGAAAGCAATGTTTGTATGGAAAATAAAACTCCATATTTTTTACAATTTAAATTTTTAAATGACGATTTGTTATTACTTTTATATTATACTTCTCTAGTCAGGATCAATTATGAAAACAAATATGTCAAATTGCGAAACTTAATACACCAGTTCCTCCCAAAATACTGTAGCTTCTTGCTTACGAGTGGCCGTTCGTATATATATAGCATATACTGTAGCCTACTGTATAGGAGTTTCTTAAAACGTTGGTGTCAAAATTCCCTTTTGCGGTACTATTATAGATATCGATTATTAATTTGAACGATTATTTTTGAAATCTCAGAATTATGCTGAATTCTCCAAATTTTAAAATTACATTCATAAAAATTCCCATTTTAATTAGACAACAGATGGTAACTAAAAAACAATTCGATCGATGGAATCCAGATGATAATTAGTATTCTAAACTTAAATTAATGAAGATAACGGAATCCGATAGCACTGTTCAAATCTCTGGATATAAATTTATTGATCAAAACCATACAATTCTTAAAAAATTCTCATAATGTTAAAATCCTGGGAGAGACATAATTATCGTTTTTTTTCTGTATATAAGGAGTAGATCTCGCAGTATGTACTATTCCACTTGGCAACTAACGACGTACAACGTCCAGCTAGTGTATATGTTTCATGTAATATAAAAATATTGTGACAATCGTCTCTGATATCTTATATATGGCCAAATATAGCCTGCTCTGGACTTTATCTGCTATACTAGTACGCAATTTTATAATAAAAAAACTCTCAGAAGCGACTATTTTGACTTTTTTCAGTGCCAGAAATTTACCTATCTATTTAGTAGTATTTTTGATACAACCCCCTACCAAAAAAAAATCCCCGCCAACACTCAAAACTAGATAGCGATCGAGGACCGCCGACTTATCGATCTTCCGCATGTTCAATAAATGCTCCACATCGCAGACAGGGAATTGTTACGCACATAATCGTTCGCAGCGACGAAAGTTAGGGGATCCCCAAAACAGAAACTGCAATTTCGATTCCTTCGTTCTGACACAATAGCGACACCGCATGTCCCATCACTAATCAATTGATAACTCGCTAATACGACATAATTCATTCAAAATCAATAGGTTTCTGGTCCGAGATATGATGAATGCACATGCAAAATTTGGAGCAGTTGCAACCCCGCTTTCGTAAGATATCGCGTAACATACGAAAGTGTCAAACAGACAAATACCTATTCACATACTTACTGGTCGAGATCGATAATTAATAAGAAAGTTATCAATAAAACAGTTAGGGTTAGGTATGGTGTTTTTCTCAAATCTCCCATATGTTTGCATTGATGGCGGGGGCTTTGTACAAAAGATTAATTTCATGCACCTCGATGCTGGGAAGTATCAACTTAGAAAACAGAGACGATAAATACATCATAGTCATTGCTCGTCCTGTTGAACTATGAAATCAGTGCAACGCGCAAGGGAAATGGGGTTTTATCTGAGTTATATTATGTTTGAGTTTAATTTCAACACATTTTTTATTTTCTGCGTTTAGCTCGAAACCCCAAAGATTGCTTCGCTTCATTCTTCTATCACACTGTCGGGTTTACCCACTTATACCACTACGAGGATGGAAAATTTTGATGATTTCTTTGAACTACTGATCAGTGGGAAAGTTGATTCCGGGGATTTTTTTGATTTTTCAACAAAGTGGTGGGCTATGAGTAAAGAAAAGTCAAATGTTTTGTACGTATTATACGAAGATCTGAAGTACGATCCTCATGGGTATGTTGTAGAGATCAGTACGTTGCTTTCTGTGCATACTGTATATGTATATAGCATGCGATATGTCCCTCCAAACACTATATAATAGCGTTACTTTATATTCCAATCGATACATATATATGACTTCAAAACCGGGGCAAATAAATAGACACAACACGGACTGAACATAATTAACAAGAACCAGTGCGTCAACTCAACGTTTGAAGCATCGTGTGTGTGATCGCATTCCTCGATAAATGAGTCTCTAAAAAATGTTGTGTCACACTTGCCCAGAGTCGGCAATCGCTCTCACGTGTCGAAGTCTGAAATCAACTTATCATGCAATCGGCGGGCCGTGCAGAATTTCTGCGTACAATTACGGATAGGCAAAATGAAATGGCAGTATATATATTTATAAAGCGTGTAATATCCTGGAAATTGAAACAATTGAATTGTTTAACTTGACCGGACGAAAGGCCGTGGTCAGGGATGTAAATTTCGAATATTTTATTTTCGAATCGAATATGTATTATTGCTATATAGAGTTACACTCAGTTATATTTACTTAATACATTAATTTATGTTCGCAAACAATACCGGATGTATAGTGATGGTTTCTTCTAAAATTCATCCAAATGATAAACGTCGGTGAAATATGCGATAGAACCACTTGTGCCGTGGTTTTGAAGAAAGAAAATGATAACAAGGGAAGCATTGCAGACCTATCTTTTAATGAGGAATATTGTTGTTATAATGACATTATATAACTTAAGTGAATTAAAGACATGTTCATATAATAGCAAATTTGTAAAACTTTTTAACATTTTGAATAGTCTAAAAACAATTTAACGAAACCATTGGTTCCTCTGAGGCGGTGACCCATATCAAATATAACAAACCCCGGTGTGTTACGACTTGGGAACACTGTAAGCGTGGGGGAAATGAACGTTTTTGTTCGATGATAACTGATAAGACAACGCTGCTGCGTCGTGCAATCCGCCTCGTGTTATCTAATTTAATATTTTTTTTAAATATAATCAAGCCGTTTTTTCTCAAATTGCTTCGAATCGATTCGAATTGATGTTGATTCAAATCGCTTCGATTCGAAATACTGAAATTTACATCCCTAGCCGTGGTTCACTATATGATTGAGACACTACCGGAATTGAAATCCCATCCGATCACAGGAACATTTCCACCCTCGGGGGTCTATATAACCTAATCTAATGTATTTTATCTCATCTTGCCTCGGCAAACTCGCCTTTACTATTATTAATTTTAGAAGATGACAACGAACGATTTTTTTTTTCGAAGAGAATTTTTAAGAATTGCGCAGTTTCTGGGAGACGAATGGGCTGATAAGGTCACGAAAAAATGGAAATGAACTTTTGGATGCAGTGGTCAATTTCACCAGTTTCAAGAATATGTCACAGAGAGATTACGTAAGCTTATCATAAAGATCTATATTTTCATTATTACTGCATAATATATACGGTATATTCTCACAGCAACACCGAAGAAAATCGGTCTTTGCCAATCCTATGTAAACCCTACTACTAGATAAATATGTTCAGTGTGGTATGCCCTAAAGAAAACATTCATTAAGCAAACATACGAGATACCTATTAATGATAATATTGAGAGTTGGTGTAACGACAACAATCACCCCTGCTTATCGAGAGCGCATATCGGCTTTTTGCTTCTGTATTAAAAAATCTAAAAAATCACATGTTGATTAATCAACTTTGTATGAAACTTATCAGCATGCTTTTATTTTTAAGCATGCCCCAAGGCCGGCTGAATTACCTTCTTGCGTAAAGGTGTCATAGGTGATTGGAAAAATTTATTAACAAAATCACAGAGCGAGAGAGTGGATGAAAAGATGGAACAAAGTGGTAAAAAATATCCAGGATTTAATAAATTATGGGATAAATATGCTGAAGACCTAAAATGAGCAGCTTCTCAATGTATCGACAGCTAAAGATTCCTAATACAAAATTCTTGTCTATGATAGAAAGTAATACAGTACTTTAATTTATTAAGAAATAAATGAAAATTTGATATGATACGAGGTTTTTGGAAGAAGATAGTGAATGTAAAACCGAATTTAGTTCCGTTGAGGTCATTGTGAATGAATAAATCAATCGATTATTTAATAAATAAAATAAAATGAAGTAACTTCTCCAGACTGACTTTATAAAGACAATAAAACGCCTTTCCAATCACATTGAAATTGCCATTGAATTAAACCACATCATCTGCATACTCCTCATGTTTTGTTTGCTTCAGTTTCATTGCATATGGCAGTGGTTCCCAACCTTTTTATATCGCGGCACACTATTGAGCACTTTAAATATTCGCGGCACAACTATCACAAATCATGAAAATTTTCTATCCATAAAGCCATTCTGCTGTAATATACAAAGAAGATCAGATAAAGGGAATTTTATTCATGTAAATACAACACACCCTAAATTTATTAACATGTATAGAATAATATAGTGGATGTCATTAGGACTGTTATGCCTGGTGCTTCTTTACTACCGCTGCAATTTGTGGATGAATGTGAGGGAGACATACTCCTAACTCTATGAGAGAGACACAATCTTAAAGCAGGCGAGGGGGGCTTAATAATTTCGTCTATATTTAAACACATGTTGTTTCCGCTTAACATTATTCTCATTTACGAAAATTGCGATAGTCGAGCGCGAACAAATACGTAATAGTTACCGATATTAAAACTGTTTTCTTAACAATAATGTGGAGCAACAATAATGTGGAGCAAACAATTCGCAACTACCGCCTAAGAGAATACTTTTTTGATTTTCCATCTACAGAAAGCACAAGCGAATTGGCTCGAACATACCCAAAGTCGTTACAAATTCCAAGCAAATGGACACCACCCTCCGAACGAAATTCAGGTCTGGACCACTTTCCCAACACCCTGAAACGAGAAACTAACACAAAGGAGCATCAAAAAGACGCACATTTTCAAATCTAAAACAAGACGAAGTACAGGCTTTGAAAGAGCTCGAACAAAGAGCATCACGAGATATTGTGATCGTACCTGCTGATGAAGATGGGGGTACATGCATTCTTTCTCATCCCAGTCGCCCAATCATATCAGCAAATGGAACCGCAACTGAAAAACTTTCGGCATATATCGATCACAAGTTATATACAGACCTAATGTGTTAAGAAGTAATACCGTTGTATGTCAGAGACAGCATGGACTTCCTTGATAATTTGAAAAAAATCGGCACTGTTCCCCAGGATCCTTTCTAGTAAACATGGATGTGACCTCCTTATACACAAATATTCCACATATAGATGGTATCTCAGCAGTAGAAAAGTATCTTATGAAGCACAGCATTGACAGACGCGAAATCCCATGGATTAAAGAAGCAGTAAACATGGTTCTGAACAACAACAATTTTGTATTCAACGACAAACATTACCTCCAAATCAACGGAACAGCAATGGGAACCAAAATGGCACCTAAATACGATAACACTTTCATGGCAAATTTAGAATCAGACATGTTAGAAACAGCCGAGTTCAATCCACTCTACTAATATAGATTTATTGACGACTGCTTCCTGATATGGACACACGGCCAAACCGAGCTCAGAGATTTTATAACCCATGCAAATTCGATACATCCCACCATTAAATTCACATTCGATAATTCCCCGGAAAACATTGCGTTTTGGACATAAAAGTTCATATATATATATATATATATATATATAAGAGACAACAAATTGGAAACTGAAATTTTTACTATAAAAACGGACTCTCACCAATACCTTCTACCATTCTCAGAGTGTTCGCTAAAAATGCTGGTACAATGTAATTTCTAGGGCCTGGGTTGTTAATATAGGCCTAGAGGTGATCATTTTGAATACTTCAAAAACACTCAATCTGAAAGTATAAGTGTTATTGATATTGATTAATTTCTTATGTTCTTATAATTGTTGATAATTTCGTGAAAATTCTTAAAAATATAATTGTCTCCACATGGCTAAATACCATTTATAGTAATAGTTAGGGCTTGAGCGCGTAAATTGACTTTTCAGAAGGGTGGATCCAACTGGTAGCTCTTAGATTAAGCGATAGCCAGGAAGTAGCTGTCGGGTTGGTGACCCATGGGCTACAGGTAATAGGAAATTCCATTTACCATTAGAGACAAATACAGCATGTGTATACTGTTTTCAATAGTTATCATTATTACTTATCGATCTTAAGATCGGTAAGTATGTTGATAGGTATTTGTCTGTTTGTCTGTCTGTCTGTTTGTCTGTTAGATGAACTCGATATCTCACGACGGCGAGCTTGAATCTGCCCCAAATTTTGCATGTGCATTCATCCTATCTCTGACCAAAAGCCTATTGATTTTGGATGAATTATGTCGTATAATTAGCGAGTTATTAACTAATTACCGATCTAAGATCGATAAGTCTTTGGTCTCCGACCGATATTCTCGTTATTTTATATTATTACGTTGACAAACACGGGCTATACTTAAGATTCCCTACAAACTGTAGCGAAACAATGTGAACTTTTATTCAGATTCTAAAAATTGTATAACAATAATAATTTTGGGCACCGGTATTAACAGTCGAAATTTTAAAATTAGTAGCAGACTCTCAATGACACTACATTGTCGGGAAGTGATATTGCAGTCACCGATCCGGTACCAACGAAAAAACAAAATTATTGAAATCAGCGAGGACATAGATCACTTAAAAAACAACAAAGTCAAACGAGAATATTGGTCAGAGACCGAAGACTTATCGATCGAAAGTTAGGGGATCCCCCAAAACAGCGCTCTTACTCCATAGTGACACCTTGTGTCCCATCACTAATTAATTAATAACTCGCTAATTATACGACTTAATTCGCCCAAAATCAATAGGCTTCTGGCCCGGGATAAGATGAATGCACATGCAAAATATGGAGCAGATTCAATCTCGCTTTCGTGATATATCGCGTGCATCTAACAGACAAACAGACATACAGACAGAAAAATACCTGTCAACATACTTACCGATTAAAATCGATAAGTAATAACATGGCCTATAGAGAGGCTACGGTACCCCCGAAGTATGTGAACCAAGATGGTGGAAACCGGAACGTAGTACCGTGTGTACCATGTTAGAGTTATGCCATTATTGTATTCCAATTTTCCTTATTTTAGTTCTAGTCCTAGTTCGGGGACTAGCCAAGTGACTCCCGTAGTATTTGCACCTGAGATTATGGCCTAACCCGGTACACATACTACATTCCCGCGTGCTAATAAAGTTCATACGTTGCTGTGTTTTTTCTAATGTCACCATCACGTCTTTGTATCATTTTGTTTGACTAAATTACTGACCATAAAGTCAGTAATTCAGTCAAGAAGTTAATTAAGTCAACAAGGCGAAAGTAAACAAACTGACTGCAAACCTCTTGGCGTTCAGTCCATGATAGTCTAGTCACCATATAAATAAGTGACTTACTATTATCTATTTATGGGATTACTGATTAGAAATATTTAGTAAAATATATTGGTTTAATTGAAGGAAGATATAGCGATATTATATGACTGTAGGTTTTTAAATATTTCATAGAGGCTTATTCAGTTTGCATTACTAGACAAACCAGTATAAAATACGTAATGGAGCGTCGTGTTCGCAGTATGCCAGTTTACACATATGTGTCTCACCCCTCTGTGGACGGACTGTACGCTATTCCGTCAGTAACAACGCAAGAAGGTTTCGACGCTGCAATATCCTACCAAGCTAGGCCTGGAGATATTTTTCTTTGTACATACCCAAAATGTGGAACAACATGGGTTCAGAATGCACTCCTGGGAATGAAATATGGACGACCCTTAGCAAAAAATGAAAAGCTGAACATCATGTTTCCCCACCTTGAATTTAATGGTATAGATGCCGTTGAAAATGTGGAAGACCTCCCACGAATGATAAAAACACATCTTTTGTTTGATATGACACCATGGAATCAACAATCAAAATATATATGTGTAGGTAAGTAAAGGCACAAGTAGTAGTTCTGATTTCAGCTGATGTTATACTTGAAAGCAATGTTTGTATGGAAAATAAAACTCCATATTTTTTACAATTTAAATTTTTAAATGACGATTTGTTATTACTTTTATATTATACTTCTCTAGTCAGGATCAATTATGAAAACAAATATGTCAAATTGCGAAACTTAATACACCAGTTCCTCCCAAAATACTGTAGCTTCTTGCTTACGAGTGGCCGTTCGTATATATATAGCATATACTGTAGCCTACTGTATAGGAGTTTCTTAAAACGTTGGTGTCAAAATTCCCTTTTGCGGTACTATTATAGATATCGATTATTAATTTGAACGATTATTTTTGAAATCTCAGAATTATGCTGAATTCTCCAAATTTTAAAATTACATTCATAAAAATTCCCATTTTAATTAGACAACAGATGGTAACTAAAAAACAATTCGATCGATGGAATCCAGATGATAATTAGTATTCTAAACTTAAATTAATGAAGATAACGGAATCGATAGCACTGTTCAAATCTCTGGGATATAAATTTATTGATCAAAACCATACAATTCTTAAAAAATTCTCATAATGTTAAAATCCTGGGAGAGACATAATTATCGTTTTTTTTCTGTATATAAGGAGTAGATCTCGCAGTTGTACTATCCACTTGGCAACTAACGACGTACAACGTCCAGCTAGTGTATATGTTTCATGTAATATAAAAATATTGTGACAATCGTCTCTGATATCTTATATATGGCCAAATATAGCCTGCTCTGGACTTTATCTGCTATACTAGTACGCAATTTTATAATAAAAAAACTCTCAGAAGCGACTATTTTGACTTTTTCAGTGCCAGAAATTTACCTATCTATTTAGTAGTATTTTTGATACAACCCCCTACCAAAAAAAAATCCCCGCCAACACTCAAAACTAGATAGCGATCGAGGACCGCCGACTTATCGATCTTCCGCATGTTCAATAAATGCTCCACATCGCAGACAGGGAATTGTTACGCACATAATCGTTCGCAGCGACGAAAGTTAGGGGATCCCCAAAACAGAAACTGCAATTTCGATTCCTTCGTTCTGACACAATAGCGACACCGCATGTCCCATCACTAATCAATTGATAACTCGCTAATACGACATAATTCATTCAAAATCAATAGGTTTCTGGTCCGAGATATGATGAATGCACATGCAAAATTTGGAGCAGTTGCAACCCCGCTTTCGTAAGATATCGCGTAACATACGAAAGTGTCAAACAGACAAATACCTATTCACATACTTACTGGTCGAGATCGATAATTAATAAGAAAGTTATCAATAAAACAGTTAGGGTTAGGTATGGTGTTTTTCTCAAATCTCCCATATGTTTGCATTGATGGCGGGGGCTTTGTACAAAAGATTAATTTCATGCACCTCGATGCTGGGAAGTATCAACTTAGAAAACAGAGACGATAAATACATCATAGTCATTGCTCGTCCTGTTGAACTATGAAATCAGTGCAACGCGCAAGGGAAATGGGGTTTTATCTGAGTTATATTATGTTTGAGTTTAATTTCAACACATTTTTTATTTTCTGCGTTTAGCTCGAAACCCCAAAGATTGCTTCGCTTCATTCTTCTATCACACTGTCGGGTTTACCCACTTATACCACTACGAGGATGGAAAATTTGATGATTTCTTTGAACTACTGATCAGTGGGAAAGTTGATTCCGGGGATTTTTTTGATTTTTCAACAAAGTGGTGGGCTATGAGTAAAGAAAAGTCAAATGTTTTGTACGTATTATACGAAGATCTGAAGTACGATCCTCATGGGTATGTTGTAGAGATCAGTACGTTGCTTTCTGTGCATACTGTATATGTATATAGCATGCGATATGTCCCTCCAAACACTATATAATAGCGTTACTTTATATTCCAATCGATACATATATATGACTTCAAAACCGGGGCAAATAAATAGACACAACACGGACTGAACTTAATTAACAAGAACCAGTGCGTCAACTCAACGTTTGAAGCATCGTGTGTGTGATCGCATTCCTCGATAAATGAGTCTCTAAAAAATGTTGTGTCACACTTGCCCAGAGTCGGCAATCGCTCTCACGTGTCGAAGTCTGAAATCAACTTATCATGCAATCGGCGGGCCGTGCAGAATTTCTGCGTACAATTACGGATAGGCAAAATGAAATGGCAGTATATATATTTATAAAGCGTGTAATATCCTGGAAATTGAAACAATTAAATTGTTTAACTTGACCGGACGAAAGGCCGTGGTCAGGGATGTAAATTTCGAATATTTTATTTTCGAATCGAATATGTATTATTGCTATATAGAGTTACACTCAGTTATATTTACTTAATACATTAATTTATGTTCGCAAACAATACCGGATGTATAGTGATGGTTTCTTCTAAAATTCATCCAAATGATAAACGTCGGTGAAATATGCGATAGAACCACTTGTGCCGTGGTTTTGAAGAAAGAAAATGATAACAAGGGAAGCATTGCAGACCTATCTTTTAATGAGGAATATTGTTGTTATAATGACATTATATAACTTAAGTGAATTAATTAAAAAAGCATTGCACGGAATTACTTCCTTGCCGAAGTTATCCAAGCTATACAAGCGCACAATTTTATCATCTCGGTTTGTTCGAAATAGTGTAAATGAAAAACGTACGAGATTGATATTGCGTGCAAATTCCAGAAAATCAATTTTTAAAAAACATGTAGGTTAAAAATGTTATCATCGAAAATTCTAATTGTGATAGCTTGTTACGTTTTCAGGTAATGTAATTTATGAGCATTGGCTTTGTCGTCTCCTTGGATTGATGTCGAAGTTGCAACATACGACGAGTAGGTGGAGATTGGGGTTTACCAGTTAGATTCACTGAATTCAATCTGGCATTGATTTATAGATTACAAAGTATTGAACAAATATATATTAGCTTTGTGAGTTTACAAGAAGTAAATTCTCACAAAGCTTCCTTCGACATACTTCGAAGCGTGTGAAATCGACGATGAAGTACAGAAATTCGTTTGCATTTTGGAGAAACCGCTTTGTCAGCCCAATCACCACCTATAAATTGTGTAATTGTTAGAAAGTCCATAGAAAATATATGAAAAAATAAATTTATTAGCATAGTTTTAAATATATGAATGTTGATTAAAACGCCAAGGCAGACTTTCAGGGTTTAGAAAGCTTTGTATCGTAAAGCAAATCGAAACAGAGCTCAGTTGAAAACACTAACTTTCGGTTAATTAGAGTCAAATCCCGCAACATGAGTTCCCTCTTAATCAGTTTGGCCAGAGTTTAAGCCAGTAGTCAACTAATAAATAACAAAATCACAATCTTCCAATTTGTACATAACATTGGTTCAAAGCAGGCTGGGAAATCGTTTTTGCAAATTCAAAATGCAGTGGCGCGCCGGACAAAGTAAAGTCAATATACATTGCAAGTCTTTATGGTATTTTATTACACATTCAAATAAGATAAAAAGCACATTACAAATGTTACTTTTAATGAAATAGTGTATTCTTTTCTGGGCTTCAACAAATCCTTGAATGTCAAGTTTAATGACAGACGTATTTACAATATTTGAAATGCTGGGTATACTATAAAATACGGAGCTGACTAGCCTAACAATATCCCGCTATGTTAGCACACCACTCGCAGAGCGACATATTAAAATTATAAACAGTTGGGGTTGCGTAAAACTAACTACCTTTCCTCGCTCTATGCCTTTGCGCAGGTGGAGACGTATGCGTATAACGCAAGAATGATATAGCAAGAGTGGAAATGACTATTCTATTTAACTCAAGAATCTTGCTGCACACTTACACAATTATATTTCTGTAACGTTTCGTCTGACCGACGCCAAACTTCTTCAGACAAGCATTTTACAACTGGACAGCAGTCGTGCAGCAAAGTTCACCGTTCGATTACTCTATTGATCAGTAATCACGTGCAAAAACAAGCGTTGATCTTTTAATAAAGTTGACTACAGATAGCAGCTGCCAGCTGGTAGTAAGTATGGTCTAAAAACATGGCTAATAAAACACTGATTTTTATTACACTAATAAAGTTTACAGTTAAAAGTATATTTTTTATATAAATAGAAAAAAAAATGTCTTCATCTAAAAATCTGCTCGCGGGCCGGCTGAAACGTTGCCCCGTATATTTTTGAAACGTATATTTTTTATATAAATAGAAAAAAAATGTCTTAATTTAGAAATCTGCTCGCGGGCCGGCTGAAACGTTGCCACGGACGATGCTGCACGCGGGCCGCAACTTGCCCAGGCCCGGTTCAGAGAATGATTCTATTTCAACTGTTTTTAGTAAACTAGTATTTGGCATTGTACGGAATTTATTTGACGAGTTTACCAGTGGTAAGTTTCTTGGACAAAAAATACTTGGACATTGTCATTTGCAGTCAATGTAGAAGTCCAATGAAGAAGTAATGGAAATAGCCGGGTACAAAAGATTCATAATCAAAACGATCAGAAAAAGACAACTACAATTTTTCGGGCACATGAAGATAGCAAATGAGCTAGAAAAACAAATACTGTGCGGACAGATTTGTGGTACCAGAAGCAGATGAAGACAAGCGCAAAATACATCAACAGTCTGAATAAGTACGCAACGACGAAAGAATCTCCCAGCACTGAACTCATCAGGAGAACTGACAACAGATTGAAATGAAAGTCAATGATCGCGATGTCTGCAACAGACCTGGCTCATGAAGAAGAATTAGTGTCATTGGGAGTTCGTTACTAATTTTACTATTCGGCTGTTAATATGGGTGCCCAAAATCCAAAAGTAATATTGTTGAAAATTGTTTTCAGAAACTCCAGAATCAGAAGATTCACATTGTACCACTACAGTTTGTATGAGAGCTCAAGATTCAATTCCCTATTTAATACGAAAATAAAATGGTAATATTGTCAGCTTAAAATTGGGACAGTTAATTTACAAACGGTGGGTAGAAAGATCAAAGCCGGCGAAAAATATAAAAAAAGGAATAAAATCCCGAAATCACTCATTATTAGCAGTCCTTTAACATGTGTCGCCGTTATGAGCGCATAGTTCTCCCAGGAATATAAAGCTTCGCCGTTCTGTGATAATTGACGTTGTAAAAAAGGAGGAACGGCGGAAATAGCTCACCGACATTAGAATAGAATGTCTAGCGTTCTGGATGCTTCTGTTGTTTATATACTAAAAAAATATCGATATTCGACCATTCGTTAAAAATATTCGAATTATTCGATTCGATAATAATATTCTTTGCAATCTCGCCAGTAATCTGGCGGAACGCGTAGTAGTCCAAACACTGATGCAATGAAACTCAATAAAACCTTCATTAAATTTAGTAAATTGCACTTCTTCACGAAAGCGTGGTGGGATTGACGATTATTTCATCTCGAACACAAAAACAGTTACTTTTTCGTATAATTTCTGCGGTCGAATAAGCGTTTTGACATAGTAAATGCTGTGGTCATTGCCATCAATATATGCTCGGCCCTTGCACGAAATTCACAACGTGAAAAGATGCGTCCAGTGGTTTACAACAACTTTAAACCAATTTAGTATTTTTTAGCGATAATAATTAATTGTTGTAATAAAATACAGTTTTGTTTGCCTTTTTCATTTCTATCGCAAGTGTCGACAACACTACTGATTGATTTTGGCAATGGTAAAACGAATCAGGTTGTGCAAAAGTGCGAATACATAAGGGCGTAACGTGAAAAAAGAAAGGGCGAGCAAAACCGAAGCGCGTGATCGGCGGTGCGTTTGAAGACCGCGTGCGGACACGCATTTTTTACAATAATGCGAGGTGCTCCGAATGCGCTCCCGTCTATGACTCCACATTATTGTTAAGAAAACAGTTTTAATATCGGTAACTATTACGTATTTGTTCGCGCTCGACTATCGCAATTTTCGTAAATGAGAATAATGTTAAGCGGAAACAACATGTGTTTAAATATAGACGAAATTATTAAGCCCCCCTCGCCTGCTTTAAGATTGTGTCTCTCTCATAGAGTTAGGAGTATGTCTCCCTCACATTCATCCACAAATTGCAGCGGTAGTAAAGAAGCACCAGGCATAACAGTCCTAATGACATCCACTATATTATTCTATACATGTTAATAAATTTAGGGTGTGTTGTATTTACATGAATAAAATTCCCTTTATCTGATCTTCTTTGTATATTACAGCAGAATGGCTTTATGGATAGAAAATTTTCATGATTTGTGATAGTTGTGCCGCGAATATTTAAAGTGCTCAATAGTGTGCCGCGATATAAAAAAGGTTGGGAACCACTGCCATATGCAATGAAACTGAAGCAAACAAAACATGAGGAGTATGCAGATGATGTGGTTTAATTCAATGGCAATTTCAATGTGATTGGAAAGGCGTTTTATTGTCTTTATAAAGTCAGTCTGGAGAAGTTACTTCATTTTATTTTATTTATTAAATAATCGATTGATTTATTCATTCACAATGACCTCAACGGAACTAAATTCGGTTTTACATTCACTATCTTCTTCCAAAAACCTCGTATCATATTCAAATTTTCATTTATTTCTTAATAAATTAAAGTACTGTATTACTTTCTATCATAGACAAGAATTTTGTATTAGGAATCTTTTAGCTGTTCGATACATTGAGAAGCTGCTCATTTTAGGTCTTCAGCATATTTATCCCATAATTTATTAAATCCTGGATATTTTTTACCACTTTGTTCCATCTTTTCATCCACTCTCTCGCTCTGTGATTTTGTTAATAAATTTTTCCAATCACCTATGACACCTTTACGCAAGAAAGGTAATTCAGCCGGCCTTGGGGCATGCTTAAAAATAAAAGCATGCTGATAAGTTTCATACAAAGTTGATTAATCAACATGTGATTTTTTAGATTTTTTAATACAGAAGCAAAAAGCCGATATGCGCTCTCGATAAGCAGGGGTGATTGTTGTCGTTACACCAACTCTCAATATTATCATTAATAGGTATCTCGTATGTTTGCTTAATGAATGTTTTCTTTAGGGCATACCACACTGAACATATTTATCTAGTAGTAGGGTTTACATAGGATTGGCAAAGACCGATTTTCTTCGGTGTTGCTGTGAGAATATACCGTATATATTATGCAGTAATAATGAAAATATAGATCTTTATGATAAGCTTACGTAATCTCTCTGTGACATATTCTTGAAACTGGTGAAATTGACCACTGCATCCAAAAGTTCATTTCCATTTTTCGTGACCTTATCAGCCCATTCGTCTCCCAGAAACTGCGCAATTCTTAAAAATTCTCTTCGAAAAAAAAAATCGTTCGTTGTCATCTTCTAAAATTAATAATAGTAAAGGCGAGTTTGCCGAGGCAAGAAGAGATAAAATACATTAGATTAGGTTATATAGACCCCCGAGGGTGGAAATGTTCCTGTGATCGGATGGGATTTCAATTCCGGTAGTGTCTCAATCATATAGTGAACCACGGCTAGGGATGTAAATTTCAGTATTTCGAATCGAAGCGATTTGAATCAACATCAATTCGAATCGATTCGAAGCAATTTGAGAAAAAACGGCTTGATTATATTTAAAAAAAATATTAAATTAGATAACACGAGGCGGATTGCACGACGCAGCAGCGTTGTCTTATCAGTTATCATCGAACAAAAACGTTCATTTCCCCCACGCTTACAGTGTTCCCAAGTCGTAACACACCGGGGTTTGTTATATTTGATATGGGTCACCGCCTCAGAGGAACCAATGGTTTCGTTAAATTGTTTTTAGACTATTCAAAATGTTAAAAAGTTTTACAAATTTGCTATTATATGAACATGTCTTTAAGCTTAGAAATTTTACACGAATGTTTGCAAAAGATTTTATTGGGTGCTCATAGCCAGTTGATCGATCAAAATATTTCTGAAGTTACCAGGAAAAAAATGCTGAGGCTGCGTCAGATTCCATGTCGTGTTGAGGCATGGTCTCAATAATCGTGGAAGGATCGACGATGAGAAGATCAAACGGGTACCTGCCAGCATAAAGCGATGTATGAAATTGTATGAGTAGTGCCACAAGCAGTCAGATTGATGTTACAATTATTTCTTTCGTGTTTCAAATGAGATTATAGAGAGAATTTATATTAATGAACGGTGACGGTTTGAAGCTGTTGAATCAGCTCAGGGTTCTCAACCTGTGGTACGCGAGCAACTTTGAAACACTGCGACAATTAACTTTTGAGTTGACTAAAATATGCCAGATACGCTTTCTCTTTATCTTCCATACTGTATGTATTCGCTGAACGGGTTTATTGCGCTACCAGTCCAGTCCTTGTCTTTCAAGTTTGCCTTCGCCCGCGACTGCCCACCTAAAACTAAGAAAGACGAGAATGTTTTCACCCGGTTTACGTGTTACCTCCACAATGCATATGCATTGACAAATATGCAACAAGGGTGTCGTTCGGCGGGAGTGTCGAGATACTTTGATAGCGCATTGATACATCATATATATGGATGTTACTTACCATTGCTAACTGATTGTGTGTGTTGACTGATCGGCATATTAAGTATTGAGGCTAATTAATTTGGTGATTTGATGAAAGTATATTCGTCCGAGTTCTACGATAATTTAGTGGTAGCGATGGTTAAAGCATATGAGCTCTTTAACTGTAAACCACGTAAATTCTCTCACAAATTCGCACTCAATTAATACGTTGAAACTTGCACGAAAGTCGGTACTCCCGTAGTATGTGAACCAAGATGGCGAACACCAGAACGTAGTATGTGTAACAGGTTAGGCCATAATTTCAGGTACATATACTACAGGAGTCACTTGGCAAGTCCCCGAACTCGTAATAGAACTAAACTAAAATAAGGAAATTTGGAATAAAATGATGGCCATCTTGGTTCACATACTACGGGAGCGCCCGAAGGTCAATAAACGGATGTAGCGCACATAAAATACTCCAATAGCGCGTTTCTTCTACCATTTTCCCCCACCCAAAGGGTGGTTTTGTCGGTGGTACGCGACCAGAGTAAAAACCACAAAAGTGGTACACAGTCGGTAAAAAGTTGAGAATCACTGAATTAGCTCAACTACCAAGCAGGAGCGTGCCCAACTTTTGAAGTTATTTGCTATTGTGTGCAGTTGTATTTTACAAACTGAAAAATATCAACTTGACTAGGAAATATGTTGCTTATGTTTTTTGCAATCTATGGTCAAATTGCTATCTATGGTACAGAAAAATGATTTTATTTTTTTTACATTTCAGAATGGGGGGGGGGGGCTGGAGTTCGACCCGCAAAACTACTCCCCTGGCTGCGCCATTGCAATAATGAATATCCGCCGCATGTGAGCAGTACAAAAGTTAATGTGTACTACTGCAGGTTCGACGTTCATTTTAGCTCGAGAAACGTACCTAGCAGCAGTTCCGTCGAAAGCACGCGCCACGAGTGTACGAGTGCATTCTTCGCAGAAAACGTTGCGTACCGGTAGAGAATTTTAGCCTGTTTTATCACAACTATTTTTAGACAATTCTTGATTACTGCAATTTAATTACTACAACTTCTAAGAAGACAAAATGATAATTGACTCGTCTGATTCAATTTCGGAAACACGACCAAAAATTAATGAATAGCATTCAAAACCGCGAAAACGTGGTATTTATTGGAAACCCGGACTAAAAATTTGTTCAAGTGACAAAAGTGGGTACTCCTGAAGTATGCGCACCAAGATGTATGGTGCGTATGGAGGTATGTCGCATAACCTGAACCCTAACCTGGTACACAACCTGAGTTCAGGCTGTGCGCCATCTTGGTGCGCATACTTCAGGAGGTCCCAAGAGTGTCTGAGCGGATGCGGAAGGGTCTATACTTACGTCACTTTTCGTATCTTGATAATTAGCCAATGTCACGAAATGAACAATGAAGTCGATGCTCGGGGAATCATCCTTTGGAAAAAATTCGCCAATTTTTCGTGTTGTTGCGGGCCAGATGAAGGACGCCATGGGACGCATCTGGCCCGCGGGTCGTAGTTTGGTGACCCCTGCTCTATACGATAAGAAACATATTGTAAAAGAATGAATATGGAAAAAGCAAATTCATTGTGCTTACTTCTTAAAAGGTTCGTAACGTCACGCAGTCCAACATAATGATCAGATTTACGCATAGCGACCTTATATGACTGTAGGTTTTTGAATATTTTATATAGAGCCCAGGCTTATTCTGTTTGCATTACTAGACAAACCTGAATAAATTACGCAATGGAGCGTCGTGTATGCAGTATGCCAGTTTACACATATGTGTCTCACTCATCTGTAGATGGTATGTACGCTATTCCATCAGTAACAACGCAAAAAAGTTTTGACGCTGCAATATCTTACCAAGCTCGGGCTGGAGATATTTTTTCTTTGTACATATCCTAAATGTGGGACAACATGGGTCCAGACTGCACTATTGGGAATGAAATATGGACGACCCTTAGCAAAAAATGAGAAGTTGGACATCATGTTTCCCCACCTTGAATTAGATGGTATAGATGCCGTTGAAAATGTGGAAGACCTCCCACGAATGATAAAAACACATCTCTTGTTCGATATGACACCATGGAATCCACAATCAAAATATATATGTGTAGGTATGTATATAGGCACATGGCGTATTTACCAAATTTTAAGCATTGGTAAAATGTAACTTCATAATTTTTTTACCGCTTGAACCCGGCAAGCCGGTTCACCGGCTTGTTTGAGTACGCTCTGTGCCCCGGCAAGCCGGTTTGCCGGCTTGTTTTTTTAAACTTTATGATCTCCTATCTCAAGAACCACAATGAGTATTTAAATAAATATTAGATTGCATGAAAGCTTGTTATTGGGACTAATTATATTGTAAATATCGGTGCTCTAATATACGATGTTTCGGTAAAATTAGCAATTTGAAAGTGCGTATGAAATTATTGTATGATAACAAATATTTAATATAAAGAATTTCGACTTCTTGCCTAAACAGCACATATTCAATCGGCAATATATGTGGAGAATTTGAATAGCTTTTTATATACGTATTCAAAACGATTTTACGATGAGCCATTCAAATTTTATGGCCAAATATATTAGATTATCTGTAGATTTAACAGTGACGCTGCGTCAAAATGATGTACTACTCATTGAAGAGAGGCTACGTCTCGTCACGCACAACATTACGTATATTACGCAAATGCAACTAAACGTGACGATATCCGCAATAACGTTAGGATAGGATAGGATTTACATATTTATCCCGGGGGAGAGGAAAGCCGATAAGACGGCTTATCCATATGGCGAACCACGGCCTCTCGTCCGGTTACCATTCCAAGTCGGGTATGTGATTAGTTTTTACTGTATTGTTTGTTTTCGGAAGCATGGACTTGGTGGTGGAGGAAGCCGTAACCGACCAGCGGTTACGTGAACCACCCAACGACGGCGAGGAGTCCAGCAATCCTCTCGCACATAACCATCCCTGCATGGGATTCGAACCTGCGAACCCACGCAGAGTAATTAGAGGTGCGGTGGCGAGCGTATTCCTAACGCTTAGCCCGTTGAGCCACACCGCCGCGCCGTTACGTCGAGATGTTATTATTTAAATGTCCGCAGGAAGTAATTAATTAACCCGATGCTACGCATTCAAAATTCGCACTACGCTTTGACTTTGACTGCCCGCTCAAGCCCCATTAAGTTGTGGTTACGTATACGCAATATGAACAAGATTGTGATTTTATTAGCAAATAACGGAACAATAAAAACTATCAAAATGTATGTACATAAAAGACTGCTTGCTAAAATTTTTAAATTGAATATTGCACTTTGTTGTGCCCGGAACAATGAAGAACATGAAAATATTATGCAGATAAAAGACAGATTCTAAATCCAATATTGCACTTTGTTGTGCCAGTTATACCTATGGTTGTTGGTTTCATTATCTATACATAGATACTCATTACAGTATTTGTACTTATATACTGTCTCGCATCGTTTCAGCAACGCTTTGTCTTTAGCAGCTGGATTGATTTTTTGGCAATAATGTAAATTTTGCTGCATACGCCGCATCTATTATTAGAACTGGCATTTTGCGGTAGGGTATCTAGTTCTGGCGACGCATATGATCTTGTTGGAATAAGAGTTGCTCTTTCTGCATTATTAGTTCTCTCAGATATTGATCCATCCACTTGCTTCGCCTAACATTCGTACAATCAGATATTTTGATCTGCAGAGCAGGCAAGTACTTATTTTGGTTGATATTTGAACAAATACTGATGGGCGAATAAAACATTTTCCACGTGAAATTTTATATGACGATATTAACTTCCCTTCACTTCGCTATTACTGCACGCATTACTCGACGTCGGTACTTCAATTCATACAGGGTTAATATCATATCGAAACTCGGCGACCGATGACCCGCTGAGAACGTCGTCGTGAAAGTTATCTTGCGCATTTTGCCACGCAATACGTTTCGAACGTACAAATCAACATCTTCATGATGGTAGTCACGTGATCGACTTTTGCGTAGCTGCGTAATCAGTGCGTCATGGCCGCTTATCGAAGTTGTTCACCCGACACAATGATACACAATTAAATATTTAAATATAAAATTGTGAACGTTTAAAAGCTTTTAAAAAACTCTTTATGAACATCAAATATTGGCGGTATATATTTTACCAAAATAACAAAATTTCAAGCCAAAACTCACATACATGCAGAAAAATCAGTGTTAGATTGGGGTCAATTTTATTAATTTTGACAAAATGTATTTCGAAATGGAAAATACATTCTGAATGCACGATAAAATTTCCTTTCGATTGAAATGCCACGCAACGTGCTACCTATAATTGGTAAAAAACTATAAGCGTGCCAAATAGCCAGTATTTAGACTTATTTTATTGTTCTACCAATACGGCGCCGCGAACCTTCAGGGTGAGCGAGTAACTTCGCTCAGAGCCGTCAGAGTTCAAAGAGTTAATAATTCAAACTTGTAAATAAAGATTGGTGACCGTTATAAATAAATCTTGTAGGAAATAATATTTGTTATTGTTTTATCTGTCTAAGTAGCGACATCGTACTCGGTATAGAAGCCAGTTAAATTGATTACAATACACTGTATATATATGAATTATTTAAAATGTTGGTATACGAGTTCCTTGTTATGATTTAGCCCCAGAAGTTTTCACAGTGCCACATTGTTAAAATTTAATTGATTTACCAGTACTGATATACCAGCAGATTTCTGCTTACCAGTGACTGTTCGTATGGCAGTGGCGTAACCAGGGGGGTGGTTTTACGGGTCGAAACCCCCCTTTTGAAATGTGAAAAAAAATAAAATCATTTTTCAGGATCATAGATAGTAATTTTCCCCCCCCTCCCCCTCCCTCCCTTGAACATTTCTGGCTACGCCCCTGTCGTATGGTATATTATAATATGCATATAGGGAGATGTAGAACATCGATACGGTGAATATATCCTTCATCGGACTCATCTGAGAAGAAATCTAAGTTATAGCCTGCCCCATAACGTTTTATATTGCTTTTAGCACATTTCTTATTTTCACGTTTAGTTAGAAACCCCAAAGATTGCTTTGCTTCGTACTTCTATCACACTATTGGATTTACGTATTTATACCACTACGAGGATGGGAAATTCGATGATTTCTTTGAACTACTGATCAGTGGGAAAGTTGATTTTGGAGACTTTTTTGATTTTGCAACAAAGTGGTGGGCCATGAGCAACGAGAAGTCAAATGTTTTGTACGTCTTATACGAAGATCTGAAGTACGATCCTCATGGGTACGTTGTAAAGTTTAGTCCGTTGTCGTGTACCGTATAGCATATATACTACATGTCCCTCCGAAGGTTCCATTACATTTGAACCCACGTACATTTGAACCCATGACAATTGCACCTGTATGCTATTGCATCTATGGAATTTTTTTTGTTTTTCGGATAGTTGAACTCATACTAACCCTAACCCATGGGTTTTAGCACCCGCATATAGATTGAACCCGTGGATATACACATGGGTTCAAATGTACGTGGGTTCAAATGTACGGTCACCTCCTCCGAACACTATATAGTAGCATTACTCTATATTCTAAATGATACTTATAACTTTTATGGTCTTTAGCGACTCTCTCAACATACACGAAAACGAGCTAAGACAGAATTAACACGAACCGGTGCGTTAACGTTTAAAGCATCGTGCGTGGGTTCTCATTCTAGGGCATAAATGAGTCTCTGAAACTGTTGTCTCACTTGGTCGGGCCACAATAGTTGGGGTCGGCAAACATTTTTATATTTTGGAGGCTGAAATCAACTCACCATGTAATCGGCGGGCCGAGTTTCTGCGTACAATTACGGATAGGCAAATTGAAATGGCATTATATATATATTTTTCATGAGGCGTGCAATATCATGGAAATATATATATACGACTTCATTCAAATCAACGTTTTTTTTAATTCACTAGTTGAGAATTGAAGGTCCCTTAATATAAGTCCATAGTTACAATAATATATAAATATTTGCTTGAGTGTTGCTGAACACCTCACAATTGAATTGTTTAACTGGGTGTGAGGCCGTAATTCACCACATAATTTGGACACGTTCAGAATAAAAATCCTATCCAATCACAGAAACATTTACACCCTCAGGGGCATATGTACGTAGTATCTTCTTGACTTGGAGAACTCTTTACTATTATTAAGTTCACAAGATGCCAACGGACGATTTTTTTAAAGGGAATTTCTGAAAATTGCGCAGTTTCTGGGAGACGAATGGGCCGAAAAGGTTACGAAAAATGGAAATGAACTTTTGGATGCGATTGTGAACTTCACCAGTTTCAAGAATATGTCACAGAGAAATTACGTAAGCTTATCATAAAAATCTATTCCATAATATATATATACCTTATATTCTTACAGCAACATCGAAGGAAATCGATCTTTGCATAACCTATTTAAACCCTACTACTAGATAAATATGTTCAGTGTGATCTTAGCAACATTAATTTGAAACATACATTAATTACGTAAGTTTAACATGAAATCTATAACTTCATCATTATTGTATACTATATACATCGTTACAGCAACACCGAAGAAAATAGGTCGTTGCATATGTATGTAAACCCTATGTAATGTATGCAAACCTCACTACTAGACAAATATGTTCAGTGTGTTGTGTTACATTAATTCAAAACATGTATTACCCAAACATGCGAGATACCTATTGTCGATAATATTGAGAATTGGTGCAAAGATACCAACAACCCCTGCATACCTTATCCATATTTTACCTATATATTAAAAGGCACATGCTAGTCAACTTTGTGTAAACTCAACCGCATGCTCTCATTTTTAAGCATACCCAAAGGCCGGCTGAATTACCTTTCTTCCGTAAAGGTGTCATCGGTGATTGGAAAAATTTATTAACAAAATCACAAAGCGAGAGAGTGGATGAAAAGATGGAACAAAGTGGTAAAAAATATCCAGGATTTAATAAATTATGGGATAAATATGCTGAAAATCTAAAATGAACAGCTTGTTATTGTATCGACCAGCTAAAAGATTCATAATACAAAACTTTGGTCTGTGATAGAGAGTTATACTTTGATTTATTAAGAAATAAAGCCCCAAAGTACTATTTTTTCATTTTTATATTGTTTATTCATAAAGTGTACTTTAGTTTGTTGGAAAAATAAACTACAGGTACTGATTACTGAAAAATGCAAATTTGAATATTTTTCGAGGTTTTATTAAAAATGCAGCATTCCAAGAATGTAAAACTGAATTCAGTTCCATTGAGCCCATTGCGAATGAATAAATCAATATATTCAATGGCAACAATTAATAAATGAAAGAAAATGAAGCAAGTTTTTCAGACCGACTCGATAAACACAATAAAATTGGTTTTGTCCATTAAATGTTTCAAATATATGTATCTTCATGATCCGTACTTTATCAGAAAATAAATCAGTTTATATTAAAAATTCAATAGAACATCAATCATTCAATAACTCATACTAATCAAACTACTACCTACTACCCAGTCCATTGAGTAGATATCACATCCTGTCCAATTACATTGAAATTGCCATTGAATTAAACCACATTATGTGCATACTCCTCATATTCTGTTTGTATTTGATCCAGTTTCATTGCTCATGGTATTGCCCAACCGATTATTGGAAACACTACTTTATTAATGTTAGAGGTACTATATCAAGTGTATTTCTTGCATCGTGTAACACCATAAGCTCCATCCAATATTACATCAAACTTGCATTCTACACCTGAAATTTGTTTCAAAGCTTTTCTGAATAAAGTATTTTTTTCAAAAGCAGTTCCATGCGCCAATAGCGTTTTTATTTTAACATGTCTTTCTTCCATACCTGAAAAATGAAGAAAAATTTTGGGATATTGGAGAACGAAGATGAGAAGGTAAATTTATCAACCACTATTTCGGAATATCTCAATATGAGTGCACTGCATGAGCGATGACTAATGAGTTTAATCCAATGTAACCATTTTCGAGACACCGACCATTTTGTGCACATTGCAAAAGTGTGGTTGCAAGGCATTAAAAATGTTCATATAGGCAGGAAACTGCATTTAACCATTAAAGACAATTACAGCATAGGTACACTGTTTTCAATACTTATTTATCACTATTTTATATTATTATGTTGCCAAATATGGGCTATACTTGAGCTACCCTACAAACTGTAGTGGAGCAATGTACATTTTTATATACAGCTCCGAAAAATTTTTCCAACAGTCGAATACTAAAATTAGTAACAGACTCCCAATGACACTACATTGACTGCAAATGATAATTTCCAAGTATTTTTGACTCACCACTGTTAAACATGTCAAATACATTCCTTATAATGCCAAATGCTAGTTTATTAGAAACAGTTGAAATAGAGTCATCTTCTGGACCAATGTATTGTGCAGAAGCTTGTTTATTTGGATCATGTCTTTCACCATATATAGTTGGATTAATTGTCATACTTGTTGCAGGCTCTGCATCTTAAAAATAATCTTTTCTATATGAACACTGACATATACAATTTGTTTTTTACTTTATTATCCGTGTAGAGTGGTTTACGTAAGCACTGGTCGGTTCATCTTCCTCCACCATCAAGTTCATGTATCTGAAACAAATAACTGGCTAACTAATCTTATACCCCACATGAACTGGTAACCGAATAAGCGACCGTTGTTCGCCATATAATTAAGCCATCTTATCGGCTTTCTTCTTCCTTGGGATAAATACGGTATGTAAATCCTATCCTACCAGGTGGAATTTTCCAGAGAACAAATTGCTGCTAGCAAATTTCACATGCATAAAAATAAAATTAACAAAAACAAGCTCCGACTCTACAGCTCTGGGTAAAATAATATTCTTAGTTGAACAAATATTGTAAAAATATTAGGATTAATGATTCAGAGTGGATTGTGAAAAATAGCAGTGAAAATTAATCAATTTAGAGTACGGTAATTATAAGTGTACAATCGATAGTGTAACTGAGAATCACTGGTAATTTTAAAAAATTGAGCAAAACTCATTGGTGAGAACGTTGAACTTATCGATAAGAGCATCTCAAGTCACAGATTGTTGATTCAAACCCCATTACCAATTACTCATCCAGGGTGTGATATATTGAGTAGAAAATGCTAAACAGGATACATATCTAAAATATTGGCTTCTTGAGGTCAGTGTCTTACATGTCTGTCTCTACTCAACTTTGTTTGAAGTAAAATGTGTGAAAAAGTTTCAGATTACTGTAGCTGTTGTTGCAAACTCCTCAAATTAGTCTAGGTAATTTAGTCAAATCTATGGTACTTTACCGATTATAAATTAGAGTTCATTCATATGTACTCACCACTATCGATGTCAATAAGTTTTTCATATATATCACTCATAGTAAGTGATGGTACAAATTGTACTGTCCACCTATGCATCATTCTTGCAAATTTTTCAAATACTGCCCCACCATTTAATGATGCCGAAGTCCACAAGCAAAATTCCCCAAAGTAAGGTACACAAATAGATGATGAAGGTACGGTTGCAGAATATTTTAAACTATAATGTTCAATTCCCGATTGGATTGGCAGTATTGTAGAAAGTTGAGCTGCTGTGCCAAGGTTGAAAACTGAACACATTAAATGAAATATTTTTTTTCATCTGAAGATTCACTATTGATGTTCGTGGTAAGAATGGATTGAATTCTTGTGACATTATGAATATTAATTTAGAAATATTTACAGCTACTGTATATGTTTAGGAAAATGTAAAAATATAAAAAATCCAAATACAATTTGAAACTTCATTAATGTAATAGTTCAAGTGTTCAGTTAGAGCTACAAACAAATATCGTACTAATCAGGGTATAAAATAATTTGAATGCTGACTAGAATTATGATGTTTTTACACTCTTAACACAAACTGACCTAAAATATATTCTTAGCATAAATATTCTGAGTATTAGCTCTGTTCATAGGATAGGTACGTGGGGCAGTCGTTTACTAGCACTACCATTTTCGAGTACGAGCCTCAATAAATAAGAAATTTATGTTTTCCGAAAAAGCACATAACCATTAACACATAACCAATTATTAATTGTGTATACATTTATAGATACACCCAAATAATAATATTTACCACCAGTAGAGGAATCTGGATCACAGGAAAGCACAGAACATTGCATGTCACCAAGCCCAACAGTAATATCTATACCAGCCGGTATATCACACCAATCTATTTGTGACTTTCCAACAATGTTGCCTGGATTTACAATGTCTGGTAAGAAATTTACAGGAAAGTCATTTTTCTTCAATCTGGAAAATCGGGTAATATAAAAATAGGTAATAGCCAAAAATGCATTACAATAAAAAAAGATATCCTATAGGAATAAATAAAAATCATGGTAGTTTCTTTCAGCAAAACTGGCTAATTATTTATAAAAGCTCCTCCAAAATGAGTATGCAATAGTCATAATTGGAACAAACACTCAGATTGAAAAACACACGGTAAATATGAAAAATAACTAAACATTGCCATTCTTACTACCTTACTACTAAAGCAGTATTGGTAATGATGCAGCAGTGTTTTCTTAATTTTCTATTTTGGATTTATATTCATGTTAGTTCTACGATCATCATAAAACAAAGGTTTCCATACTCTGGTTACAAAGATGTAACATCAGTAACTAAATGATGATGTCTTGTTCAACAAAATAAAAAGAAATTAAATGAAAGAGATAAAATATTCACAATTTTAAATTCCACTTCCTATCAATGAAATTGTAATAACCCCAACTCATTGCATTTTGAGTCGACATTATTGGTTTTCTGAGTTTGCATAAACTTGCAATAACATAATCCATTATTGTTCCAGCACAATTGTATTTTGATAAAATCTCAGGAGAATTTTTCCGCAGCCAAAACATTGTTGCACATCCAAATCCTCAAATGAAAGAAAATATAAATTATAAAATGGATTGAAACAATAATCCCAATCAATGATTCAAGTACCATATGGAGTATTCACTGTTAGGTGTTCATATTCAAAGAATTGCTGAAACTTGAATATTCTCTGGAGTGATTGACACCTATGGTTCTGTACCAGCCATGTATCTGTGAAATCTAGTTAGTTGTCCTGTAAATGACCTAGATTAAAACTTGAATGGAAAACAACATAGTTTCTCTTACCTACCTGCAACTCCCTGCTATTCAAATAAAATTAGATTTAATTGCAGATATTGTATGATAATCAGAGTGTAAAAATCTCACCAATTCAAAAATGATTTGAAAAAGGTCGGCCAAACTTTCTGTAATTTCGATTTTAATTAGTTGAAAGTTCATTTCTAAATTATGAGAAATTCAATCTTTTAGATAAACATACATCACATAATTCAACATTAAAATTCAATAAATTCAACATTCACACATACATCAATAACCTTTTTTGCCATACATTTACCTGTAGAAACAGGGACACATTTTTCTGGAACAGGTAGTGATAAAATGAATTCCGAGTCACACCTCTGATCTTGCCATGTTATTAAATTAGAGCAAGGATAATATATTCCATCATTTTCAACATTGGTCTGATCGTCACTGTTCCACAGCACACAGCCATGCATTTGGCCACATATTGCTACAATATAAAACAAATTTGATAAAGCATTAATATATTTTAATAAGGTGTCATAACTTTGCTCCAAATAAAGCTTTACCAAGCAGATACCAATATGTGTATATGAGAAAGACAAATTTGAAGCATATGATATGAGCTTTATATCAGAGTTTAACACATGCCAGCGATGTGTGCTGCAATCAAGAAAGATCATCTGTGGCTCAATTTTGATAGTTGCTCAAATATTGTAGCTCTAATCCACCCATCAGAAATGAGCCACAGATAATCCAACTCAATTTCAGACTCCATCGCAAACATACCTCATGCTCCAATATAAAGTTCATAACATATACTGTAAAGTTGTTTTTGTTATATATACATATAAACAATCTCTGAGTGAATTTCATTCATCTATAGCATGTTACATGAGTGCAAGATATAATATTTAGTTCAACTTTCTCTTATCCATAAGTTATACTCTTTATCATGTAATATGTAACTACAAATCTCGATTCCACTTTTAAAAGCAACTTTATTGACCTGATAAAACATATAAATACATGATATTGAAAAGAATAAAACTTTCTTGGACTTGACTGCCATTGTTTTCATTTCTGTATTTAGTAAGAATTATCAGAAACAAAACAAACAACTGTTGACACTTAACAGTAACTAACAAATTGTATTTATTGTAGTTATTCTTGTCCCTATTTCTTCTTTCAACAATCTCAAACATTCCTTTAATGCTGTCAATATCTTGGTTGGATTTTGTTCAAAATGTGATACATTGTCAGAACTTGTTAGATTTGCATTATGACACAGATTCTTTGAACCAAAAATCTGCAAAAAGATTTCCATTTGTTTTGATTGGAAGAATTTTCAGCTACATGGTTTATTCTATTTTCAAACTGTAAAGAATTATTTTATTCAATGAATTTCAATAAATGTGGCACTTTCGCGAGATAATTCTCAATGGTTACCTAGATGTTCAGGCAATGGTTACATTGTATTTTACAATCAACTGTGACTGAGCAATAAACCAGTGCAAGGATCATATGATTCAGGCAGACGATAGAATAAGAGCATGCTATTCCACAAATTATAGCGTTATCGGATCAAACCTTTGGCTCTCCATTATCTTCTGAAACCACGACAACCTTCACAGATGTGGTGCCAATATCAATCCCAAGAACATCAGTCATTGCCTCAAACTTTGCAAAAAACAAACTCCCCAACACAAAACGCACGTGTGTTTATTTACAAATTACGTCATAATAAAAGTTCCGTGATGGATGAGTAAGCTCGATATTACCAGCTGATGTTTTTTTCGTAAAATCTGAAAACAAGACGTATTGCGAACGTACGGTATGTACATACAGTTTGCCGTATTGTCGTACATTGTTTGATCATAATTACAGTTGATACCGGTAACAGTTCTGCAGTTAGAGTGGGCGTACTACTGTTCTACGATTGTAGAAGTGGAATTTTTAAAGTTAAGTGTGCCATTCCTAAATCACTGTCTGAGTAGTGCTGCTGCTGTAAAGCTGTATACCACAGAACAGCAGAATGGCATTGGAAACATATAATAAACTGACAGGGAAAAGACGTCAACAACCCCAAGTTTTGGATGAGGAAACATATACAGAGGTAGGCCTACGATAACATATTTACCCAGGCTACCAAGCTTGATTTTTAGTCAGTTAATTTGAATTAATGCCTCATACAGTCATAGAACTTGACTGTTTAGAATAACTTCTGCTTGCAGTCATGCTGCCATTTTTTGTTTCTATCAATATGTTGAGTAAGTAGGTACTGAAATTGACAAAAACGTGAAATTGCCACCGAATTCGAGCCATTGGTAGAGGTAAAAAACATTTTATTATCACTTTAATATAGTCTAGTTATTCTTAAAAAACTTTTGAAAAGATGAAATATTTGCACATTTTACATATCTGAATATTGGTCTGTAATTAATAAAACAATATTTTTAGAACCTTGAAAGAATCATCACCCGTGACTTTTTTCCCGATCATGAGAAATTAAAAGATCAAAAGGAATATCTAGAGGCCGAAGAGAAAAAAGATTTTGAGAAAATGAGACAAATTGCCTTCAAGTTTTCAAGAAAGAAAAATCAAAACAATCCAACATTCACTCCAAATACTGGTAAATTATGAATCTCAGATAAATATTTTTACGCTTTCGAAGATCGGGCGGAGCTATGGGTTAGCTGTTAGTACACGTATCTCAGTTGCAAGCGCCATCCATGATGTAATAAATTAGGTAGACCGAGCTGAACTGCTACGATGTCGGTCACACCATAAGATATACATGTTCTTTCTTCTCGATATCAATATAAGAGTCCATAACCAATAAGGTGTATGAAAATATATTGACAGATTTAAATCTTATGATACGACGAACTTTAATGTGATCACATGATCATATTTACAATTCTAAAATATGTATTTTCGTTTATAAACATGAAATAGATGAAAAAAGTAAATGTACTTGTAACAATGTACTTGAATGCATTTTTGTTATGCTCTCTATTACAGATTCAACAAAACTGACACCTGCCACATTTGACACTCCTGTAATTGATGAAAAAATGACTCCAAGCTCTAATTTGAATTCAAAAAATCTTGGGTAGGTTTTTATTAATTTACTCTGTATGCTGTCAATCATAAGTGGCGGGCACGCCACACATATGTACATGAGGCCGACATGGTCTTGTATATGACTCTTGTTCCAAATTTAATATCTTCATTGTTATGTATTTATTTATGGGATGAATAGACAATCATACATACAGTCGAGTACAGATATTATTCAAAAGGTTTTCTCCTGTGTTTATTTAAAGTTCTTCACCAATCACACTTTTACATTTTTTCTTGCATTTATGATAAATGTTTATAATAGTTTAAAAATGTCGTTATGGTAGTTTTCACCTCATTGTATTTTTATGTGGCACTTGTTATGCCTTACACCCCGAACAAGGCTCTGTACAAAACAACCACTGCTAGATAAGGAACTACTATGATTGGGAGGAGATGAATCTTCCCAGTTCAGCATTTCCTACCCAATTTATTATATATATCCTGGGTGAGGTAGTGGTGGGCATGGGATTTGAACCTGAGTATTTCATCTGCAATGCCCGCATAGTTTCGTCTCTCTGACCACAACCTTTTATGGTTTGTGGCCCCTTTCTGAGGCTTTTAGCAGTCATGGTCATGGGTCCCTTGTTTATCATTCCAGTGATATTTATAGGTTTAATTTGATTGGTAGATTTCAAATTCCGTTATGTTCAAACAATTCATGCTCAACAAATTTAAAACGCCTTGTGAAATAATCAATATCAAGCAGTAAAATTAGGAAGAACAGGGAGTTTTCTTGTAAAATGAAAAGTAAATTTGGTTACGGCTAGCATTGGAGGCCCCCTCCAACTGCTCTGTGTAGGGCGCCTTAGGCCCCAAGTTGGAAACCGCTGTTCTAACCACTAGGATGGCTTACCACAATATCATGGTCACTTAGTGTCTGTACGGGATTGTAATGCATTCAGTTGAAAACCAGTCTTTTGGATTGTCAAAATGACTTGATAGTCGTTTTTTTTTACAATAAATAATGATTTCAACTCTTTGTAATTATAGTTATGATAAGAAAGACGTATTACTGGATGAAGAGGATCAAGTTAAACAATCTGATGTTAGAGATGGTTTGAATTCATTTCTCGGCAAATATACAAGTGAAGATAATGAATCTTTCGAAAATATTATGGAAAAGTTAGTATTACTTTGCTTTGATAATATAAGGTCTAAGTAATAATCGTAAGGGCTAATTCCCTTCTCTGTATAATTATGCCCAGAGTTGGGCATTTAGATGTCTTGGAGTTTTGTCTACAATAATAGTAAATGTTTAATATAGATTGTGTCTGTGTCACATCTAATTTCATTCAAATTCTCAACTATATCAATGAAGAAGAAGAATTTATTATGAATCATATGGCATAACTCTAAGCTCTATTCAGAGCTGGGTTATATTTTAGAAGTTTATCTGTTGATGATGCTGAGAAACTGTTAATGATTTTTCACAACTCTGAGTAGCATTATTCATAAATCACCATGGCAATGGTTTATATTTTTATCAGGGCCGAACAAGATCAAAGAAATAAATATTCATGGCTGTATGAAGCAGAATTGAAACATGCCGAAAATACAAAGAAAATGCTCATGTTACAAGGTGATGATACGAACAATAAGATGCTGGCAATAACAGATGGGTCTGAAAATGTGAGTTGCATTGTTCTATAAATAAGCTTTTGTATATTACTACGGTATATTCAATTTTTATAACTGATAGAAACATATTTTAAATTTTGATTTTGGAATTTTTTTCCATCATATTCTTTGCTTAATCTTTGTTATGTAACCATGGAATTAGTTTGTAATTATAAACTCCCTATTACACTTTTTGTATCTAACAGTGACATTTTTATATGGCCTATTTATATGTCTTTCATTCCGATCAAGCACACAAGTAGCCATGTAGTGTTCATGTCAAGATAGCCTAATTCAAATCAGATTATTAGCTGCAGTTTTGTTATTAGTCATAGGACTCTTGAGTCACGAGTCAAAAATTATCAATTGTAACTAAATAGACTGCAATCGTCGAAGTATTTGTTGTTAAATATTTTTATAGAGAATAATGATATTTTTGACAAATCAAGTCCTTTTTTTGATTTTTCAGAATCTAAATAAATATTTAAATCAAATTTACAGTGGGGTTAAATTTGTGATCTTTGCCAAATTATCTGTCTAGTATTTTTCTGAAAGCTGTCCCGCCCTGTCGGACTATCTTCAGAATCATTCATTTTCAGATGAGTATCTTTTAACCCCCATTTGCGGGAATTTGTTTGCTCTTAGTTTACAACAAATTATATTTCCATTCATTTTTCAGGAAAACAAATCTGATCTAAAATCTACTAAATGCAATGATAGTGAATCTTCAAAACCTGATGACTCTGAAAATTCATTAAATTTAAAATTAGTTCCATATGATGATGAAGAAAGAGAATCTCGAACTGTTGATACTTGGACATATAAAAACAAGAATCATCTCATGTATTATCCTGAAGGTTTGTGTTTAAGATGTTGCACCCAATTTTTTAAGTATTTTATGTCATTGTATATGTGACTATATTTTTCACAATATGAGACTTGAGGCTATTCTTGAAGTTATAATTTACCGTTATGCATATATTCTGTAAAAATCTAAATTATATCATGTGAAATTTTAGTTCTTCGCTGTAAATTGCTGCATTGTAAATACAGTAACCGATAGCTCACAGCCAACTATCTGAACCAGGTCTCACAAATGCCGGTTTGCGTCCTGTGTTGCCTTTTTGCAGGTCTTTGAGGATATTTAATATTTGTTTCGTTATTTCTATATCATATGTAACCTTAAATCGAGACAAAAGAAAAAATAACTGTTAAGGATAGAGTAACTATTTGTTCGATACATATTCAGTATTCTTTTTCTGAATGTTTCTTTTTCTGAAGGTTCTAATAAATATTGAATTCATAATTGATTGTGTCATATTTTCAGGTTTACCTAATGATGACGTATTCAAAAAACCTTATGAAATCACACATTCCAACACAAGATTTGCTAACGACCCATTCAAGAATACATTAGATCGTACTAAACTTGTAGAAGCTGCAGCAGAAAATGCTAGATTTGGTGTTGGTGAACGTGTTGGTCATGATGGAAAAGCTATTATTCCTAATGCATCTCCTGCTGTCAATGGATATGGTTTTGTAGCAACGCCATCTCCAGCACCAGGTTTGTTGTTTTTCTAATTCTGTATTTATTGTGAGAATATTTCTTGAATATGAATACATACATTCATTCAAAAAATGGAATACTTGAACTGCGACAGTGAACTTATATTTTCTTAGTTAGATTTTTATCCATATCATCCATTTCTCATAATATATCATGTATGAGTAGTGACTTTCTGAATTTTACTATTATTTTGCTTCGATTATTTACCATTCGATTTGAGTTTATGATGGCCTGGTACAGGGCTACTCAACTGGCGGACCGCGCCAGTGAAGTTATAGCGGCTGCTTGGTTACATTCTTCACAGTTTTTTAGACAAGGTGGTAAACATTAGATTGTTTTTGGGGCTTTGCATGCTATTTTTCAGGTTTCATTTGTATTTTTGAAATTTAAAATAGAACAAATATTGACAAATAACTTTGCTATTGGACACGAAGTCGACTAATGAATCGTTTTGCTGAAATCATTGTGCTTTTGTATTTGGTCAAACGATACATTTGTTTGCATAGTTAAATATATATTTTTGGAATGACCAGACCGCAGTAAATTTTGAATTTTGTGTACGGACCTTCGGTGAAAATAGTTGAGTTACTTTAAAATATGATGCCATCGCAGTTTAAAAACTTTGGTTCAAATCCTATGCAACCAGGGTGTGATAAATTGAGTAGGCAATGCCAAAACCAAAAAAAATTCCTAAAAATAAACTAGCTTTTTTTCATATAAGTGGGTTTTCTGTATAGCATTGTTTGGAACATCAGATGTATAGATATGCTGTATAAAATATGCTTTCTCAATCTATTATTGTAAAGCTGTGTATTAATCCAATTGAGGGATTCATCACTTGTGCGTTCGAGTTTCAATAATACTGCCTATTTTCGTCTTACTTGCTCATGGTTGGTCATTAGGATACTAGTATTAATAGTCTTCGATCTCCTTCGCTATCACTTCATATACTGCTATTACTTTATGAAATAGCTATTTCTACGGAAATGTATAAAAATGTCTCTCAAATTTGATTTTTTTTGAGTGAATTTAATTTGGTTTTGATGTTCTTTCTCTACTGCATTTCACTTGTATCTATATTTATTAAATCACAATTCATGGTATTTGTAATCCTCAGTTATACTTCAATACAATCTTCATCTATTTCTCTGTATCATAGGTGTGAATATGTCCCCTGTAATGACGTGGGGTGTAGTGGAAGGAACGCCGATCAGAATAGATGGATCTGGAACACCAACACCAGGACCTTCATTCAAATTTCCTAAAGAAAGCAGACGTGATGAACTAACATATAGAATGGTTGATGAAAATACAAAAAAGAATAGGTATGATCTTTTATTGTTGTTTATGAAACCAATTCTGATTTTTGATATGTGATGACCAAATTAATGTTATTTGCTATACTGGATGCACATTGTAAAAAGTAACATTACGTCAATTTTTGTATTGTATCGAGTAATCAGATGACAAAATTTCAAATAAAAAATATGGAATCAAGAAGTGAGTAATTAAAATATGTATATTTACTGTAATTAAACAATTAAATTTGTTTCGAACATCCTTCTATGTAACAGAAAGGAAGGTTTATTCTAAATGTCAGATTGATATGTCTTAAAAAGTGCTTTGTAGTGTTATGCCACTGAAAAACGGGTCGGTTGCAATCAAACCACTTCACTGACCAATTACAACATTTCATTGATGGTGAAATTTTGTCACTATACTTTTTCTTTTGAACGACTTTGCATTCTGCGATATCTTTTCAAACAAAAAAGGAGACTAAAATTCTGCTATTTTTCTTGATTTTCTGTTTTCAGTCATTTGAATCATCTTTTAATTACAGAGCAAAGAAGCAAGCAGCTCTCCGACAAGTTAAAGAAAGTGTTTTAGCTGGAACGCCAAGACGTGTTGGAACAATAATGAGTTCAGAACGAATTAATACTCTTTCACCTGCAGCAAAAAGACTCGTTTCTGGGAATCGAAAACTGGGAATAGGTATTGCACAAGTTAACAGTAACATAGGGTGTTCATAAAGTCCTGTATTCAATATGGTAAAAGAATTCTGGCCTGCTTCGTGCAACTAATGGCGATTATACCGTAATTTATAAAGGTGTCAAATGAACCAAAAAAACGTATATAAATACTGATTTAAACAGAACGGACCTATTAAGAACTGACTTCATAACAAAATTTTGATTGTAAGTTTGTAGCGGGAATGTTTAACATAATGTTAAAGTGTTAAAATCAACAACAGGCACACATATACTCCAGTTGTTCCCAAAGTTTCCCGCAATGAACACTTTTGTTGAATCACCTAACGAGTTTTTGACGCAGTCAATACTGCAATGTACAAATGGTCGCTAAAAACAAATCTTGTCATTGAAAATGCTCACAGAAGCTGCATTGTGATTTTGGAGTACCCATCACTGCTCTAAATGATAATTTTAATTATTCATACAGCTTCAGATATAAGATTGAAAGCCAGTTACACACCATCTCCTTCTGTTCGAAGTAAGAGAGGAGATTTGACACCAATATCTAAAACACCAACACCCAATACAAGAAGTAAATTAACACCTCAGGTAATTCGAACGTTATATCAGTGCTGATTTGGCATGAAGTCTAACAATTGTGCATGTCCTAATCCAAAACATATCCTTAATTTATTAAATATCTGATGACCTGTCGAAATTAATAATATGGTAAGTTATGGTGAATTCACAATGGGTGAATAAGAGTTCAATGATATGTTCTAGGTTAGGATAGGTACAAATGCTCAAATAGGATGTACCCTTGTATGTATCTACTATTTTTTATATTCATTTTTGTCTTTTATCCTCTATTATTAGGCATTTGTTTAAAAGCTATGTAAAGCTATTTTATTCATACAATACAAGTTGAATGACTTTTTAGCTTCGGAATATTCATATTTTGAAGTGTTCTTATCTATATATTAAACTACATTTTGAAGTGTTCTTATCTATATATTGATCTTTACTTTAATAGGTTACAGGTGCTGTTTCACCGTCCATAACTGATAATTTATTGAATATACCGAAGAAGAAAAAGAAAGCTTCAGACTTTTTCTGAGAGTGGATTTGTAACTTCAACACAACATAACCCTGAATCTGGGAGACAACATGGTTGAATGCTTGAAGATTCCAGAATCGACTTAAATCTCTTGATTCAATGGTGGATCATGGTGATTAGAGAGGAATGCTAGATACAGCAAGGACAAGATGGAAAATGGCAGAAATAATAAGACAAAATGATTATCGTTTCAATTTGCTTAAAATTTAAGTTTTTACACTCTGTTCATTGTTGGACTATATCAAGCTTTGCTGAATCCTACTTTGTGAAGATTGTATTACTATTAAACATAAATGATGATTGTCGTTTGTTCAATTTAATTTTCCAAGGATATTTTCGACATATTCTTAAGGCAGAGTTCTTTGTCCACTGTTCCTATATGAAATCGAAATTATTGCAAAGTAATGTTTGGTGTATACCTTCACTTATGGAAAGCTTACTTTGCTCTTACAAAGAAAGTACATAACATATACACCCTACCAATTCAATTATCACAATAAGGAATTGTTTCTAAATAGTATGTGAATTTTAATAATCAGCTTTTTATAGTTTTTTGTTTTAAAAAAGTTATGCAACTTTGAGTAATAAAATTTGAATGGGAAAAATGTAACCTTTCTACATATTTCCACATGTAATACCAGATTGCGCAATAAGTTCAATGAATTGAGAATTCTTATATAGCTTACAGACTAGATTGTCGTTGGTTGTTCAGCAGTAAGGTCATGTCTATTGTGGGGCTTAAGAATCAAACAAATGGCTCAGAAGAATGATGTAATGATAAGTTATTTTCGTGTATGAGTTACTCTCTTTATTTTTTGGTTGGCACATTGCGGTGAGTACCAAGAAAGCTCATTCTGCCGGTTACCTTACATGGGTTTGTAAGTTTGAACTTTGTAGCAAACAATTACATACCAATATAGGCAGAAGATAGTGGTTAACCATTCCATATAATTAAGTCATCTTATTGGTGTTTCTCAAGAGATTATTAATATGGAAATTCCTTACATCCATGAAAAAAACAGAATTTAACAGTGGATTACATTCGGAAATCACACCACTTAGATAATAATATCATTGCTTGACTTCCCCAAATTCTGAATTTTTTCCGCTTCACACCAACACGAAACAACAAAGTTAATGCAAGAGTTCACTGGCAGATTAAAAGTATAAAAATATTTGAGCTAGTATTCTGTACATAAAAATACAATTTTATAAAGAAGCTCTTTTCTCTAGCAGTTATTTCTTTCCTTTCTTTTTTCCTCCTTTCTTTCCTCCCTTCTTTGATTTGTTTTTCAATGCTTTTCTCACCTTGTATGCTCTGAAGTAAGCTTGAATGGTCACTGCAGCCTAGAAGAACAAGATTGATATGTATTAGTATTATCCAAGGCTATAAAAAAAGCATGTTTCTCCATTTTGAAACTATTCTTGTGCCAATCTGAGATTAGGACCTACATAATATAATGCATTGAGACAGTCATTCTTCCCCACATTTTTTTACATTCCATCCATTTTTTAAAATCTTCGTGCCTTCCTCACTATGCATAAAAACTGTGTTATTTCGTTGAGATCATTAAACAGTGATATGGGCAATTCATACTTGTTATTGTACAGTTTGCATAGCTTACGAGGGATGTTGTTATGCAGATTTCAGAAGTAGCATACATATTCAAATGTTGTCATACCTTGATATTTGCAGCAAGTTCTCTCTCTTCTTGTTCCCTCTTTTCTCTTGCGATCCTTCTCTCTTCCATAATTTTATTGTATTCTTCTTCCAATACCTTGAATTTTTCTTCCAACTCGCTAGTAAAGGAAAAAATATATAATTCACTCTTAACTATTAGCATGGATAAAGAACATTGTTTGTCATAACTATAATATATATATTTATATGTTTAAACTACCTCTTGTGAAAAACTCAACTAGTATTCCGGCCCTCCCAGAATAAAGAATATTTACATGTCACTATTTTTTGTACCACAACACAACTTCTACCTCAATTGTTTCTTCTCTTCAGTATAGACTTTGTCTATCTGTTCATATTCATTCTGCCTGTCACCCATATCTTGATCGTATTTCTGGATCCAGTTTTCAACTTCTGTTTCTATTTTGTACTTGCGCTGGATAAATTTAAAATTAATGTCAATAATAGTGTATTACACTGAATTGAACACATGGCAAACCACAGTAAAGTGCATTCCTACCATGTGTCTATTGCTAAACCATGTTTAGATATTCTAGTTTAACTTGGAATAATCATCCCTCAACACCAATAAACCATCATTCTTGTAATTCAATGTTCAGAATAGCCTTCAATAAACTGATTTTAAATTTACCATTTACGTCTATATTTCCAAAACATAGAAGACAGTTTGTTTCACAAAATCTTACTTTTCGAAGACCTTGTTCAACTTCTCTATTCTCTTGCAACATTCTACTGAATTGATCCTGAACTTGATCAATGTCTGATTTCAATTTGGATTGTTTTGCATCACTGTTCCTGGTATCAGAAGCCTGTTGACAAGAAAAGTATTTTAATGTGCGGAACATCAGCTATGAGATTACCAGTATGGTTGGTTTCGCTGAAAATGTATTCGAGGCATAGGACTTGATAACATATTTTTTAATTCTTTCTTTTAAACTGAAAAAATATGCATCAAATTTATTTTCTACTCCACCATAATTGTTTCCATGTATGTTGTGAGCATATTAAAGTTTGCCACTAAATAAAACTGATAGATAAAGTTAAAATAAAAAATCATTAGTATTTTAATTTATAAAACCGAGATATCAATTCAAAGCATGGTGGTGAACAATGCAAATATATACACAAAAAGATTTTTCATTAATATTGTTATGATATTTTACTCAAATTATATAGTATATATTCCATAAAATAATGATAAATGCATGAATAAAAATTAGAAAAGGATGTGAAATCTTGTCTTATCAGAGCAGAGTACCTGTTGTTTATCAGATTCTGTTTTTGTCCTTCTGATATGTTCTTCAGAGAATTGTTCAATTTGAAACAAATCATTTTTTAATCTTCGAATTGTTTCTGTTTTTTTTGCTCGTCTCTTGTTCTTTATCCTGAAATAATTCACTTTTATAAGATAAAACAAGTGGATGTTATCAAATATTACTTTGAGCACTGGTTGTTCAAATCTTCCTTTAAATAAAAAACATGTACAAAAGTGACCTAATCATTACCAGCACAAAATTAGGTGGGGTGTTTAATCTGCATAAAATGTGCTCATATATACAAACTTGAGGCAGGCTTCTTGAAAAAAATGAATATGGAATATGTGACGATTAAATTTATCATCTGTGTATTGCATTTCCTTAAAAATGCAATAATACCTGAATGCTATGGAAACGATTCAACTTCAAAACAAACAATCATTCGCCGGATGAGGCCTGAGTCACAATTTTGAGTTTTGAGAAAAATGCAAAAAACAATTTGGAATTTTTTTATTTTTGAATTTCTAGATATTCACACTTAGTAAAGACCTGAGCTCTGGTTATTTTAATGTGGATGTGAATATCTTTGTAATCAATATTTTTTGGCACTTCAGCTTCAATTCCTTCCTGTTTTTTTAACCCTATCATGGACTTTGGCCCATTCTGTTCTCAACAACTTCTGAATTTTTTTTGTGTGGGATGCAAGGTAAAACAAGGTGACTTAGGCCTAAGTTGCACTGAAGAAATTTTTAGGGATGTAAGTTTCGGACATTTCATTTCTGATGTTCATGCCCATCATATTGGAACTTGGGACTATCCTTTTTCAGTATTTTGGGGTTTTGAGCCATGCTCTACAACAGGGATGGCGAACCTTTTTCTATGAATGGGTCAGAATTATATTTTTATCGCGGAACAGAAGAGAGTGGGTCACATATATTCGATCAATGTTTGTTTCTATATGAAACAAATCGTATAAGTTTCTGTTGGTGTTGGCGTAGCTTTGGGCTTTACTTATGCAGCACTTTTATCAGGGACTTTTTATGGCACTCGATTTTATGAAATTAGAGTACGAAAACACGCACATGAATTAACAAAAACGTTTAGGATGATGCGGCAAATTATTTTACGGTTTCAAAGTGTTTGGAAAGAATTCCACTCTGATAGTGTTCTATTTTTCGATCAGCTTTCAACCACGTTAAGGCACTTTTACACTGCCCCCTTGTTATTTTAGGTTTCTAGGCTTTTATTTTAAGTCTGAAAGATTTTGTTCTTTTAATTAACGACATCGTAGGCGAGAAACTAATAAAATACAAAGTAGCATCTAGTTCTCGCATAATGACCCCTCAAACAGTCTGCCGATGAACTTCCGAAAGAGACTAGCTAGACGTAGCGACAAATGAACATATCGGTTGCATTGTTATGTCATAAACGATGTCAGTGCCAATAGCTGAATAACGGTTCACAGCGGTGCAGACATGCGTCCAAGATTAGGGGTTTTGAAAATTACCATACCGGCTCAAAAAAGTACCAATTTGAATATGATATTATGGCCGGTTTTATCAATTTTTATAACTGATATGTTAGCATTTTTTTAAATTTTATTCATGCCTTGGCGGGTCACGAATAAAACGCGATGGGTCACTTTGTGACCCGCGGGTCAGTGGTTCGCCATCCCTGCTCTACAAGGTGGTGGTCTTGAAATTCTGCATTTCATAATATTAAAAATTTTAGCTGGACTTAGGCCCATTCTGTTCTTAACTTCTACAGTCCTAAGTCCAGCTAAAATTTTTATTGAGAAATTCAGGATTTCAAGACCACCACCGTGTAGAGCATGGCTCAAAACCCCAAAATATTGAAAAAAGTGAATTTTGCAAAAATGTGACTTAGGCCTCTTCTGTTCTCATCCAGCGAATTATGATAAGCTTATTATTTTTCAATCCTTACTTCAATTGCAGAATCCAGTTGTGCCTGTAGTTTGTTTATAACAGTAGAATTTTGCTTTTCTCTTTTGGAAACTTGATCCAAATAACTTGATCTGTCCGATTCCTCAGCTGGTGTTGTTAGTAACAATTCAAGCATGATCCCTCTCAATTCTAAAAAAAAGTAGTGTTTTTGGACATTTCTGGTCTTCAGTCACGTTTTAATAAAAGCAGAAAATTGCTGCGTTTAGACAATTTTATTTTCAGATCTTAAAAGCACTGCATTTAGTTTCAAAATGAATAAAATCGCAAATGCCATCACATCTCTGATTACCTTGCGTGGGTTTGCAAGTTCGAATATTGTGGGGATAACTATAGGCAAGAAGATTGCTGGGCTTCTCACCGCCAATGGGTGGTTCACATGACCACTGGCCAATTACGACTTCTGCTTCCTCCACCATTAAGTCTATGCATCTGAGATAAATAACTGGCTAACTAATCCCATACCCCACAGGGAACCAGGTTTATATGCCTCGTGATTAAGTCGTCGGCTTATTTTTCCTCCAGTATAACCAAAATCGGTTCAGTGCCCAATGTACAAGGAGTTATTATAGGTGAATTACCTTTCAGTGCCTCAATAATTTTTGCATCCTGGTGTGTAATAATTTGTTCAGTACTTTCAAGAATTAAGTCACGTCTAAGTGCAGTCGCAACAGCAGGATTTAAAGAAAATTCTCGCATAACATTCTTGCATGATTCAGACACTTCTAATCTTAACTTCTCAAGTTTTTCAGAATCTTTGGAATATTTGGTGACATCTTCGAGTAGGGCGCATTTTTCTCTGGAAATATTTTGATAAAATATCAAAATTTCTTGTTATTTAGGAGAATATTCTATCAAATATATACACCATTTATTATTAATCTTACTTGTGTGTCTGAATTGCTGCAACAAGCTCATTCCCTAAGGAAACACTGAATCTTGCGAGTTGCAAAGTGATAGTCGGAAGAATTGCAAGAAGTTCATGTCGTCTAATTGTTTCATCAAGGCAAGCAATAATTCGTTGGGTTTCCACAGTTCCCAACTTTTTTCTTGCTGGATCAAGTATACGTAAGGCAGCAGCTACACCCTGAAAATATAATCTGGCATTATTTAGATATATTGATATTTGACATGCAGATAGATATATGCTAATTAATAAATCCCTTGAATAACTTAGTATGTGCATTCAGAAATTCTCTCATTCTAATTTCGCTATCACATAAAAAATCCATGAATAGAAATGAGCTAATATTTCATATTTTGAGTAAACTAGGTCAGTACATCCCAATCAGTTCATAGGATGGCTTAGCCACTTTGCGACCATCAACTTCATCGATGTAATTATTGCTGAAAAAATTAACGAACAGCAACAATATTTCCCACGCGTTATCGTCCACTTACCCCTCCATAGCTCTGCAAAATTACACTAAAATTGGGCCACAAACAACGAAGTTACGACCGAAAACCTGACCAAAAAAAAAATCATTTTTTCATGTCGCCAACTACCTATTGTCCCCGTAGTAAAGCTTGAAAATCCATAGAAAGACAAGAAATAAAAAGATGAAACTTGTCAGTTGGGTAGAGTTGTATTTCTTTTAACCATCTTTTAAAGTTTCACGTTTCCACATTTAAAGAAGGGAGAATGGGGGGTGCGCATTTCCAATAGGTCAATAATATCTTTGTCGACCAATTTGCGACCACCATGTTTTTGTGTATTTGATTGCTGTAAAGCGGTGCTTTGTTTGTAATTTGACGAGTTGTGTTCAAAAAAACTGTGTTCTTAAAATCTATGACGGTCAGAAATGCAATGGGAAGCCTAATTTTTTCTCGCATGGCCGCGTATGTTGTAGTTTCGACGCAGCAGAAACGATTTTCAAGGCACAAAATCCGGGTCTAGTATGATTTAGTACCACAAGTACTTCCAGTGGGCGTAGCATAACGAATTTTGCATATGTTATTTCTAACCCCTACCTGACTATGCTATCAAAAAATTCTGTCACTACGACGCCACCTTTACGTCATAGGATTGCAAAAATATAATTACGATCGCTGAAATGGCACCTGCGTCGCCGATAACGAGTCGCTAAACCCGACGATCTCTCTCCGATCGTGATCGTTGTGACGAAAAAACGAGAGAAATAGCTTGCTCGATTTCGGGTGACCGTCTGCGCATTTTGGACGATCATCCGCATACTTTGGTGGGCCTCATTACGCCACTGTGACGTCGAAATGACGTAATTTTTCGGTGACGTAGTCAGGTGGGGGTAGGATTGACATATGCAAAAATTGTTGAGCCAGGCCAACTAAAAGTGCATGTGGTACTAAACTATACCAGACCCCAAAATCTGTGATCTCACACTGGTCGTTCGGTCGCAAATATGTCTTTTGTGTGTCGTACTTTGGTGGTTTGTATAGCTTTAACCCCTGGTCGTAGAAAGTTAATTCGAGGTTAAGCGTGTAGAATGAATGCCAATGCACCTACGGTGAAAAAATTAACAGGATAGATATATTGGTTTTTGTTTTATAGCGGTTTGAATGAAATCGTCCGCAGACTGGCTACACCACCCTACGAAACTACACTAGACACAAATTGTTGTTCAACCTGTTGGCTGTTGGCGCTTCCACTCCTGGTCCTGTTTGACTTCTTGCTCTTCAAGTTGAGCGGCGGAAGCAAAACACCCGCACCAACATCTCTTGTGTGTTGAACTGTAAGAACTTCCGTCATATTCTAGGGTAATTCAGAAACTGTAAGTTAAATTAAACAGATAATCGCCAGAAATTTCTAAAATGTCGTATAGCTGTTTTATTTTGTCACGCATGGTTCAGCTCACCATGGTAACGAGCCTGTTATTGAGAGCGCCACCTGCTGGTACAAACAAATACCTAAACCACAAAGAGGCTTGGGAAGTTGAATAAAAATATCTACGAAATAATTAATATGCCCGAGAAATCAAAAACTTTGCAACTTTAATATCACCGCTTATCTTGAACATCAAAAAATATTATTAATCGGTCATTCTAATTTTAGGTAACAATTATTACACAGTGGCTTTAAAATAAACTATATATAACTAAGACAAAGAGACGTATGAAGATTGTTAATTGAAATAACTACCAGTGAAGAAGACTCGTTAATTTGAAAAGTATCCGTTTCGAGTGCCGTATTTGGTTGTTAAAGATTAAGTGTTTCGTGAATAAAGACGCTCACCGTTTTTTCAAACAATTTGTTACTTGGTTAATTTTTTTTTTAAATATTGAATAAAATATCAGTTTCCAGAATGACCTCATTGATGTCTGACACATGACGTTATGCAGACGTTTTCAAACAGAGGGCTCTTTCATTTTACGTCAACCATTCATTTTACCACAAAAATAGATTAATAAAGATTCCAATCTGATGCAGCCTGAAAAATAGGTCAGGCGTACGTTTTATCGAGTATGCACTCATAATACCCATGTTTGAAATATAGTTTGATACCGACAATCTGTAAAATTGTTAGCTTATGTTGCACCACGAATGCATTATTTTTCTTCATTTACGTAACCTCGTTTCCCAAACTTCAAGTAAGTGTTTTGGTATTTGAAAGTTGAATATTTGCCTCACATGGCGTGTTTTCTTAAACATGTTCAACTATTTATACTGTTGCACTTATTCCGTCGATTCCAATCTATTCACTCAAAAGAAGACACAACCATAGCTTATTTAAACTTCAATTAGACTACTTTGCACAACATATGAGCAGAAATTTTATCCGATTCTAATGGACTACGAGCGTTTTGCGAATGATGCCCAACGCTCACATGTTTTTGCAACTACTGTATAAGCTACACGCTGTACCTCTATTGCATTGGTTTTCAACCTTTTTCGTATCGCGGAACACTTTTTTTAATCTAAAGTTGTGGCGGAACACCAAACGAGATTTTTGAAAATAAACTATATTATGCAATTAACTGACATCGATCATTTCGGCATGAAAATAAAATAACGAAATTAATAATATAGCTTGTCAACTTTAGCTGGAAAAGACGTGACACATTCCGATTCAGAGCTACAAGAGCTAAAGTACGGTACAAATAAATGTTTTTGCGGGTTTGCTTATAAATACTATGATTAGCTAGAAACAGAAATAGTATATTAATGTGATATTTGGGTCTGTTTCGATGAGTTTCAAATATTTCATTCTGGCTGTAAATGGGGAGAGCTCTTTCTCAACGGCTTTCAATTTCTCGCGTTTTTTTTATACGCAACAGGAGTCCAGAGGGTCGGAAGTAGGGCTGGGCATTTCGAATCGAATATTCGAATCGAATCGAATAGTAAATTATTCGAATCGGTTCAGAGCTAAATTTCGAATCGCCGCCATCTTGTTTTTATCTTTCCGCTAATGGTCGAGGTGAATTCCCCAATTTTTTTTTCATTGAAGTCATATTTTTTCAACGAAATTCTAACATATGACTATTTTCTGTAGTGAGTTATTGATAAAACGTGCTTGTTATTCTGTGTGAACGCTCAGTAATCTATCTTATTGATTTATTCTATGTCTTCAGTAATTCATTTGTTGAAAGGACCAATTACTATAATAAAGTCGCTTACAATTATATATTTTCAAGTATTCGAGATTCGATTCGATTCGAAAAAATTATTCGATTCGATTCTGAAATCACAAGGTATTCGAAAATGCCCAGCCCTAGTCGGAAGTCGATTTGGAAATTAATAGAAACATTGAAAATTGGCAACAAAGCAATTTTTACTGTTTAATTTCGTCATAATCGCTACTTTTTTTGCCCCCTGAACGTTTTCATATTACCGCCTTTTTTCTTGTGCGCAATTATTAATTCTTGCCGATCGGCGGAGATCGAAGTTTCATATTTTGATATAACTATATATGCGTTCATATCGACAACAGATGGTATTGACATTGTGGAGCGATTTTACATTCCAATTTAATTTTATTCTGATTTTTATCGTTTGCCCCGGCTTTGATCTAACTTATCGCCGTTTGCAAATTAAACGTCCCAGTTTTAGGCGAATAATATTATCATTATCGAGCACACATTTATTAAAACGATAATTGAGTTTCTTATGCTCCACACTGGTGCCAGTGTTATTTCCGAAATAAATCAATTAGATACTGTTATTAGATAAATCTGTGATTGCGTGAATCCTGAATGTTGATTTAAAAGCTGAAATAAAGGCATTTCTACGTGGTCATTAGGCGAGATGAAAAAAAATTGTAAACAATTTTGTGCCCAATTGCTTTTGTGCCTAGTAGAAGGGGAGACTGATTAGAAAATCACTTCAAGTTTTCACGTTTTCTTTTCTAACAAAACAATACCGCGACCATTATCATAGCTATAATCGTTACCTACAAATTTACAATTTTATTTGCAAAATCAACACTTCACTAGACGATTTTGATGATTCCACACCTTAATTATTACTACAAGAAAAGCTTAAAAATGCAACGAATGTAATCAACTCCGATGATGACTCCCTTCGTGGTCGAGTATAATGTTCACATTTTTGAAACATTATTTGGTCAAGAATGGAATGGATCACTAAAAATACACGCCGAGATAAAGTCCATTGAAAGGGAATATGGCCTGTCATTTCTTATCTGGTTATAAGTTTTTTATACCGACTTTCCAAAACTCTGACTCGCCATTTTCAAATCGACGCTATTTATATTATTCGAATGACGTCATAATACTTCGAAAAAGCAATTTTTCGAGGAACACCTGGAGGTCTCTTGCGGAACACCAGTGTTCCGCAGAACACCGGTTGAAAATCACTGCACTATTGAATAATAGTATGACAATATAATACCCGCAAGGGCCGGCCAACTAGGCTTGCACGTAATTTACGGATTTACGGAATTACGGAATTATTTCGAGTTACGGAAGCGAAGTTACGAATTACGTAAATTCGTAATTATTGGTCGAGCGCTTTCGCGATTGAAACGAGCTCTCTTCAGAGCAGTCAATTCCGTCGATTGTAAAAAATTAAAGTTTAATAAGTAGAAGCGTTTTTCTCTCTCTTGTTACGCAGATGGAGAAGGCATAACGCGTTGCCATTTACTAACCTATTATCAACTTATCTAGCAAGGCAAATGTACATATTAAGGGTAGATATGGGATAGAATTGTGTTGAGACCGATGGACGCCAACACACCTGGTTCCAACTTCTTCGGGTGAAATGACTAAAGAATGTAAGTGATCAACTTACCAAACATGGTCTATTTGTAAATGCCGTGATAATTAATGTCGCGCTTATCAAACAGCAATATGACGACGGAAGAGAAATTGCGTAATGAACCAACGCAACTTAGTCTTTTCGGCATCGGTAAAGCGACTCAAACGGCAGAGAAACAACAAAAAGACGGGATTTCCCATATTTATTCTGCTCGAGATCCATTTTCTATTACAAAATCTTGATGTTCTGTTACCGGTTTTATCGTTATATATCTGTCCGGACTTGGCCTTGTTTTCACAATGCCTCGCACTATTTCGGCCAAATATGTCTTTACAAAATCTTTAAGTCTTTACCAAATGCGGCAACTTATTTTGATTTATCGTCGACTCAAATACCACCGGCACTCGACCAAACTTGTGCTAATCTTAGCCGATAGGATTGTCGACTTCAGTTAGAAAAGTAAATTAATATTTTCGTAAGTGCAAAATAAATGTCACAAAATCCATTGTTTTGCGATATAACTTTGTATTTTCGGAGAAGGCATGTCATATAAGTACGGTATTTGAATTATGCGCAAATAATTAATATTTGATCTAAATTTATCGCAAATAATGTTATAACATTTAGGCCGCGAAATGATTTAATGTTAAATGAAGCATGGTAATCGGAATATCGTCAATAAGCCGGCATCAATAATTATTATAAAATGCTAACTAGGTAGTAAAGTCGGATAATGTAAAAAAACGGTACATAAACAAGTCTTCGTCGCGAGGCAAGCGCAAGTATAATCAAACGAGAGAATACGCTCGTCGTTGATTTATAAATTAGAAACCCGGAATTTTTATTATAAGTTAATACGATTTAAAAAAAGTCAACTATCGTTTCATAAATATATTACCACTTACCAGTGTTGGTAATGATAAAATTGATCGCATAAAATTGGGTGATAAAGTTGATAAGGGAAAATCAAAGCTAACACAAAAGATAAAAATCAGAATAAAATTAATTTGAATTCACTCCTTGATATTTGTCTTTAGCATCTGTCGCCGGCGTGTAGTACTGGCGGAAATATGAAAACCAAACTGTCCCAACTGTCGATGTCCCATGCGGAATAGAAGTGGATTAAATTGGTTGTTATGATAGGTTTAAAAGTGTGAAAAAAAATATCGCAATTACGGGGTCATTACGTAATCGATTTGGCCGTAATTACGGAATTGATTTTTGTCAATTAGGTGCAAGCCTACGGCCAACCTTGCATAATTAATTAATAAACCAACACCTATGCTGATGGTATAAATAAAGTATTTGTGACATCACGTTTATAGGCTTCGTCTTCATATAACGCATTTTGAAAAAAAGAGTACGGGTTATGTGAGAAAAGTATTTCTTACTTGCATAATTTTTTACTTTTGAATATTTGGAGAATTATTTCCAAAATTATTCGGTATGACTCCAAGTATATTTCCCTCCCAAGTAAAAAAATATTGTACGAAACTAATAGTTATAAAGATAAAATTAGTGCACGAAAATACATAGTAAGAAATATATGGTTGATCACGAGTTAGGCATTTCACAGGAAGTAATCGATGTTACTAATAGCACATCTAAATATTCCCTTGTCACTTTTTAGGTTATATTTTCTTTGATTATTCAATAAAATCATTCTCCAACTTCGTACAATTTGATTCGTCAATTTGCTATAAAGAGGCTTTGATATTACGTATAAAATATTTTTAAATTTTTAATGATTCCTCTAGATTTCAATTTTGATATGCATACTGACTTCGACTCACAAAAATGGAAAAAAAACTTTCTCGTCAATGAAATTTGAACCTGACGTCAGATACTTGAGATCATTGGGGAAACTTGTGCTTTGTCCAATTCATTTTTTTATTTAGTATGTCACAATTGAATTACAAACAACATTGCAGGACTTCTTGGTGAAAAGCAAAACTAAATAAAAAGTGCATTTCTATTCTCATCGAGACCTAGTTGGGGATAAACAGTTTACGTTTAAAGGAACAAATAACATTTTTCGGGATTCAAAATATTTTACTAAATTTTAAACTAGATTTCACACATTTGTCCAGTATCTTCAGAATTTTGTGCAACGAGTCATTATGTAGTTGCGGAAAGTTATTAATAACTTCAAAGGGTTTAATATAGTTTCAATGACGCAGTGGGGATCTTTCTAACTCTAGTATAAAACAGCCAGAAATTAGATCCATCAAGCATACGAAATTTTCTACAGATACAAAAACTCAACATTTCCGTGGAGTATACTACAAGAAACTTTAATAATGACTCTATTGGTGCCACCTCCTATTTTTACCTCTATAGCGGGGCCAAAAATTGCAGCCGGTGTCCTTATGCTCTTTGGATTTCTAATGACTGGAAACGTTTATCAACCTCCTGAAGATATGAACTACCAAAATCTGACTGATGATTTGACCGTTGCTTTTAATAAATTCACTGGATGCGGGGTGAAAAATGAAGGTAATATTTTGTCCAACTTATCGCGCTTCAAACGTATTCGGATAGACTCGGATAGAAGTTGTCTTGGTAGATCATAATCAAGCAAAAATAAAACAAACATTAAATTTCCCATAACGTAAATTTAATTTCTAATTCAGTTTTCCAATAAAAAAGTTTCTCATTTTTTAGATTTTTCATCGGCAAAATTTCGTTCGGGACTCAAAAATGCACGAATTCTTGGTAAGTTCTAAATAAGCTTTGCTTAATTGCTATAATATATATATAAATGATTGCATGGGAAAAAAAATCTATTTTATATTAGGAGGCAAAAATGCAGAAAATTGGCCATGGATGATATATTTATTGCAAAACAACGAACACAGATGTGGTGGAACATTAATTAATTCCAAATGGATTGTTACTGCTGCACATTGTATTGCGTTGTGAGTATGGAATACCTTTGTTTTTTTAGTTTAATAAGATCGTATTCAAATACACCTACATAATTTGAATACAGTGTAACAACTGTGTGCCAAATAATTTTATTTTATTCTAGTCCTAATGAACCAGAAAGGTACAAAGTAATTCTCGGAGAACATAACATTTCCACATTCAGTGGAAATCAAAGGATGTCTAGTATCGCTTCCATCAGAAGACACAAAAAATTTAATGCTGTCAACTACGACCATGATATTGCATTACTGAAGGTACGACATATTTAAAGTTTATAGTTGTGATGTGATTTAAATTAGTGGTTAGGCAATGAGTTAGTATTAAGTCATAAAATCGTATAGATGAAACTGTATTAAATATTGTATGTCAATACAGCCCATAATTAGTAGGACCCGAGTGGAATTTATTTGAAAAGAAACGACATTAATATATGCGCTTTTGCAAATCATTCCAATATTATAAAAACTTTTTTCAGCTCAAAAACCCTGTAATATTCAATAAACACATATCGCCAGCATGTTTACCAGACCAAGGATTTCCAACTGATGCGACAAATACTATATCATTGGAATCAGCATTTACTGGGAAAAAATGTGTTGTCTTAGGTTGGGGGAAAACAGGTATGCTTTTTGTTGGCTGCAAAAATAACCGCTTTTTGCAACGACATGCATTAGGAATATAATGATGTTATTGAATGGGCGTCTATGATGGTACATTATAACATAAATAGTCATTGATAAAATGGAAATAATACCTGAAGGCTATTACTACATAATATGAATTAGAACGCATTTTTAATATGTTAAATATACTTTCAATTTTATATTTTAGAAAACAACAACGACCAAGAACCAAAAATCAAGGTCCTTCAAGAATTAGAAGTTTCCGTTCTACCTCGAGTATTGTGTACGTCAATAACAGAAGAAAAAAATTCAGGAGAATATAATAACATTATAGTGAAAGCAAATTCTACAAAATTCTGTGCTGGAGGATATCCTGGCGAAGACACATGTGACGTAAGCAGTGTGACATAATGGTAGCTTTATAACAAAATTTTAGACTTGTTATTTGAAAAATACGTGTCTTGTTAATCATACAGGGTGACAGTGGTGGTCCTTTACTGTGTCGTGATAATAACGGAAAGTTCAATTTGCATGGTATAACTTCATACGGCCCAACACCATGCGGACAAAGTGGGCTACCGGGAATATACACCCAGGTAAGTGATATATAACTTATCTGTAAACTTTGATATGCATGATGCTGCACCTAACGGATAGCATCCAGGATTTTAATTCGATTTGCTAAAGATTCAATTTAACATTTCAGGTATCAGGATATCGTGACTGGATTGATTCAAACATGAAATAAAAAGGCTGTCTTTTGAAACAAAACATGGAACATTGAATTCAACTATCTTATACTTTTTAATATTATCTATTGCATATTCTATTTATTTATTAAATTAATTTATTTAATAATATTCTATTACTTGTAAAAAAATTATTTATCACATATTTATTAGGACATGTACAACAATAATTTTTTATTTTATTTTTTTATTTATTCATTTTTTGTAAATGAATTATAGCATATATATTCATTGCATAATTATATTGTATTATGTTATTATAATAAAACACTCAATATGACATAAAATATCACGTACTCTTTGTGATTTGAAGTATGATGCAAATTTCAATCAGTTGTATGTACATATATTTAACCCATAAATAAAATATGTTCTGCATATAGAAAATTTATATATATATATATATATATATCAATGATTTTAGGTCCTATAGACTGGTGGCAGGATAAGTGAAATATTGCACATCAACAGAATGAATTATGGAAAAAATCGCTAGTGAAAGAATAACTGTAAATTTGTCAATATTCAGAAATGGATGAAGCCACTATGGGGCTATTACCTTGATTTTTCAAATTTTTTACTGATTGATACGCATGCCTTTATTTCACCCATAATTTTTTACTTCATTTAAACTCTTGAGAACACTATTTATAGAATATTAGTACACATGATTCCGTTACACTTCCCAGCCGTAATTGTCCGCCGATCTTTCCAACAAACTAGGTGCACAGCTGATGACTGACCATACCGGTACCCATTTTTTTTATCCATTTGTTGTACAGCCTTCACAAATTTCAACAATGTTGAAATTTTTACTAAGCGAATTTGGCGACACTTGACTACATCAACATATTATTGGACACGAAATGGACATAGCGATCGTTTTGTTGTTATGTTGTTCTTCGACACGTTTTAAAGAAATCGCTTTTCTCTTTGATTACTGGACCAATTGCTTTAAAATTTTCAGTGGTTACTTTTTTTTCGTTACGTCATCAAAATTATGTGTCTCTACGTGTCCATATATTTGAGCATAGCTCTCTTGTTATGACGATGTAGGCAATCTTTTGAAGTGAAAGTTTGATGAACTTTATTATAAAACATGTGAGATATCCAACAGAATTATAATATGGGATAAATTTCTTATACAATATAATAATTTTTTTATACAATAAAAAGAAATCTATACCATTATGAAAATCATTACGATATTTCAAATATGATGTTCAGAATTTTACTTCTATATACTCTCAATCAATTTAAATTAATCAATTGATTTAAAAGCTCATCCATAAAAAGAGTATTACTTTCTGTTTTTTGTCGGACCGCCATTGTAACTAGAGTTAGGTATGCACCATTATATACGTGATCGTAGAATAGTGTGAAGTAAAATAGGTCTATGACACAAAAATGAGTCATAGGGAAAATCATATCACGCAATCCTAAAGGGTGTTCTACTACGATTAGATGCACACATGAAAGATAGAATGGCATAGGCTTCAACAATGTTAAAATACGTTTGTGGTGCGCTAGGTTTGCAGTTTACAAATTTTAATGAAGCCACATAAATGTAAAGATTTGGGAGACTACTACAATTACTGTACTAACTTGTGAAGTTTAATATTTAATACAAAATAACACAATGATATTAGTGTCTATTGTGACTAATTGGCCAAGTACCACTACTTTCATAAGCTCAATATACGTTAAAAATTAGTCCCATAGAAACGTATTCAAAGTCAAACGCGTGGCAATATATCCAAAACATGTTTCATAAATACAGATTGAAGATTAGGCAGGCCATTAAAAAATACCCACGTCCTTCTACATAAATTCTACATTGTGGAACACAGCAAAGTTTCATTCTTCCTATCGTAAACTGCAGAATGTGCAAAAGGCCAAAAGCTATAGGTAATGACGGAACTTAATGGGATCTGAGAGGTTGAAATAAAGTGTCAAATGATTGTACTTTGAATTTATATTTATTGACGATTTAGTACTTAAATTTTTGTCTAACCTTTACAGTCTTAAAATGATATGAGTATGATATCTTATAAACTATTCCATTATGCTTCACTGTTCGTCATCACTTTGTTAACTTGGTAAACCTTATCTGACGTCGCGGTATATATATAAACTGACGGAGTAAGTAGGCCACAAAATACTACGAGGTATACATCTTTCACTGAAGCATCCAGATTATTTAAAATAGATGATTTAAGGCGGCATAATCATCCGACTGGAGTAAATGACATGGCTATCCAAATTGAACAAATTAGATGTTCAATTTATTGTCGTAAACACAGCAAAATCATCTAATGTGTAAAGGATCGTTAAAGGAAGGTAGCAGTGGTAACATACTGTTATTTATAGAAAAAGACTAGTGATATTTTGTACTCCATTCAGGCTGCACACCATACATGACTGACTATAAATATTTCATAAATATGTATGGATAAATATGTAAATCCTAGAACAAAATTCATCTCGATCTTTAAAAGTAGTTCTCCATGACCATATGACGAGTAGTCATAGTCAACACAATGATGCAATGTATAATCAGTGGTCAATTTTCCCAGTTTATTCAAAGTGGAGAGTAACATCGTCAAAGAAACAAAAAGTTTGATCCTGACCTTGGTGCCACAGTTTATGGTAAGTAATTGGTAAACAGACATTGGACAATGTGTAGCATACATTAGGTACCAGTTGGTTTGGGATTTATAATTATTTTTATTATGTATCTAGTTTATTATTAATGGTAGTATGACTCCCAAGTTCACATAATGACTCAAACAATGATTTTTTCAATCTGGAAATTTGTTTATTGTATAATAATTTACAAATTTTCAGATGAGTGGAAAACTGAAAACCTCACAGCTCTTATAGTAACCGGCAAAAATTGAAATGTGATAAAGTGACAAAAATAAAGAAACAAATTCCTATCTATGAAATTTCATTAAGTAAACTACTCTTTAACTGGAAGATTGAATTCCGAATGTAGTTCAATAATGGTGCGCTCAACAGAATCAAGGTTGGGATATCACACACATTTATTTTGCTGCATTAATCCACTTCCCCTTCTTTTTAAGTAAGGCAGTGTTTCGAATATCCACTCAAAGGTCAAAAGGCCATAAGCAATATATCCGGAATACTGTTAGGATATTCCACAAGCTATGAATTGCAAGTTAAGTTCATAGTTCTTTAGATGATTCATGGGTATAATTTTTTTTCATAGATAAATATTTGATGTTTAAAATATATGTCCTGTAACCAAACAACTATTTTGCATAACGGATTTTTAGCTTCTCGTTTCAGTTATAGTTCATAGTATTTGCAACAAAATTTGAATAGAGTTTAATTTGGGGCAGGATTAATGAATCTGATTGAAACGATTGTTGATTTTTGGTATAAAATTGATTGTAATTGGCAATAGTAAAAGTAAAAAATCATTACTGACAATAAAACGTAAGATTTATCGATTGACATAAATTTAAATTAATTACTCTCACTACATGTACTTTCTGCAAAATGTATCACTCGTTTGCTTGCATAATTCAATTACTGTTTCGTACCAAATAGTAATTTTGTTGCATTTTATTAATTAAATGACATTTAGAATTAAAGTATGTTTTTATAATATAAAAAATGTATATATATATATATATATAAAATCAGATAAATTTAAATATTATTTGAATAACTGTTCACGAATTTATCAATATATTTTTGTCTTCATTTGTTGCAGATCATTTAAGTCATTTGATGAATATGAAGAATTTAACAGCACTATCTACTTGTATCGACCAGATACTTTTGTTCTTTCTGCTATGTTATTGGCATCAAAAGAATATGAGTGGAACCATGCAATTGTTCTTGAAGGAAAAAATAATGGTGAAGAAAAAGCGAATAATATTTATTATAACAAAATTGTCGATATATTGAATATACACAAAAAAATCTTGAACACCAAAGAATATTATTAATCGATCATGCTAATTTTAGATAACAATTATACACAGTGGCTTTAAAGTAAACGATATATACCTATGACAAAACTACATATGATGATTGTTAATTAAAAAGACTACCAAAGAAGAATACTCGTTATTTTAAAAAGTATCCATTTTAGGATTTATTAATATAGCTTCTAGTGCCGTATTTGGTTGTTAAATATTAAGAGTTTCGTGATTAAAGACGCTCATCGTTTTTCAAATAATTTGTTACTTGATTATTTTTTTTTTAAATTTGGAATAAAATATCAGTTTCCAAAATGACTTCATTGATGTCTGGCACATGACATTATACAGACGTTTTCCAGCAGAGGGCTCTTTCATTTTACGTCAGCCATGCATTTTACAACAAAAATAGATTAATAAAGATTTCAATATGATGCAACCTGAAAAATATGTCAGGCGTATCTTTTCATCGGGTATGCGCTCATAATAGCCATATTTGAAATATAGTTTGATACTAACAATCTGGCAACTCATGCCCTTATCTTTGTGTCAGTCCAATTACTGTCTTCAAATGTATATTATCATTAATATAAAATCATTTCAATCCATACTACAAACTTGAATATGCCATAAAAATTTGTACAAATGTTAATGCGCAGATTTTTTTAATTAAAACGCTAATTTTTCATTGGAAATCATTTTTTCATTTTATATTTTATCTTGTGGCGTCAGAATAATGTAAAAATATATGTAAAATTGCACCACGGATACATTTTTTTTCTTCATTTATGTAACCTGGTTTTCCAAACTTCAAGTATTAAGTTTTGGTATTTGAAAATTGAATATTGTCTCAAATGGCGTGTTTTCTTAAATTTATTCAACCATTTATTCTGTTGCACTTATTACGTTGATTCCAATCTATTCACTCAAAAGAAGACAAAACCATAACTTATTTAAACTTCAATTAGGCTACTTTACACAAAATATGAGCAAATATTCTATATGAATTTAAAGGATCACGAGTGTTTTATGAATGATGTCCAACGCTCACATGTTTTTTCAACTATACACGCTGCACCTCTATTGAACAGTAGTATATATGACAATATAATACCCGGAAGGACCGGTCAACCTTGCATAATTATTAAACTAACACCCATGCTGACGGTACAAATAAAGTATTTGTGACATCACGACTTCGCCTTCATATAACGCATTTTAAAAAAAGAGTACGAGTTATGTGAGAAAAGTAGTTACATAATTTCTTACTTTTAAATATTTTGAGACTTTTTCCAAAATTATTCGGTATGACTCCAAGTATATTTCCCTCCCAAGTAAAAAATATTGTACGAAACTAATAGTTATAAAGATAAAATTAGTGCACGAAAATACATAGTAAGAAATATATGATTGATCACCAGTTAGGCATTTCACAGGAAGTAATCGATGTTACTAATAGCACATCTACATATTCCCTTGACACTTTTTAGGTTCTATTCTCTTTAAATATGCATTAAAATCATTCTCTAACTTTGTACAATTTAAAGGGTTTTTTGATTCGTTAATTTTCTATAACGAGGCTTTGATATTACGTATAAAATATTTTTAAAATTTTAATGATTCGTCTAGATTTCTAGCGTCTAGATTTTAATTTTGACATGCATATGACTGGCTTCGACTCACAGAAATGAAAGAAAAAACTTTCTCGTCAATGAAATTTGAACCTGACGTCAGATACTTGAGATCATTGGAGAAACTTGTGCTTTGTCCACTTTTTATTATTTACAAATACAAATATTATTTATTATTTACAAATAGCATTGCGGGACTTCTTGGTAATGTGTATTTCTTTTCTCAGCGAGACCTAGTTGATAGATCAAAAATTTACGTTTGATAAAACAAATACCATTTTCGGGATAAAAGAGGGATTCAAATTATTTTACTAAATTTTGAACTAGTATTTCCACATTGTCCAGTATCTTCAGAATTTTGTTCAAAGAGTCACTATGTAGTTGCGGAAAGTTATTAATAACTTCAAGAGATTTAATATAAATTCAATGACGCAATGGGGATCTTTCTAACTGTTGTATAAAACAGCGAGAAATTAGGTCTATTAAACATAAGAAATTTTATACTGATACAATAGAAAATCAGCTTAACTCAACATTTCCGTGGAGTATACTACAAGAAACTTTAATAATGACTCTATTGGTGCCACATCCGATTTTTACCTCTATGTCGGGGCTAAAAATTGCAGCCGGCATCCTCATGCTCTTTGGATTTCTAGCGACTGGAAACGCTCATCAACATCCTGAAGATATAAACCTCCAAAATCCGACCGATAATTTGATTGTTGCTTTGAATAAATTCACTGAATGTGGGGTGAAGAATGAAGGTAATATTTTGTCCAACTTGTGGTGTTTCAAACTTATCCAGACTCGGATAGAAGTTGTCTTGGTAGATCATAATCAAGCAAAAATGAAAAGAACCTTAAATTAACCACAGCTTAAATTTAGTTTCAATTTCAGTTTTCCAATAAAAAAGTTTATCATTTTCTAGAATTTCCATCGGCAAAATTTCGTTCGGGATTCAAAAATGCACGAATTCTAGGTAAGTTCTAGATTCTAAATGTCATACGTCAATTAATTGACTTATTTAAGCATTTCTTAGTTGCTATAATGGATTGAACGAAAAATAAACTCTATTATATATTAGGTGGAAAAAATGCAGGAAATTGGCCATGGATGATATATTTATTGCAAAACGGTAAACACATATGCGGTGGAACATTAATTAATTCCAAATGGATTGTTACTGCTGCACATTGCATTGCGTTGTAAGTATGAAATACCTCAGTTTTTAAGTTTAATATGTTCTTATTCAAATACACCTACATAATTTGAGTACAGAGCGATAACCGTGTGCCAAATAATTCTTTTTATTTCTTTTTAGTCCTAATGAACCAGAAAGGTACAAAGTAATCCTCGGAGAACATAGCATTCCTACATATAGTGAAAATCATAGGATGTCTAACATCGATTCCATCAGAAGGCACAAAAAATTTAATTTTGTCAACTTCGACCATGATATTGCATTGCTAAAGGTATAACATATTTAAATTTTATAATTGTGAGGTCATTTCATTTAGTTGTTAGGCAATGAATGTATTTAGTTATAGGAACGTATAGATGTAACTATATTAAATATTGTATGTGAATACAGACCATAATTAGTTGGACCTGAGTGGAATATATTTGAAAAAAAAGTTTAATATATCTTGCGCTTTTCCAATTTTTTCATTATATAAAAACCTTTTTCAGCTAAAGAATCCTGTAATATTCAATAAACACATATCACCAGCATGTTTACCAAACCAAGGATTTCCAACTGATGCGACAAATACTATATCAATGAAATCAGCATTCACTGGGAAAAAATGTGTTGTCTTAGGTTGGGGGGAAACAGGTATGATTTTTGTTGGCGGCAAATATCACCGCTTTTCGCAACGACATATATTAGGAATATAACGATGTTATTGAATGGTACATAATAACATAGATAATAATCGATAAAATCGAAATAATAACTAGAGTATTAATACATAATGTAAATTCGTGCGCATTTTTAATATGTTCAATATACTTTTATATTGTAGAAAACAAAAAAAAACAAGAACCAACAATCAACGTCCTTCAGGAATTAGAAGTTTCCGTTCTACCTCGAGTATTGTGTACGTCAATAACAGGGTTAGAAAATGGAGAAGTATATCATCACATGGAAGTGAAAGCAAATTCTACAAAATTCTGTGCTGGGGGACATCCTGATGAAGACACATGTAAAGTAAGCAGTGTAACAAAATGGTAGCTTTATAACAATATTTGAGATTATTTTGAAAATACTTGTTTTGATAAACATACAGGGTGACAGTGGCGGTCCGTTACTGTGTCGTGATAATAATGGAAAGTTTAACTTGCATGGTATAACTTCATACGGCTCAACACCATGCGGACAAGTGGGCCTACCGGGAGTATACACCCAGGTAGGTGATATAACTTATTTGCAATCCTAGACATGCACGATGTTGCATTTAACGGATAAGATTGGTGATTTTAATTCTATTTCCTAAAGATTCGATTTTAACATTTCAGGTATCAGGATATCGTGATTGGATTGATTCACACATGAAATAAAAAGACTTTCCTTTGAAACAAAGCATGGAGCATTGAATTCAACTACCTTATACTTTTTAATATTATTTGTTGGATATTCCATTTTTTTTAATAAATTAATTTATTTAATAATATTCTATTAATACTAACAAAAGTATTTATCACATATTTATTATGACATGTACAACAATAATTTATTTATTCCTTTTTTTTTCTGTAAATGAATTATAGCATATATATTCTTTGCATATTTTATATTATTTATATTTTAATATTTTATTATAATAAAACACTCAATATGACATAAAATATCACGTACTTATTGTGCTTTGAGGTATGTTGCAAATTTCAAATTAGTTGTATTTATATATATATTATAACCGAGAAATAAAATCTATTCTGCATATAATAATATTTATACACTAATGATTTTGGGCTTTATGGCCTTTGGACCTTATGGCCTTATTTAATTTTTTACTTCATTTCAACCCCTGGGAACACTATTTATGAGATATGGATCCACTTGATTCCATAACGCCCTCCCCGCCTCCGCCACCATTGTCAGCCAATCTTTCTAACCAACTTAGTTCTTAGTCAATCCCTTAAGTCCCTTAAACAAAAGTAAAACTATGATAAACTTTATTAAACACCTGAGATATATAATAAAATTATATTATCGGATAAATTTTTCATACAATATTATCAAAATTTCACACAAATTGATAAATTTGAAAACCAAACTTCCAAGCATCCGAAAAAAAAACGAAATCTATATCTTTATGAAAATTATTGTAATATTTCAAATACAATGTTGTGAATTTTACATCCATATATACTCAATCAATTTAAATAATCAAATGATTAAAAAGTTGATCCATAAGAAGAGTAATTCTTTGTTTTTTGTCGGGCCTCCAATGTAACTAGAGTTAAGTAAAAATATGCAATTTAGTAATCTTTGAATATATGCATCGTTTGGAAATTATAATTTATCATTTACTCTAGCAACGCTTCTTTTTCGAAGCTGATATGCACCATAATGTACGTGATCCTAGAATAATGTAAATTAATACATATATATGACACACAATTGAGTCATAGGGAATCATACCACGTAACCTAATCCATAAAAACAAAATGAGACCAAGATAGAATGACATAGGCTTTAACGCTTTATAATACGTCTGGGGTGCGCTCGTTCGCCGTTTACAAATTTTAATTAAATCTCGTAAATGTAAAGTTTTAGAAGACTCCTACAATTATTGTACTAACTTGTGAAGTCATAAACTCTACAGTCATAGTATTCATTACAAGTACTGAGATGTTGCCCTTTGTAAATCAGTTATTATTAAATATAAAACTACACAGCGATTTCAGTGTCTATGGCGACTAATTGAACGAGTAACACTGCTTTCACAAGTTTAAATTACGTTAAAATGATTACCATAGAAACGTATCCAAAGTCAAACGCGTGGCAACATATCCGGAACTTGTTTCATAAATACAGATTAAAGATTAGGCCATTAAAAATTACCCATAAATTCAATATTGTAAAACCCAGAAAAGTTTCATTCTTCCTATCGTAAGCTGCAGAATGTGCAAAGGCTATAGGCAACAACGGAACTTAATGGGATCTGAGAGGTTGAAATATAATGTCAAATTAATGTACTTTGAAGTTATATTTATTGGTGATTTAGCGAGTAAATTTATTTCGAACCTTTGCAGTTTTAAAATGATATACGTGTGATATCTCATAAACTATGCCATTATGCTTCACTGGAAATCGCTTTGTTCGTCTTGTTATTGCAAGGATGTTCAGGTCAAACTGTTTAAATGAAAATAGGTAAGTACCGGTAGTCTTTTTGGCCAAAATCCCATTGCTTGTAATTTAATCGTGTTTGTTAAACGATTGTTTAGAAACAGAGGAAACTTATAAAGTTCGACTCCGCCTGAATACTTGGCAGTATTGGCTTTTAAATTGCTTTTGGTCTCTGTGCCAACCGCTATACTGACATCGCCATACATAATTCTTTGTACAACATTCAATGATCACATGTAACATTCAGTGCTATTTTCACTCTTATTCGCGAACTGAAGATGTTCTAAAAATTGTACGAAGACCTTGATTTTTGAACTTGTGTCCCGTTTGAGTGAAGTTATGCAAAAACTCGTATAAAGTTACGTCTGACAACAAGTATCAGTTATTTTTATTTTGCAATATGCCCGTTACGTACGCACTGGATATTTTTCTTTTTACGACAGGCGGGTCGAACCTGCATGTTTACGTACTGTCATTATCACCAATATATGCATTCCGTGTAACCGAAGCACAAAACGCTAAACGCGCAACTTGGTAAACCTTATCTGACGCCGCGGTATAATATATATACGACGGAGTAAGTAGGCTACAAAACACTACGAGGTATGCATCTTCCACTGAAGCACCCAGATTAAATAAATAGATGATTTGAGGCGGCAAAATCATCCGACTGGAGTAAATGACATGACTATCTAATTTAAACAAATTCGATTTTCAATTTTTTTTCGTAAACACAGCAAAATCATCCAATGTGCCAGTCAATTTCATAGTTCTTCAGATGATTAGTAGGTTTTTGAAAACATTCACATTTGAAGTATAATTTCCATATAGATAAATATTTGATGTTTAAAATATATGTCCTATAACCAAACAACTATTTTGCATGACAGATTTAGCTTTTTAATACAAACATATATATAAATCAGAGTATTTGCAATGAAATTTAAAAAGTTGGGATAGAATTTCATTTGGAGCAAATTTAATCAATGTGATTTTTTCGTATAAAATTTATTGTAATTGGCAATAGTAAAAGTAAAAAATCATAACTGACAATAAAACGTAAGTTTTATCGATTGATATAACTTTAAACTAATTACTCCTACCCCGTTTACTTTCTGCGAAATGTATCACTTGTTTGCTTGCACAATTCAATTACTGTTTCGTACCAATTAGTAATTTTGTTATATTTTATCAAATGACAAATAAATAATTAAAGTATGCTTTTCTCATATAAAATCTGTATATATATCAAATCAGATAAATTTACATATTATCCGAATACCTGTTCATGAATTTATTATTATATTTTTTGTCTTTATTTATTGCAGATCATTTAAGTCCTGTGATGAATATGAAGAATTTGGCAGCCTTATTTACTTGTATCCACCAGATAGTTTTGTTCTTTCCGCTATGTTATTGGAGTTGAAGCATAAAATTGTTCTTGAAGAAAAAAATGATGGTGAGGAGAAATCAAAGGATAGTTATATTAACAAAAATATCGATATATTTAATATACACAAAAATCTTGAAAACCAAAAAATATTATTAATCGGCTATGCTAATTTTAGGTATCATTTATTACATAGTGACTTCAAAATAAACGATATATAACTATGACAAAAACTACATATTATGATGATTGTTGATTAAAAAGACTACCAGAGAAAAAGACTCGTTAATCAAAAAAAATTCTCTTTAGGATTTATTAGGATAACTTCTAGTGCCGTATTTGGTTGTTAAATATTAAGAGTTTCGTGATTGAAGACGTTCATCATTTTACAAATAATTTGTTTCTTGATTAATGTTTTTGAAATGTTGAATAAAATATCAGTTTCCAGAATGACCTCATTGATGTCTGGCACATGACGTTATGCAGACGTTTTCCAACAGAGGGCACTTTCATTTTACGTCAGCCAGTCATTTTACAACAAAAATAGATCAGAGATTTCAACCTGGTACACCCTTATAAATTGATAGATATTAATTTCAGCAACTCCAACCTCTATCTAGTCTAGGCGTACCTTTTTATCGGGTATGCGCTCATAATGGGCTTATTTGGAATGTATTTTGATTACTCACAATCTGGCAAATTATACGTTCATCTTTGCTGCGGCAGTCCAATTATGGCCTCCCAAAGTCTTTTATTGTTATTATTATAAACATTCGTTTCAATCAATACTACCAACTTGTAAATGCCATCAAAATTTGTATACGTGTTATTAGTAATGCGAAGGTTCTGTCAATGTAAAACTCGTGATTGATTAGGAAATTAATGGCAAATTGGAAACGATAAATTTTCATTATAAATCATTTTTTCTTTCTATATTTTATCCTGTGATGTCAGAATAATGTAAAAATTTATGTAAAATTGTTAGCTTATGTGGCCACACGAATACTCGCATACTGTCGAATATTGGACGCAGTTACCGATGTCGGTTAAATTTTCATATACGAAACCTAAATATTGTCTCAAATGGCGTGTGTTCTAAAACCTATTCAACCTTGCATAATTATTAAAGCCAACACCTATGCTGTTGGTATAAACCAGAGGTGGCCTACCTGTTTTCGACCGCGATCGACTGAAATCTTCAAAATACCTCGCGATCGAATGGTCGGTAATGGGGTCATACACCAAAAAACGAATGAGTACTGAATATGCAGATGACTGTACACACGCATACGCATACATTAACATTGAATGTTGTAAACTGCTTGTCCGACTCTGGTCGGACGAAACGTTACAGAAATATATTTGTGTCAGTGTGCAGCTGGACTCTTTAATTGGATAGAGTAATCTGCTACTAAGCTCGGCTTTGTGGCGCATTCTCAATGAACTCGAAACAAAATTTGTATTTTTTATGTTCCATTTAGTTGTGCCCGGAGTAAATGTTTCATCATTTATTTAGGATTCATTCAAATCATACACTTCAGATACTATGGGAGCTTTGATTAATTATACTGGTTATTAGGATCGGTGGCGACTGGAATACGTAAATCTTCAAAAAAAAAAAAAATTAAATTCTTAAAGGAACAAAATTTGCTACACAAAGAATGACCATGTGGCTTTTTTACGCATAGCAGACAGCACTTCTTACCGTGTTTCCCTCCAAATTTAGACAGAATTTAGATTTATTTTCTTTTGAAGAATAACACTTTTTTTTTTTTTTTGGAAGAGGGATTTTGTGTTCATTTATCATAAAATTACATTGTAGAAAATCACGAAATGGGTCGCTATAAGCTGTGATAATAAATAGTGGGTCCCAACTGTAAAAAGTTTGGGAACCACTGCTATAGGTATTGTAGTGACCGTTTGTAAGTCAACCCACGCTATAT